CAATAGACATCATTTAGATACATATACAATGGAACGATATTACTGTTAAGGCGTTAGATAGCTCCTAAATATTGGCATGGGATCTGGGATTGAAGTTTTCACTAATGCTACCCACAAGATACAAACTGTACTAACAGAAATAATTCCAAATAATGCACCGCTTTACTTAATTTTTTTTTTCCATTTGTAACTCGGTATACACACCGTAGCAAGTCTCGTCATATGTCTCTCATGCTTATACTGAGTACAAAACGAGCTTTTAATGCAGTCTATTCTGCTGTTCTAATTAGGCGCAGAGAACGGTGCAAAGGCATGTAATAGGCTTTGAGAGAGCGTATTTTACAGCTAATTGTTCATCATAAATTTGATCTTATTAAATTCCTTTATATCACCTTGATTGTAGGAACGTAGCGTCAACTCGTGCATCAGTATCTCCTTGGGTTCCAGGACAGGTGTGGTGTGTAGGCACACATTAGTGAGAAAGCCTCGTTTTGTACTCGTCGCACCATGTATATATCGCTGCTATCCGCTTGATTTCTTCTAATGTTTATATAATATTCCGTAAAGTATATCTTTATGAAACTGTCTTAGGTTTCCATCTTAAGATTTTAGCCGCAATGTCCACTCCTCGCAGGACGTCAAAGGACTCAGCAGGGTTTGCCTCCGTAGACAATATCAGTACACACTCTTTCGTCCCTACCAATGTTCCCGGCATACGACTTCCAACGCGAACGCCTTTACCGCCAGAGGTAACCCTCGAGGATTACGAATATGCTGTCTCGAATCTCCACAGTGAATACGATGCCCTCTCAAACCTGGTACAACGATTAAGATTTGAGAAACTGCGTAAGATAACATTTCAAGATGGATGGAATCCATTCGCTTTCCAGAATGCGGACGTGTGTGTCCCAGTCCCAGTAGAGGAGATCGAAAATTACGGTTTTGACGAGCAGACATCTAGTTGTAAGTGCCCAAACAATATGGCGCCATGCACTCGCCAGCAAGCTCTCGATGACCTTGACCATTGGGTTCATACATTGCGTAAGTTGGCAGTACGATCGAAATTCAGTAGGACGTACGACCAGCTACAGCTTGCCACCAAACACCTCAACATCGTTAACATAAAGGGTGTTCTCACACAACCAGGCACGTTGGATTCGGCTTCCCCTGAAAGGCAACGTCAATGTAATACCGTGGACGCAGTGCTATGCTCAGCGCGAGACCTTTCTAGGGCGAGTACTGACTGGTATGTTTAGTATGCAAAAGGATGTAGATCAAATCTCTTACAATTTCGCCTTAATGACGGCTACTATATGTTGATGTCATTTCAAAAACGTTTAGGTCATCTTGGGGAGGCTGTTCGGAGAAGTGCAACAGTGGGACACAGGAAAGATTCAAAATAACTCACAACAAGGGCGTAAGGGCGTTAGTAGTCGATAAGAGGGAATGTTCACTAGCTAAATGCTCGGATTCTAATCAACACAACTTATTACAATGTTCCATTTCTATCGTACCGCCAACCGAATATGGACGAACCGTTGTCCGTACGTGTATATGCCCCGCCGAAGACTCAGTAATCTGTTCATCCGAAGAGGCACGAATTACTATGAACAATTGGCTCCCCCAATTCCGAGATTATTGTATGAAGTCCTTGGCGCGTAGTGAATACAATATCCTATACAAGGTAGGTTTAATATGAATGTCGGATGCATCGTTTTTTTGCACGAAAAGTCAACTCACTAGTCGTTGGATGTGTCGCATCCACATCGGCTTAACGTGATAGTGATTTCATAGTATATCTAAATTGCATAAGTAGGGGTAGTGCCATTGCTATTGCGACCCGAACGTGGCTTCCACTAGCTATACTTCCGTTCAACGTATCCCTCTTTTGTATCACCTTTTGTGTACCACAGTAGCAATGAAAACTTTACAATCTGACACAAATGGTATACAGGATTTGCCACTACTGAAGACATATTACCTAGGAAGGTTCATACAATTGCGCTTCAAAGATGGCTATTACTTCGATTGCACGGAACGTTGGGGAGTTCTCGATAAGGATGACAGTACCAACTACTGTAAAGTTGGTTCTCCGATACTTTGCGGAGAGAGTATCGCGAAGAGCACCGCTAGAGGTAAGTGTGTCAATAGTCACGTTTAAACACTGCAGTGTCGTTTTTGGAGACACCTATTGAAAAGGTTCAGCCGATAAACGCCGCCATATTCACTCGCCCCCTCATGATTTGGCTTTTGGTTTTAACCCTCTTGTACACACTGGCAAGACTCTGTATTGTATCTAGAAAACGGATTCACAAACAACCCACCTGTTAATCATATGTCAAAAACAATTTCATGGGTTATGTTGCACCTTTACGTGCCACTGACGTGGATTTCATAGATATACACTTTCAGGATTCCCTTTGCGACGTGACGTACAACATATACGGTAAACCTATACACTCAATATGGTTGTGCGGCACTATTATAAGGTAATTACAGTCCTAGTAATTTTGTTTAAAATAATTCCAGTGTTGATTATGAAAAGGAGCTGATTGACTTCGATGATGGTTCAGGGAGGCAATTGCAGATTAAGTTCACAAGGGTGTATGTCGACTCAGAAATCCTGCGCGGTAACACTCTAAAGGTAGTGAAAGTGTGGCTATATCTCATTATCTGATTATTTATTCATGTTTATACTCGCCCCAATTAATAACAGATCGGCTTCCCCGTATCCATTGTATGTGGAATATCACATGTGATTTTGGAACAAGATGCACTTCTGTGTCTGAAGGTTCGAGCTTAATACTAAAACTTCTAACAAAGTTTGCCAGTTGATTAGGATCGTGACTTTATCGCCCCTTGACATTCTATATTGGCCTTACAAGGTGGGACCTCGGCTATATATAAGTCAACTGTACAGGTCAAGCAATGGCGGATAGAGACACACTCGTGACTACAACAATGGAAGATTTCCATAAAAAAACGAAATTGGATGATGAAGTCGTGAAAAGGTGCGTCAGCGGTCTGAAGGTATATATACTCACAGCTTCACGGTGTCATTGGCATTCAAGGATCGGTTTTCCATCACAAATGGCATGGACTGGGATAACTCTGGTGAGGTGATGGTAACATCATCCGAGGATAGGACTGTTTATTTATACTCCTTAACCAAAGCAGGGTATGCCTCTTATTTATTAGTGTTATAACTCCTATGCGAGACGACTCCTTACAGTCTGATTGTGCATTAGACAAAGTTATGCAGAGTTACCAACGTGCTACAAAGCAAGAAGCACGGCGTTTGTGGCGTTCGCTTTACTCACGAAGGACCCAGGCACATTGTCTGTAGTTCTTCCAGAGATGCGCCCGCAGGTTCGTGTCGTACTTACAACATTCCAATCATCTGAGCTCAGTATCTGTAAAACTATGGGATACCATGGAAAACCGTTACATTAAGAGTTTTTCGCTAGTGGCACCGTAAGTGTAACAGAAAGGTGAAAGAATTGTCGCAGTGTCGTTCGAGGCCGTGGTATATCGCCACATCCTGCCCGTGACTTGATGTTAATTAGCACCTATGACAACACATGTTCTCTCTACTCATATGACAATTCTTCGCCTCTGGTATGTTTTACTCATCCATATACTGGTTCAACATCAGTGACAGGTATCGTACAAGGGAACAAGCGTCGTGGGAGCATTTGATCCCTTGGGTTTGATTTTTGCCGTTTGTGATTCGAGTCAGGGGAATAAAACGCTATCATTATATGATATATCCAAGTATCAGGTGAGTTTAGTTTAAAATGTGGCAAACCGTTTTGCCAATCTTATCTCTCACCTAGGTGCCATTTGTTACATTCGACCTCGGAAACGTGCTACTGAAAACTGAGGAAGTTGTTGTGGGTTTGAAGAGATCTAACTTAGAACGTCGTCAGAGCATTGATTTCAACCCAAATGGCCGCTGTGTGATCTTGGGGACGAACTATACTAGGTTGCTGTGCATCAATGCGGTTAATGGTAGTGCTCTTTTCGCTTGCTGTTATGCCGATGAGCCATCATTCATTGACGACAAGAATGCGTTTTGTTACCCGTCCATATCTCCTGATGGCAGGTATTTATTGTGCGGTGAGTTATTGAGCAGTGTATATGAATCGTACGCAGGGCGTACCAATGGAAGTCTTTCAATATGGAATTTCAAGGGTCAAAGCGTCGGGACTTTGTTGGGACATAAAGGTATACAGTTTTCAATTACCATACACTTTTAAACAATAGGACCCCCGTATTTCGCTTGCTTCAACCCGAAGAAGGCATTGATTTCTTCGGCGTGTGTAAAGGTAGCGTGGTGGCAGCCAGGGGTAACTAATTCAAACGAACATTCTTCTTAAAATTAGCATTACACAATGTCTTACACTACACGCAAAATAACCTTCTCGTCCATTTTGTGAATTTGTGATGGTACGGCGTCGTTAATTACGCGAGAGTAGAATGTGACGCTTCCACAGATGGAAGAGAGTTTTTTTAATTACATTCGCCTTTTAGGTGAAACTGTATGGCGCCGTCTTTTCAGGAAGCGGGCAGCGCTCCGCGCGATATTTCGTAGTTTAGGGGAGTTGGAGCAATTGATTATTTTACGCCTCTTGAGCATTAAACAAGCGGTTTCGGAGCGAGCGTTAAGGCTTTGGATGAATCCTAACTCATTCACCGATTTGCGAAAAGCTTTGTCTATAATGCAGTCCTACCACATCATACAGGTTTCAGACAACCGAACAAAAGATGGAAAACAACAGTACGAATTACATAAAGATTTCAAAAATTCAATGCTATGTGAAATATATGACATACCATGCGAATTCGAAAAGGGCCTACAGTTAATCGGCAACGTAGGTGACGTCTTACATAAAGATACAAAGAGCACACCATCCATTGGTACACTACTGAAGTACTCAAAGGAACGTCTGGATTTTCTCGTCCTGTTTCTGGTGTCAAGCGAAGTTAGAAGACATACACTGAGAGCCAATAAGGTTTCGAAAAAATTAAAGAAGTTGGAGAAGTTGAGGGAAAACGATGTTAAGAATCCCATACTATTCAAAAAGGTCAAGTCCTTAGAGCGCCAGTTGTTGACCTTAACCAAACATGGTGGAACTGTATCGATGGATCTTTTAAGGATATTTGAAAGGTTTAATATGATATCTGAGGACAGTAAAAAGAATAAGCTCTGCGGCGCAGACAGCGGCATGAGCAGGCAAGCATTAAGTTGGTTGTTAAAGGGTGTGGACAGTCAATTAATAATCCTCATTGTCGGCCATTTGCAACAGATTGAAGGAGGGTACTTAAGCGGTTGCATAGATATTCATCAGACCAAGACAGATTCAGAGGCTAAGGAAGGTGTGGATGACTTCACGGATTCCGATGATAAAGCAACTGTAGAAAAGATAGATCTTGCCACTTCGACGATTATAGAATCATTAGATCTACTTCTGTCATTATCGCAAGCCAGATTTGGCGATGTTTTTAGGATGACGAATCTCACCAAGGCACAGCAGCGGTTGTTGAAGCTCTTAATCGAGTTGGGTCTGGTATATTCTGATTCATCAAAAGGTAAATTCTACGTGTCAGATCTTAGTTTCTTGGTCGACAGGAGTAAAACGGATTCCGGCGAGGCACCGAAAATATCTATGTCCATTTGTGGAGCCAAAGAAAGCAAGATCGTGGTGCAGAGCAATTTCAAAGTTTATGTTTATACAGCAAACGCGTTACAAATAAGCGTATTGAGTCACATATGCGAATTACAAGCAAGAACCCCGAACCTGGTAATCGGTGTATTAACGCGGTCAAGCGTGCAAGCTGCATTCAAGAGTGGAATTAGCGCTGAGCAAATAATACGTTTTTTCGAGTCAAAAACGCAGTATGACGAGAGCAACATGAATTCCACAGCTGTGAAAGTTCCCGAGAACGTACGACGCCAGCTAAAAATGTGGGAGGCTGAACGCAACAGGCTTGAACTCATCAGCGCTATTTTGTTTAAACGCTGGGATGCGGAATTTATGCCAGAGCTTTTCAAACGTACAGTACGATGGGCACAAGCAAAGCGCTACGAGTTATTCCATACTACATGGCCGTCAGATATATATTCACCAGATTACCGCAATTGGCTGGAAAACGAGAAATATTTGGCATGTACATTCGAATCGAAAGAGGAAGTTATTGATAAGATAAAACAAATACGTATGTCATTATCGGATGAAAAAAATCGTTCTTCCGGTGGGAGTGCATTTGGCAAGGGACAAGATTTGTGATGACCACTTAAATTTTCATTCACTGTTATTACAGTGCATTTTGGCGAACAAAACATACTGTTCAAAGTAATCGTTGTTACACGCGGAATGGCCTCATAAAACCACCGTTGCTAGCTAATTCAGGGGGGGGCATGGATTTCATGTCTATTCAAAAACACTGGCTTGATGATCTAATCGTGGAATAGCTCCCCACTTCACTTAAACATTTTCACGTGTGATATCAAATTGAATAATTCCATGGTTGCAACGGTTTCGTAAGCGTTGACGACGGTCTTATATCATCTTCATAAACTTGACAAAACGGTCAAAATCTGTTTGCCACTGCTCCCGTTCGTCTCTGGTCTTGAACATGAAAAGGTAAGAATTGTTACCGGCTGATATTTCCAAATATTTCAGGTTGTCTACCTTTGTTTTGAAATTAGTTATTTTTGAAACAGGAAGCGTCCCAATGAGTTGCCGTTTATTTTCATCGTCTTCTGGTGCCTTAACTTTGTACCATTCAATACATTTACCATCCTTACTGCACGTAACTCTGACCTTCTCGTGGAATATGGCAGTTTTAACTTTTACTATTTTTGTCAGCGCCTTGCGGTATTGCAAGATCTTGTTTCGGCGTATATCCTTAGCGGTAGCCTGTCACATTATGAATTGATAAATACGACTTGTGTTTTTTTATTTTTGGAAATGGCCATACCGTTTCGTCGTCGGTATCACTGGAGGAGTCGACTGAACCTTCATCCGAAACTACCTTCAGACACTTGGCGGAATATGTTGGACGCCTTCGGTTGGCTCGTACCGATGCTGTTTGACCACTTTTGGGCGTCGCATTCGATGCCGCGGCCGCATTACCCTGTATAGAGTGAGACTTGCCAAACAGCACATTACCTTCTCCTTCAAGAGATCTTCGTTGAAACCGAAAACACAACTATCTAGGTTCCATTTCGTTAGTTCCCGATAGTTCAGTTCTGTAGTCTGCATTTAAAATGTCCCGTACAACTTTGAAGAGATTATACTAACGTTGAAAATAGACGCAGCAAGTAGCGGTTCGTCAGGAGTTTTGCGAGCTTTCCCTGAGTAGGACATTTTTAGCACCTATCAATGCCGATACTGGAGTGAAATGAAAGGTATTCCGATTGAAATTACCCGGTCATATGGAGGCGCCGAATCAAAGACTAGACCGCGGTATAGGCTTCGATGCCTGAATCAAATAAAAGCCAATTATTTTGTAACCGCGTTTGCAGGATGCCCAGCTTTAAAAAAGGGTAATATTAACTGCTCTTCTAGCTGAGGTGTGTAAGATTCCTCAATAAGATTCACGTTCAGTTTTAATTACAGTTGGTCACAATAAACATTAGAAAATTGAATAATACTGCTAATACACACTTTGCAAGCATCTATATTAACCCACCTTAAGTTGCGTTGTAGTGGCACGTGCAGCACCTTCATCTAGATACGATCCACCGTATACTGCTCACTGCGAAACGCACCGATTTCTATATTTTGACAAAATGTCCGATTGGTTTGGAAGTGTCGTAAATTCCTTTAGCAATTTGACTCAGTCGGAGCCAAAGCAATCCAAGCAAGCATCAGCCGACAAAGATGGTTGTCACATATATGCCGTCGTTGTCATGCGCCACTACGCAGAGAAAGAAGCATGTAGACTCACAGCGGAATATGATTTTTCACCGCTCCCTATGTACATGGCCAAAATATCTCGGGAAGTGACCGATTTGGTATCAAGGTGAGTTTTGCTACTGCACAATGTGCTCCATTTTAGGAATTTCTAATTAAAAGTACGTTGCAAATATGTTTGTTCAATGGCGTTTGATTGTTCCCTGCGTTGCGCTCACATCTGAACTGTTATCTGCTCATAACCGAGCATTAAAATGACGCGGTATACCGGTCGGATACACTTTTTAGGACCACATCGCAAGAAGCACTTCCAGATGAATCGAAATGTGTGGACATGGAAAACAACATGGGAATGTTCTACGTCAAGGCAACAAGCGAGCCTCCACCATCCCAATTGGTTTTTGTGGTTGCCGTAAACAAACATTGTACAAGATACCAAGCTCTGCAGTTCCTTCAAGACGCCATGCATTTGTATAAGGTGTGTGAATGTTATCACTAGCGTAACCTAGGGGCGCCTCCTATGTATGATGCCGAGTTAAAGTGCTGTACACACGCGGAACACATAGTAACTTATACCAACTGTAGATGGAAGCGGACGTCTACCGTGATAACGTGGGTGAGGCACTGAAGTACCCAGCGTTACGATCGTTAATGGCACAGTACAAGGGGAGGCGCGACGTCCTAGTTGACGCACAATCAAAACTAGATGAGGTATTGTATCACGCAAATCGTAACCATATTTACAGACCAAACAAATTGTCATGGACACCTTGGACAAACTAATAAACAGACAAGGTAACCTCGACGAACTAATCGCAAAGAGTCAGGACATGACTCAATCAACAGCCAGACTAATGAGGTACGCCTTTGCAGACTCTTGTCTAATTAGTGGTTGCTGTGCACATAATTTGCAGGGATGCGAGACGCCGTAACAGTTGTTGCTCGGCGATGTAAGCCGCGCTGCCCCAGACACAAGGCAGCAAAGTCACTGTAAAAGTAAAACGATTAGACGTTATTTATACATTGAATCACCAATAAAATGGAACAGTATTCTCCGAGTTCATATATCGGGAATATCACGCGCAAACCGGTCGTCGTCAAGCTGAACAACGGCACAAAGTTCAAGGGTATGGTTTGCCTTCTGCACATTGCCATATTTTCTTTAACTCTTTCATGCAACTTACAGGAATCCTTTCAAGCTTGGATGACCGGATGAATTTGGCCTTGGAAAACACCAAGGAGTACAACGATGGAGTGCTGATGAAGACGTACAGCGATTCCTTCATCAGAGGAAACAACGGTACTGGAAATTTTTTAGAAATACATATAAATTCAGTGTTGTACATAAGCATGGACACGGATCTTCATTGAAGAAGAAATCAGATTATTCGCGAAAAGCAGCTGGGCATCTTCGAGGTTACGCAGCAAAGAAAACACAGAACCTCATAAGATCTGCCACCGAGTCGCTTAAATGAAGTTTTCGAGCGTCTTAATGAACGCCCCTTTTCCACAAGGTTTATTTTGCCACGGCGTCGCTCTTCTGGTATATGGTGCCAAAAAAACAAACGATTCTAATCGCGTTGTAGAAGTGCTATAAAAGTTTACGACACTGCATTTTGTAATTTATCCTGAGAGCGGACACATCGCACGTAGAACGGATGTTCAAGTGTGATCAGGAGGAGTGATGGCTAAAGCCTGTCTCAAAGATTTTGATCGTCAGATTATAACAATGATCACTACGATGTAAAAGCCGCGCTGATAAAGCACTACTATCGTCAGGGCTGCGTTCTACCTATGCAGCTTCCGACTATAGCAGCTATTTCCCTGCAGAGCGAGACGACTTGTATTTTTGGATCAGATAAAATTGCTTCCGAATGGCATATACTGTCGGTGGTTACGATGCGTGCGATCGGAGAATCCCTAATCCTTTGCAATGCAGGCCCCGAAAATATACCGTGCGTGATGAGCGCTATCACACTTTTAGCGCCATTTGCCATCAATAGCTCTGAAGCCTTGCAGAGGGTGCCGGCCGTATCAACAATGTCGTCAACAATTATCACGTCACAACCCGTGACATTTCCACAGAGCACGGCGTTTTCTACATGGTTGGCCGTTACCCTCTGTTTAAATATCATAGCCGAAGAAATGTCATAATGGGGGTAGTGGTCTGCAAGCATTTTGTACAATTGCATCGACCTCGAATAGGCGCCTGCATCCGGTGAGACGATTGATACTCTTTCAAGACCGTCGAGATAGTCCACGAAAATTCCGAGAGCATTTTTATTATCCACTTGCACTTTAGGTCCAAAGAATCCCTGGCACATTGTACTATGTAGGTCGAAGGATACAATACGATTAACGCCAAATAGTTCAAGCATTCTGGCCACGTCGCTCTGCAAGAAATCTTTAGTCGCTTACAAACAATGATACACATATACGCAAAACTTCCAGATTTCACGAATTAGAAGCTACCCTTTGAACAATACATTCCACTTACCGCCGAGATATTGGATCCCGCGGTAGTTTTCCTGTCTTGCCTTGAGTATCCGAAATACGGTATGATGGCCGTGATGTGTTTGGCTCCTGATCGACTGGCAGCTGAAATCATGAACAGTAGCTCCAGAAGATTGCTGTTCACCGGAGGCGATGTAGACTGGATGAATATTACATCAGAACCACCCAATTCCTCCTGTAAGTCGACCTTCGTCTCTCCATCCGAAAAATTTGATACATCCGCTTTCCCGAGGGGCAATCTAGCTATTGCACAGACTTCGGAGACAAGCTTCCGATTCCAGTTGCCCGTGAAGACCAGAGGATTCCTACTATTCTTTGACTCCATTCTCATTATCTCGGATTGCAACATAAATTATGCAGGATTAAGCCTCCGCAAAGTAAATATCATCTACACACCTATGGGGAGCTGATTCAATACTTCCGCATGATCGTGTTTACTATCATACATCATCCAGACGCAGCCGTATAATACTAATACTACGCTGTATACCCCCCAAAACTGACGTTGATCAAGAGTTGGGCATCGATTGCTATGGGCTGCAGCTTAACATGACACACGATCTGGGACAACCGGGCCTTCAATTATGCCCATTCGACTGCAGTAACCCACTCACAACGCAATCAACAGAGGCATGTGCAGGCTCTTACACCACATAGAATGTCGACGTAACCGACTACTCGGACAGCAGGCCGGCGCCGAATCCGTGTTTAGCAGGGTAAGACTTCGCTATTGTGCCGCTAATCTTGGCGAACGGTTCCGAAATATCAGAATTTAACCTCTAGCAGTCTACGTGGCTGTGATAAAGAGATGATAACAGTAAAGACCCGTGAACTCAGAATAACGAACGCGACGCCGTAAATCATATTTAGTACCATTCAACACATGGACGTTGATAGCACATAAAAAAGAATTCACAGTACACACATAAATTAATTAATTCGTCACTTAACGAGGCATTGCGGCCCCGGTACACAGGATATCACTTAGAGGAAAGAGCGCCTACACCCGGAAGGACTTTACCTTCCATCAACTCAAGTGAGGCACCTCCTCCGGTAGAAACGTGACTGAAAAGGTGTGCTCTCCCCTTCTGTTCGGCTAGGGATGCTGTGTCCCCGCCACCAATAACACTAATGGCACCTCTCTTCGTGGCCTCTCCAACGATATCCAACGCAGCTATAGAACCTTCCGCGAAATTGGGAAACTCAAACACACCAAGAGGACCATTCCACACGATGGTTTGGCACCCTTCGACTACACCTTTAAGAAGTTCCACAGTTTTAGGGCCGCAGTCAAGCCCCTCGGAACCATCCGGAATACCTTCCTCCTCAGTTACCAATTTGAATGGCGCTTCGTTTGAAAAACCGAATGCTGCCTTAAAGTCCACAGGAAAGAAAACCTTGACACCGCGGGTTTTGGCTTCGGTCATTATGTCCGGGACTATGCCTGCGCCTTCAGCATCATACAACGAATTCCCAATTGTCATTCCTCCAAGCACCTTCTTGAAAGTGTACGCCATTCCACCACCAATGAATAATATGTCGACCTTCTGCAAGAGTGACTTAATGAGCTGGATCTTGTCCTTAACTTTTGCACCACCTAAAATACTGAGGTACGGCCTCTTGGGTGTTTCTAAAATTTTCGCAAAATAATCTAGTTCCTTTTTCATGAGGAGACCTGCGACCCTCAATGGCACATTAACACCAACCATGGAGCTGTGAGCCCTGTGTGCAGTGCCGAATGCGTCATTAACATAGATATCCCCTAATTCCGTTAGGCTCTTACGGAAGGCTTCGACCTCGCCTTCACCAACCTTCAGTTTGTCCTTCACTCCCTCTTCGGCGGCATGGAATCTCAAGTTTTCGAGCAAGACAATTGTACCCGTGGGCGCCTCCTTGCAGAACTTTTCAACCGCGGCGCCTACGCAATCGTCTAGGAATTCCACTTTTCGGTTTAGAATCTTAGAAAGCTCAGCAGCGACTGGGCGCAAGGAGTACTTCTCTACACGCGAACCATTTGGCCTACCGAGGTGGGACATCAAAATAATCGATTTGACTCCGTGCTTCAGTAAAAATTCGATGGTGGGAACGGTCGCCTTGATTCGTGTGCAGTCTCGGATAGAGCCTTCCTTTATGGGTACGTTAAAATCCACCCGAAGCAAAACACGAGATCCCGGCAACTGAAAAAATTTTAGGATTGCCACAGTAAAAAATAGAAACTCCCGCAGACGTATTAGGACGTATCTCACTCACCTTGTCAACGACGTCGGCGAGGCCAAGTTTGGAAGAAAGCATTGACTCCATAGTGATAGAGGGCTGCTTAGAACTAAAAAAATTAAATTGAGTCTCTTTAACTGACAGATATGGTTGTCTACTTCAGAGTCACTTTACAAGAAACGGAAACGAGCTAAATACCTGGGGCCCACAATAAGTCTTACTACATTGGGCCCTGACACACGCAGTCCATCCCATATTCCATAGACATTGACGAGTTTTGGTCAATAAAAAATATTTTCCTTGGCTCTGTACGAGTCTGCACATTTCCCGGTTTGAGTATTATCACTGGTTTCCGTTGCTGATGCTGGCGTATGTGACCGTTCACTGCACCACGAAAAAGTTATGTGCGTTGTAACTTTCACATGGCGCGGAATTAGACAAGGTTGTTTTCCGCCGCATCCTCATGAGATCAAGGTGATCCCTCCGACCTAGTTTGTCTACCCCTCTTTCATTCTCCAACAGTTTTTTGATTTCCAGTTCCATAGTGCTGAGTTCTCTTGAGTCGTACTGATGCGCCAATTCGCTTGTAACATGCTCTTTCCTTATTACACTCCTCAACGTAAAATTGCAATCGAATCCGCAGATCACATCAGTATATGATCTGAAGCAGTAAGTGGATTCCACACTCTTAAGGCTGTTTTCATATGCCCCGACGGCAAATACGTCGGTATTCAAAACGTGCTTTTCACGTTGCTCATCACAGACTTGTATGACACGGGAACTGCTAGACATTGCGTAGAACTGTATGTGGTTAATAGTCTTCTCGAGGTCCACATAACCGCTGCTGGTTCTACCGCTCTCAACAAAATATTCTACATCACGATCCCGAATCGTCTCGGTTTTAAGCATATCTTGTAGTATACATAGAACCAACTTTCTACACGCCAGGTCCGGCGTAGGCGATACGGTGATACATACTGCGTGACTCTTCATCCATACAGGAACATTGTAGGAAATCATTCCCCTCGACGTCATCTTATGATTTTGTGAAGGACGACGAAGAGTCATGAATTTACAATCGTTATCCTCTATCATGACTATTGCCGCTCTGCTTTTGTCGAATATGTGTTGCAGGGACTGCAAATCCATGTTTTCCCGGTGGTACATATTTATATACTGTAGGTCTTTGTGCAAGACCATTTTATCGGCAGCGGAAACATATTCTGCATAGACACAAAAGAAGCCCATTGCCCTGCAGATGAGTTCCACGCCAATCCTTATCCCAGATCCCGACGGATGAATAATGATGCAAACGTTTTTCTCATCCACAGCCTTGTTACGCCATTCACTTTGCGTGCTTGCCATTTGAATAGTCACAAGAAAGCTACGAAGTAGATCGAACGCATCTCGGTGGCCAAAAACATCTGCGATCCGAATGGGTCTCAACAAATCCTTTAGCAGCATTCCAGTGTCGTGCAGGTGTTGTTCAGTTATCTCCCGCCGTGCGGGAAAGCTTATGTGCCTGCATTTTTCTTTGACTTTACTGTGTAGCATCCCCCAAAAGTCTTCTTCAACTATCAGCTGCAGATTTTGATCAATACAGGAAGTTACAATTCCTGGATCAATCCACCAGCCGAGTATTAGACAGTTGGCCGTATTTGGTTTCGAAACAACTTTAATACCTGATGTCTAATTAAATAAGCATAAACATTGAGAAGCTATGCCCGAAAGTGGGTACTGGTTTTGACATTACCTGACTGAGTTAACAGCTTCGACAGATGCAACTTCGAAGAAAATGCTAGGTTACCTACGATGGAAACACTTTTTACATTATTAAAAACACTAAACTGTTTAAGATCATTGACTTGGTCGCATATACAATTGTCTAGATCGAACAGTTCCCTATTTTGTTGCTGAAAATCCGGATTTGTTACCGCAAAGCTCTCTGAGAGAAGTGGTACTTTCACGCAATCCAGAACATCGGTGGCATTTATCGCGGCCTGAGAACGCCGCTTACAGAAGAAGAATGGCTGTTCGGTGTACACTCCTGATGGTTCAGTTTTTTTTAATACCCTCTGGGTTGCTCTTTCGGCGGTATCGGTTACCTTGGCATTAACGGACACATCCGAGAGCACGGCGACACGCTTAACCATTTCAAAATTTTGCGCTTTAAAAAGTCAGGAATCGTACGTAAAACACATTTCCAAGGGTCGCAACACACCAGCCCTCGGAGCCTACGCGACGCTTCGGACGGTGGCAGTCACGGCGACTAATAAATGAAAACAAACAATTCTATCGCACTTACAAACAGTTATATAGCGTATCTGTTCATACCAACAAGGCATACTTGCGCTTGGGGATATTTTCACATCTCTTGCGTTGCTTTAATGTTTTGAGGTGAAGCTGTTTTGCGGTGAGGGCCCTCCTCTTGGCTCTTGTTAGTTTAGGGCGAAGATTAAGAGGCATGTCGGAGAGCTTTTTATATTGCTTCCTAGCCTCTCCCCTTTTACGTTGATTGTAGACAGTGAGAACCTTCGCGATAGCCTTCCTGATTACGCCAATTTGAGAGAGTTTTGACGTCGAAGTAACCGTTACTTTCTGCACCCTCATGGATGCATACTCCTGTTTGAGGTCTTCGAGCTGTTTCAGCAGTTCGGCGTCCGTTTTAGTTCTGAGTTCATAGACCTTGATTTTCTCCTGGACCAAAGGTTAAAAAATAACAAATTCATTTGACATAAAAGGGCCAAATTAAGCTTACCATTTTATCAAATGCGAATGATGATTCGGAATTTTTATCGTTCAGCCGTCTGGCCTGCCTTAACGAGCCAAAAAGTTATGACCCTGAATTTTGAAATGGCTATTAACACGCACACTGCTGTCACCAAATCAAATTAGAGCAATATCTATTACAATTAGTGGCAGCTGGTGGTAGAGTACTGGTTTTTCTTTCACCTAGAGCCTCACCCCACCTGGCCTTCGCTCGCGGCTCCACGGCGAAACTTAGTTTCTTCTGCAATTATCGATTTGAATTACATAAAGGATACACATCCACTCTTCATTCATTTTCCCTGAAAAGCGTTTACGCGGAATGACAATGTCACACATTTTCAATGTACTTTAAAACCCCGTTGAACACCAATCGTTTGTTACTCTTGCTTTTTGGAGCACCGGGGACGGGAAAAGGAACTTATGGGAAGCGGTTAGCGGCCGATTATGGCCTCGCCCATCTTTCTACCGGTTTGTTGTAATGTTCTTTTGTCACGACGCGAAGGTGACCTATTGCGTGGAGAGATCCGAAGGGAGTCCACACTTGGCAACCAGATAAAAGATGCGGTGTTAACCGGTTCGAACGTTGGCGATGACACCATTTGTCGAATCGTCAGGTGGGTGCTTTCAACATTACATTCATTTACCCTTAGTGTCGAATTAGAGAGACACTGCAGAAGCGTGATTTTGGACGGCATTCCTCGCACCGCGTTTCAGGCACGCTTCGTAAAATCTGTCGCGTCCTCGTTACGGTTGCCCCTCGTAGGGGTCGACCTCACTCTCGATCGCAGTATTTTGATTCAACGCTTATTAGGTCGAAGGGTTCGTTGATAGTACCCGCCATGATAATTTGTAGCATTGCACCTATTGTAACAAAGATTATAACACCTGTACTATAAACATAGGGGACTATGTGATGGACGCCATCTTGCCATCAAAGAATGACATCCTGAGGGTTAGTCCCCAATCTTGTAGCAACATCCCTTTTAGTGTCCGGGTTGCTCCGACTTAAAGCGCAGGAAAGATGACACAGAGGACGTTATAGAACGTAGATTAACAATATACGAAAATGACCGGGCGGAGATTCTAGCTGCGCTAAAAGGGGTTGGTTCTTCTTAGTTCTCTCTATATACAACAGGTGCCTATAATGACTTTCGAAGTAAAACGCGGATTAGAAGAGTATTATAAGTTTAAAGATCAACTTGAGGGCTTCGTAAACGAACACATACAGTGAAGTGTACTGTAACCCGTAAATAATGTTGCATAATTTACTTAGCATTGGTTTATTTATGGCTCAGTTTCGGAGAATTCTTTTGGACATCGAGATTATATGGCAAACTCGATTGGTCTCCGGTTACCGTTACAAAAATGGGCGGCGCACGGCCGCTCGATTTGTGGATCATGACTGTTACGCAAATCAGGGTTGTCTCCAATCAATTCAAACCGAAGGAAACCTATATGCGTATTGTTATGTTGTGTCAACGTGTATATAGAATTGCTCAATTGCACCTCATTAATCGTGAGGTTTACTACGTATGTTTTCTAAACTGCCATAAGCCACCAAGGGACTACTTTGCGGTTTGTAGGAGAGAACTGATAACATATACCTCGAACCCGTATCACACGGCCGGTATACTAGTGTTGCGCAGCGGTACTATGGTTGAACATGCAATAATCTTATTAACGGGTAAGTTCTGCGTCAACTCCTTACACTTGGCAGCCAGACCGCCATCTAAACCTTCACATTAACAGGTTGAAGGCGACAAATGAGAGTCTTGTTATTTGCTGAATATTGCATGGTCATTGCGATGTTACCTATAACGTGGATTCAGTAGAAGCCATAAACTTTAGTTAGGCATCACAAGTGTCTCCTACTCTTAACCCCAGTCCCATCTATAACTTCCGTGACATGTGGACCTAGAACACTAGTGGGAGGTGCTGGCATCCTGAATTCTTGGTGGCCCAGAGACGATGCCTCGATGCCGAGACCTTGACCACCACGGCTGGTGTCGAATTCTGTGCGGAAAACATCACGCCATTGATATCCGTTGATACCACGCGCAAGCTTGCGATCAGTGTCTATATTATCGCCTGTATCAGCATCAACCCTGACTACCCGTCCGTCGATGATACATCCTTTAAACAAGCCTATGGAGCGTCTTGCAGCGGTGACGGTGTCGTACACGACGAAGGCAAATCCACAGGGATTTTTCTCTATGCTGTTGAGGCCCAAAACGATGCGATTTATCCGGCCAACACGTGAAAATACCTAAAGAGTGACGTGTGTGTGTTTTACAATCAATATCATTATCGCATCATAGAACAAAGCAAATTACCTCGTGGATCCTCTCTTCAGGCGTTGTAAATGCAAGATTTCCAACGTAGACGGTGGAAGAGCGCTGTATCCTGTAATTCCACTCCTCCTGAGAAGAACAGAGTTTTTTATCCCAATATTTGCGTTCTTTTGAGATGGAGTGGTAAAGTTTCGCCATTTTGCGAGAAGCAGACACACTATTCTGGAAAACAACTGTATAACAAAGTATTGTGAATAACGTTACTTTTCTGGAAGTTTCAAATGTATGGAGCCGTTTCTGTGGGCTGCACGACCTTGTAAGGCACAACCCGTCACCTCCCCGGAGTAAAGACCGCTACAGCATTTGCAATTGATATAAAGTTTACAAAAATTACGCAAATTTGATTTGCCATGGTCGAAGTTTACATTAATCGCAGACGCCACACCGAGATAGAATCGCAGCTTAGCGTACAGTGGGACCTACAGCTGCCTAACGACGTGTCGCTATGTGAAGATATCCTAGAAGGGCTCGAACGAGCCGTATCTAAGCTAGGTAAACTTTCTTCAATGTCCGAAATAATGACCCGCAGAAGAATCCAACGCATTTATGTGCACATTGCTTGAGGTAAGTCTAAAGCGGCTTAAGCACGTCATTTTGCGACAGAATAACAACGATGAAGAACTCATTCAATACGTCGAAGAAAACAAATTGGTGATACGACGTAAGCTTCACCAGGCGCAACAAGTAAAGTCACACATTGACTTTTTGCGCAATGAAGTGGAAAGAGGTAGAAATACCTAGGCGGCAGAACCTCCACAATTCATAGAAAACCGCGTCACGTAGAGACAAAAACCCTTACTTAGTATCATAGCTAGATAAAGATCCAGCTCTGATCATAGCAATACTTTTATCGTTTCACACGCCTCAGTGTTTTATGTTTCGTGCTGGCGATCTGACGCTGCAGTTTACAAAATCCACAACGCCCACTAGACTTTGTATACGTCATACGACAACACGTCTAGGTCGATAAACGGCCAGCTCATAAATGGGTTGCGGTAATATCGGACTTGACAATCCCCGTCGTCGCGAGTCACGACACCCTCAAGTTCCGCATACACTAACTTGTATTCTGCCAGAGATACAGAGATACTTTGGGCTTCTGCAAGTTGAAGAGGTGTTACGGGACCCGACGCAACCAGTTGTGCTACACTTTCAAGACACCGGGAAGCATCCGCTGCAACAACGGTGGCAACACCTTGAATATCAACAATTTTGCATGAACCATCTTCCTGAAGCATTTCCACTTGTGCCCGCACTTCTTTCGCCGTCAATAGGTTGCAAACTCTCATCCGGTTTACCAAGCAAAAAAGGTCCTGCAGGAGAATGAAGTCATGGTCCTTCATTAGATTTATTAGAATCTCTTTTGTATCATTGTACTCGCCAACACTTTTGTCAGACTCGAAAATGTGCAAATTTAAAGCTTCGAAGGTTTTTGACAGCGTACGCTGTCCGGGATGTATGTGGCGCGCCATTTCGCGAATTTTTTGTGATTTTTTTTTGAGCGTTGTAAAGTCAGCCATCACATTGTGACGTAAGATATCCGCATCTTCCACCCTCTCGTTTTTCATTTGAACAACGCGAGACAATCCGCCGATGCAATCCGGGCGTCCTATAACGTTGCACGTGTCATGCATATTTAAGACATTTTTCAGCTCCTTATAAAAGTTTTCGAGATCACCTTCGCATGTTACATAATAAGTGACATCGATGCACGTAATTTTGATAAAACGCTGCATTCCACATCTCTTCAATTTACATTGCCGGATGGAACACATGGAGATAGACCTGGAGCCACCGCCGTCGTTATACGTCAGTCGGCTTGAAGTTAACTTTGCCTCGCCACATGGCCTTGCCCTGCCCATCATTCCAACGCGTATCTTAAAACCATTTAATATAAGCACCTCTTCCTCCACTTGACACTCCATTGTGTTTCATCAGAACATAACCGTGAAGAACATGGTAAGGAACGTGTAAGATATGTAGCACTGAAGGAAGAAGTAGAGCACTTCGAACGCCATAACAAATGAAAAGAGGAAGGATGGAACTGCTCCACTGATATTCGCCAGAATGAGCTTCATAATTTCACCGAACACACAAAAGGCAAGCAGGGGACGGACGGCCTACAGATTTTAAGATAGTAATAGAGGTAGCATACCTGGAAAGTTGTGCGTGCCATATATATGAAAAAGAAGCGAGAACTCAAGACATACTTGGTTGCAAATTGTATCATGGATAGCGGGTTCACGTAATACGTGAATAGAGGCGACAATCCAAGGGTACGCGGCTTTACGCTGTGGCCAAGGTGTTCGTTGTACGATTTGGGGAATTGCGTCAACGCACCAACGTCATAAGTGTACCTTTTATCATTCAAACCGTTGTCCAGCAGGATACGGCCAAAGCGGCGATAGTCCGACCATTCATGACGAGCATGAATCTTTCGAGCGGAAGCAAACCTGCTCCTGCCATAGGTCACAATCTGCAAAAGTGATGAATACAAGTACATAATATTAAGACTAAGATCACATAATCCGAAATTAGCACGCATGGTTTCATGAACTCACCTTTTCAGCGCTAAAAACACGTCCAACCGCGTTATCTGCTCGCAATGGCTGGTATTTGCGGCTCGACAAGTTCCACAACTGCACTGTTTTCAAGTTAAAAAAATTTCGCATTGCCATATTATGCGTTTTCATTTAACACGTCTCTCTCTCTAATTTTTCAAACGCCGCGTATTAGACAATGTGCACCACTTCATTAAATCAACGCTACTCGTCCCTACGTATAACTCACGAATTGCTAAGCATCATATTACGGTAATCTAAACTATGAAAATACTTGTTTGTGAGATCGCATAATTTGCTGTCCGCAAAAGTCACATGTTACTTCTTGCGTCGTTTATATCGTTAGACACACCTATTATTTGGATACTTTTTTGCGGGTTGTTTTCCGATACACAATCTTTAGCGTTGCTTCCTAAACCTCTTTGCAACATTTGGTTTTGCAGAGGTCGCAGAGAATCCACTAAACAACAAGCATTTTGTTATTCCACCTCGCCGTCACTGACGAATAACTTCACACCAGTGGATTTATTTAAGTCTGCTGACGAAGCCCATCCAAAAAGTGAAATTACCACTAGCGAACCGAGAAAAAGGGAAATCGATCGTAACCTAGCGCTTTGTCGACCAAAAATTGATCATAATATCGCAAAAACTTTCAAACCTTCAAAAGAATGCGGAAGAGTTATAGAGGTTAATAACTTAACAATATGGGTTGGGAGCCGTGTTTTATTTGACAATGTAAATTTCCGGGTCCATAAAGGGGAATGCATCGGCATCGTTGGTAATAATGGCAACGGCAAAAGCAGTTTGTTGGACGCCGTATACAACAGACTTAGCGGCATCGATACCCCAACTACAGCTTTATCTGCATCCATGGACATCAAAAAATGGCTTCCTGAATTGCCACGTACCAGTGCGAGACAGTTAGAAACGTATCAAATGCTCTACTACATGCGAAAGCGAGGTCACAGTTTGAATGATCTATCACATATGCAGTTAGATGAAATTATTGCTTCAGGTGACTATTCTCGTTTTTTGAATTTCGAAAGCATTTTCACAGCAGACACATCGCTTTACAGCCACGTGGCATACATGCGACAGAACTATGTGTTGAAATTGGATGATTCTATGTTAGTAGAGAAGATAATAAAGGATACACACACTGCCTGCCGTACACGTATTTCTATCATACAAGAGATTGAAGACCATCTGGACCATCTCAACTATATCGCTAGTGGCACGATTGCTGCTGGTATCCACATTCTGGAAGGGAAGGATGCTGATGCAATAAAGAAGGCTGAATGGGCCAAACGAATACTAACGGTATACAATAGTGACAGCCAATTTGTGCGTGAGATGTCTAGGGATTTGGACATCAAGATCACTCATCTCATAGAAATGTTTGGCATGAGGGACATGCTGACTTTGAGAGTAGGCGAGCTGAGTGGCGGTTTAAAGATGCGATTATGCTTATTGATACACCTGATAAATAGACCTCAACTGCTATTTTTGGACGAACCAACGAATAACTTGGATATGGAATCCGTAACGTTCCTTTCCACTATAATTAAACGTCTTATTAAAACGACTGGGTTGTCAGTCCTCCTCATTAGTCACAATCTCCATTTTCTCAACACATTGTGCAGTTCTATCCTCCACGTACCTGGTGACGGTACGTTGTCATTATATACGGGGGACTTCGACAAATTTGTGGAAAAGGGTTCAAGTCTGCTGCAGGGTAGAAAGTCGCGATTACAGCACCTGGAAGCTAACTTGAAGAAATTACAGCAGCAATATCATGTACAGTTAGAATCCACAAAAGGGTCACAGAAACAAAAAAAAGTTTCGCTTTCGCAAAAACGACAGTTGATAGAGGAGACTGAGGATATGGTAGAGAGAGTAAGGGGTGCTCAAAAAAGTTCTTATAGTGATGCGTACGAGCGCTGCTTATTGTTGAATACGCCTTATGCAAACACAGATCAATTTATGCATCTCCCACTGCTCAAAAGAGGCACATTTGTCTTCCCCGATAAGCCGGCGTTCACTCTCCAAAACCTTAAGCTGTGCAATAAGGCGAATGAGGCGTTACTTTCCAATGTGTCATTGACTATTCATAATGGAGATCGAGTCCTTCTGTTGGGTAATAATGGTTCGGGAAAGTCCACCCTGCTATCACTGCTTAATGCAGTGGCGCATGCCTCAAATACAGGTATTGAAGACGTTAATATAGTATTGAACGGGCAATCGCACTTTCGTGTAGAAAGCGGCTACTGTAAAGGCAAAAAAAATACCAGTGTTAACACCTTCTCACAGAACTGTAGCGACCTGCTAAGGTCTACTTTATCAGTTGAAACTTTGGCCATGAACTTTGCAGGTGTAGATGCGTCGAGGAGTGAACAACTGACAAAATATCTGTCTGCCTTCCACTTACAAGAGTTCATGGACGTTAATGTTTGCGATTTGTCATTTGGTGAGCGATCGCGACTACTACTAGCCTTGCAGTTTATCCGCGACTCAGCGTTTGTTTTCTTAGATGAGCCCAGCAATCACCTGGACGTCTATATGCAAAAGAAGCTGTCACACCTTCTCAACAAGGTGTACACTAAAGGCGGTGTGGTTGTCGCAACACACGATTTGCAACTGCTACAGAGCCTCGAACGTGTAACTACAGTGATTTACATTCACGAGCGCGACAAAGTTTACGTGTTCAACGGCGAATTTAAGGATGCGTACCATCGGCTAAAAACAGACAAGCCGGATGTGTCGCACGACGCAATGGGTGCTTTCTTGGAGGGTTGCAAACGGTCTTACCCGCGCGATCCATTCCCTCATGCTACCCGCCCAAACTCGATGCCGGAGGGTGAGGATTCCAAGCAAAAAAGATCGAAAAGTCAAAAACATGACAGTAGAAGTTCGTACACACCCCGTAGGGGAAAGATTAAAAATGCGAAACGTTACACCTAGTGCGAATACCGTCTGCTTCGCCCGAGCACGCACATACCACCGAGGGGTTCTGTAGACCTTTATCCCCGCCGAAACACTTAATAGCGCAACGCTTGCAGCCACATACATCGGACTTGCGTGCATCCGATATTACGTGGGCACCGTGGTGTTACCCATGGTATGTTTTACTGCAGGCAATGAAGCCTGGGGGTGCTGTGGTTGGAATCATTCTGAAACTGGACGTATTTAGTTATTGTCGTGACATCCATTTTAAACGTTGTTTTTATATGCACTGCGTTGCAGCTCGTACAACTACTTCTCGTACGTTTTTTGTGGAATCATAGACGTATCTCTGCGCCGGCGGGGCTAACGCACATCTTCTGCCAAACTTTCAAGATTATCGCCGATATAGCGACGCAAGAATTGACTTTTTGTATCGCGGTATAATATTTGCGCGACATTGTGTAAATATTATTTCGGTAAACAGGTACCATTGTAAACTGTACTGCCCCGCTCACAAGATGATGTTTGCTAGGTTGCTTTTCACCTTTTTCTTCTTGTTGCCTTACAGATGCGTGCGCGGATTCTTTTACCGTGCCGTACCTATGTATGAGTACAGGGGCAAGCTTTACACCGAGACCTTCGATATAGGTCCTTCGCAAACGGTTGTGCGTAACCAAGCAGTTGGATTTTTCTGTAAAGATATGAAATCTGGACAATATCTTATCAATCCATACGTTCAACGTTGCCCAATCGGTGCTTCTGTATGTGGACCAGACTACGATCAGTCCCTTGGTACGTGCGCAAAGTACGCTGGATGTCACACAATCGGTACGGACAAACGCGTCTGCAGTTGCATGCCTGGTTACTTCGGCAATGGTTATGTTCAGTGCTTCAAGCATTGTGACACAGACCTCGACTGCCCATCTCCTTATGCGGAGTGTCGCCGGGACGGTAGTGAGAAATTCAAACGTTGCAAGTGCAAGGCTGGATGCCCAGGTGATGGCGTCATTTGCAAACCAGACAATATCTGCACTGAATCTGAAGAAAGCGGAGAAACACACCGCAAGTGCCTACAGACGGGTATCCACGACAAGACCTATGTTTGTGATGAAGGCTACTACCTGGATACTCACTACAGGTGCGCGGAAATAGCTTCACTTGATGATGACAAAAAAGTTAGCCTGATTGCTTTAGATTATGAAGATGGAAGTCGCATTGATATCGGAAAATGTTTCTCCATCGAAATTAACAAAGAAAATGGCCAGTCGTATTTCTACCAGATGAACAGTGGTGATCCCATTGTGGTTAACAAAAAGATCGCCACCCAGCCTCAGCTTTTCTTGACCTTCGAGGTCAAAGCAAATGATATAATTGCCTTCGCTGTGGTTGACGGCGATACATCCAGGCTGACTAAGCTTTTCACCATTTCCAACGGCCTTAGGGGGTGCAAAATTGACAGCGTGACGAGGTACAGTCCTACAGGCACTCGCGTGATTCCTTCCAACGTCACTGTCGAAGTCAAAGAGCTAGTTAACAACGTCGATCGCGCGCAAGAGCTATAATAACACTTACACCTACATTAACATTTCGCATAATATTAAATTTTGGTTTTGTGGCCCAGGGGTTTCTTTCCTTTTTGCGCAGCGAGGCCGCGTCACTCCCCGATTATTTTTAAAATATTTCTCCACCTAGATGATACCTTTTGCGTATTTTCTGCGTCTCGTGTTTAAGCAGGAGCGGCGCCTCCTTTTACGTGCTAGTGTCGTACCCCTATGGGAAAAATCTGACGGTTGCATATACACTTTTCAGGGCATAGATATTACACAATGAGCTAGTCATTGCCGATACAAAATATTAGAGTGTGTTGTCCGCATTTACCGACATACTCTTCATGAGTTTGTTTCGTGAAAATAAAAACACTCTTCCCCCAAATCTCTGGCCTTAACACAAAACAGAAACTATCTGTCACATCGTTTATTTTAGTTTATTGTAGGTGTTCGGTTTGCGAGGGAATTGTGCCACGTTTGTGACCATGAAGTCGCACACGATATCATTGATAAGAGGCCGCGGAAGAGTCGCTACATTATTTTAAAATGTAGATTCTGATCTGCATATGTTATCCTAATATTTAGCATAACTAACAATTGATTTCTGTAGCGATTTTAAACGTTGAAGTTATGTAGAAAATACCGACGGTGCAGACTTTAACTCCATATATATATATATATCTACCTTCTTGAAAACACTAACCTTTTATTTGCGCTAGCAATCGCGAGACCGAATTGAATGTTCTATTTGTGTTATTCATCGTTCGACATATTTTACTACAAATGGAGCCAGAGACGTCGAAATTGCCACCCATTTATGTTAACAAGAGTAAGCGGGTGCGAACTGACGTCTTAACCAGGCAGGCCTTGGTTCCTCCAATCTTCAGGCGTCGTGAAGCGTCCAAACGCGAGGGTAAATATGCTAGGGTTCACTCCATCAGCGCCACCAATGCCGAGGCTAAGCCATCTGCCGATGAGGCCTATCGCAACTCTTTATACATGAAGTACAAGACTACTTTCAATTATTTGTCTTCGGAGCTGCTTTTGAATAAAAACTTTTCTGGATTAAAGGTTGGTTTTGCTTCTAATTATTTCATTGATACTTTTAGCATCCCAAAATTGCTAGTTCGGAGGATGACACCGACGTACCACAGACAAAACCAACTAACAGGCGCAAGAAATTCAAGGTATCATCGTCTCAATTTGTAGATAGTTTGCCAAATTCACCGTGGTTCAATCGCACGATACCCGTTCTACTTAAAGTAGTCTCGGGGCATGATGAAAGTTCGAGTGGCGCTTATAAAGGCTGCACCAAAGACAAGCTTCTGCAGATGCACAAAAGTGGGCAAAATATCGAGGAGTGTGTTTTACGCGACATGGCAACCGTGTTGTCTAACGTTGTTACGTCCATTGATGAGTGGCGTGAGAATGCCCAGAACGCGATGTCGCAACGCATAACAATAGAAGAAGCTCGTAGTATTTTGGACGATTTTAAGGAGCTAACTGGCGGTTTGATTAAGGTAGATCTAGCCACTGAAATCGAAAATGAGATAAAGAGCTGCGAAACATTTGGAGCTAAAGTGTTGATGATAATGACTACACTTTCTTCTAATTCAGAGCGTACAGTCAGCCTTGATGATGTAGAATCTTTGGTACAAGAAGCACAAGGTCGTCGGTTTTTGGTACCGGAGGTTGCGGCTTTACAGAGCATTTTTCGCAATTTGATATCCATACGAAGTCTTATGGAGATGTCCGTACTGGAACTGGATATCTCCGAATGCGAATCATTGGTATCAATATGCGAAAAAGGGATTGTACGTCTTCCTAGATTGGATGAGCTACGCCGTCGTTTGCAAGAATCTGTGTGGTTACACAACGCTGGCAAGGTCTGCCAACGGCCGGTGAAATATTCGCTAGCAAAAAACTTGATAGATACCGTGCCAGAAGTTTTGCGTGAGCATCGTTTGTTTGGAATTGTAAAGCAAAAGTGTCTGGACGTTGAAAAATGGCTGGAACGTGTATCACAATTCTCTTTCTACCAAATGATTCTAAATGACACGCCAAACAATGGCGTGTTATCAAAAAAGGATGTTGTAACTACGTCTTCAATTGAATCTGGCACGTCTAAGGGTGGTAAATGTGATGCACGCACCTTCGAGGAGATATGCTCTGCTTATCATCAACTAGAGCTCACCCTCCCTATTTATAGAAACATTGAACCGTTGTACCAATCTCTCAAGCGCCTGCAGCGGCGTCTTAACAAGATAGAAGCTCTATTGAATTCAAATTCGCGCAATCCCAATGTGGCCACTGATTGTCTACTGCTGCTTCAGCACTCTGAGCCGCTCTCCGTTTTCATAGATCTGACACAGCAGCTACAACCTATACGTTCAGGCGTGGAATTATGGTTAAGTTACGAGAAAAAATGCCGGAGGGTTCTTGATAGTGTTAAGTCGTTTTCGATTTCTGCCGATTTCAACAGACTGAAAACTGATTGGGGGTTCCTGCTTAACTTTCGCAAAACCACAAAGTTATCGGACGCCGATTTCGCCTGTTTAATGGACCTTATGAAGGCTTATAATGAAGAGGAACGCGTACCATTTGAAGAGGTTCGTCAACTGGAAGCTGAATTCGGGTCGTTGCGCATCAAAAATCTCGTTTTGCAGCGGGAGATGAATGAAATATACGAAAAGGGACAAAATATGATATCAAAGATACAGTCGGTACTTGACAATGTCAAAGAAGACGGTGGCAAAAGCGATTCGGTATTGAGTCACCTCGTGCTGATTATACTAGAGGTTCTGAAATTTGGTGCCAAGCTGGATTTTATGCACACTCTCATGCTTTGTCTAGACTATTTGAGATGGTCCCGTGAATTTTATGCTGCTGTACTAAGTGATACGGCTCTATCTGATGGGGGTTCGCGCGTTAAAGCCCTCGCCGTCAAGGGCGCGAGCGAGACATTCAAAGAGATCACGGTGTGCAACAGCGTTCATGAACGCATATTGGCACGAATAAATGAGATAGGGTGTGTGCCAGCATCTGTCGCCGCACCACTAACGGAATTTGAGCTTTTGGGTCTACTTCTATCGTAATCACCGCTATGGCCACCCCGGGATAGTATCACAAAATGCCGGGTGATACGGTTTTAACATTTAAATCCCAAGTCTACAATTTAGACAACTCTTTTTTTGTTGAATTACGCCGTAGGGTGCTTTGTGATTATCGTCCCTTGCGTTTGGAGTACAAGGTGCACGCCTTCGCTGCTGTAGACGGGGCGCTTTGGTTTGATATGCACTCCTTTTACGATAGATGCTGCCGCTTCGAAGATTGTGCGTGTTCGGACTCCACTGTAATAGCTCGTCATACCGTAGAGAAAGCTCAACTTCTTAAGCGTCGCACGCCAAGCAACCACAACTCACCTAATTGCAAATGTGTTCTTGTTCCGGGCGCTCTGGTTGCCTTGCCTTCTCTTTCTGAGTTCAGAGATAGCGATGTGCAGTCAGAAGTCGAACGGGCTTGCGGAACAGTCTCAATTGATGGTGAGGGGTTCCGCCTTTTCGGCGTGTCGGTTGACAGCAACATTTGGCGCCGTAATGGCAACTTCAGTGGCATTGGTAACTTGAGGTGTTTCGTTATTGTATTATATATGGATGTCAAGGCTTGTGTATGTCACTATGCTATTGCCAACCCGGTTGCACATCCTATAGCACCTTGGTCTGTTTTAAGTCACTCGGTGCTCTACCATTCGGGAAGGTTTGAAGTTATAGAAGGCGAACAACACGTTCCCTTCAGCATAGACATTTCCGATATCGCAGAACTCACAGAGTTATACACTTTTACAGTGCCGTATATTTTTTTTGCATTTAGCCGTCGTAATGGGAAATTGGTGGTTGCCAACATCACTGACGTTCACGTGTTAGACGATTCTGCCATATCACTGGACGGAATTATTTGTCATCGTGACCATGTCACTTTCGCTGGGTTCAGCAATATACCGACAGTTGGCGCATTACCTCGTCACTGGTGCACTGCCTTGTTGGTGTTGTGCCACACGCTATCTCTTTACGCCAAAGTGGTACGAATTACATTATTCGAATTGGACACAGCAACGAGAAAGCATAGTTTGTTGGGTCGTCCAGTTGCTATGGTTTACGAGGTTTTATTTGGCGACGTTGTAGAATCGGTTAATGATATTACGGTAAACTATGGGTATCACGTGAATTCAGATATGGAGGTAGCCTCTGGCGTAAAATATGAGAACGTTTACAATTTTTCTCACGATGTTGTTCCCAAGTCTACGGGTGATATCGACGCCAAGCTGCGGCTGCAAATGATGAGCTGGAGGATTGTTCCGGAGCTTAAACCGTACACTATCACTGACATTCGCGTATGCGTTATAGGAGTTGGATCACTTGGTTGTCACATAGTTCGACAATTGTTAGCTTGGGGCGTTGGCAGCTTCGTCCTAATTGATTATGCAAGGGTAACGAATGGCACAAGACAGTGTTTATACAACAGCGAGGATGTAAGGGAGCAGACCTACAAAGCAGTGGCGGCGTGTTCCGAAATCAAGAGAATTCGTCCAGATGCTGATGCACTCCCCTTTAACATGCTTGTGCCGATGCCAGGTATTTTAAATGTTGATTTCCTTTAATATGTACAAAATCAGGTCATTTTGTCGCTGGAACGGAATTAAAGTCTTCTTACGAAACTCTTAGCCAAATTATGTTAGCATGTGACGCGGTGTTTCTATCTACTGACTCTAAGGAATCTCGATGGTTACCATCACTGATTGGGGCTGCCTGCTGCGCCAATGTGATACGGGCAGAAGCCAACATATTAGAAAGCGATAAATCTTTCGAACCAAGTTCTAAACCGGGGGGCGGCCCACTAGTCGTTTCCACTGGTTTGGCATTTGACAGTTTTATGATTGTTAGGCATGGTTATGGTAACTTTGAGGGTGGATGTTACTTTTGCAGCGACGTCCAATCACCAAATGACACTATTTCTGGACGGTAGGTACATTAGAAATATATTCAAGGGGTTGACGCTTAACGCTGTGCCTCTGCTTTTCCGTGTCTCAGTGGGTATACATCTCTGTGCAAACAGGGCTGTGTTTTCGCTTTTGCGTGATACAAGTTTATGTAGCGCGTAGCTCTGTTGTCGTAATCTCTGACCCTTAATTCGTATGCTTTAATTCAATTTACAGGCCCATCGACGAGACGTGCACTCTGGTTAAGCCTGGGGTCGTGGCTATGTGCGCCGCAACAGCTGTTGAGCTCCTCATTGCGCTAACGCAACACCCCGATCGTTTCGAAGCGCCACATGCGAGTTCTAGTTGCCTAGGAGGAGTTCCTCACGCTATACATATGAATATATCAGGTAAGGTGTTGACTTTTGTGTTTCACTTTTGGACAAATCGCAGATATGTCGGTAAATCGGTTTTATGTAGAAAAATCAGAAGCATGTGTGTGCTGTTCAAATGGAATTATTCAAAGCTTGAAATCAGACTCACTTTCGTTTTTACAAGAGGTTCGTAGATTACGTCGATTTTATGAATTCATGCAGGTGATGCAGAATCCTGATGTCATTGGAGAAGCTTCTGGACTGAACGCAACACTTAAGTTAGTGTCTAATTATAACGTGTCCAGTTCCAAGGAAGAATCTGATTACGTTGTGCTTTAATAATCTAACTACTTTGTGGTGTGTAGCAGTGGTGATTAGACAGATGGCGTCTATATAAAAGCATACAAATATATGCGAATTACCGGTTGCATTTTATTTACGGCAATTTATCTTTTTTTACCGCTCTGCAATTGCCATTATAACGGAAGACTACGGTTTGGTCCATGGTGGATGGTACCCTTCACGACTAGATTTGCTGAGGCTCTATATTTGAAGGCTTTTGCTCCAGCATTGCGCCCAACTCGGTATAAGGGTAAATTAAAATGGTCCTATAGATATATTTCTCAGTTATAGAACGAAAAATCGCCCCCCTTTTCCATTTGCATTCTACAACATTTAAACGAGGATTTTACCGCATCAATACAATGGCAGTCGATATTGCTGGCCAGGTGGTCACCTCTGGAGCAGAGGATGCTCGCGTTGTTAAAGATGCATCTTCTTTTCGTCTAGAAAGCAATCCCGATTTTATCAAAACGAGGCTTGCGAAATTCGAGGAGTTGTATGAGCGTCAACAAAACCGGATTGCAGGTAAACATATATGGTTGTTTCTCTGACATGTGCGAACAGAAGCAGAGAAGCGTGATATAAATGTCGAAGTCGAGATTCCAGACAAGCCTAGTGCAAAAATCACAGGCAAATCGTGGATAACATGCCCAGCCGATTTAATCAAATGTTTGAGCAAGGCAGATGCACAAGGTGTGGAAGTAGCAGAGGTAGATTTAAATCATATCATGTGCTAATGAACGTTATTTAGATTCGTCCCGCTGAAAAAAGTGGCGATTTTGTGGTGGACATTGAGAATGATACTGATCAAACCGATGAGTGGATATTATGGGACCTTCATAGGCCATTAGAAGGCGACTGTACGATACGATTTCACACTTTTGACTCCCCTAAAGGGCAACACGTTTTTTGGCATTCGTCCGCCCATATGCTAGGTAGGTATCATTGCCAATTAACGTATCAATGCCATGCTAGGTTCTGCACTTGAAACACTGTATGGAGCATACATTACAATTGGTCCAGCGTTAAGTCAAGGATTTTACTACGATTGTTACATAGGTAATCATGTGAGTTCACATCTAGTTGGGATGATCATAGTTCGAATAGACGCTCAAGCCTGATGACATGGAAAAAATTACCGCGCACGTCTCAAATATGTCGAAGATTAAATCTTCGTTCCAGAGACTTGTATGTAGTAAAAATGAGGCCTTGGAGCTTATGAAGCACAATCCGTTCAAAGTAGAGTTGATCCGTAAGAAGGTACCAGATGGGAGTAATACAGTATGCTATAGGTGCGGTGATTTCGTCGATTTATGCCGCGGCCCTCATCTGCCTTTCACCACATCTTTACACCACAAAGCATTCGCTGTCACCAAATTTTCTTCATGCTATTGGCTCTCAAAGAACACCGCTGACACTCTGCAGCGAGTGTACGGTATTTCATTCCCCAAAGAAAATCAATTAAAAGAATACGAAAGGCGTATAGAAGAGGCTAAAACTCGAGATCATCGAATAATTGGAACGAATCTCAATCTTTTCCACTTCGACAATGTCCATTCACCTGGATCGTGCTTTTGGCTACCGAATGGCGCGAAGATATATAATCGTCTTGTAGATTTCATGCGTGAAAATTATCGATTGAGAGGATACCAGGAAGTCATTACTCCAAACATTTTCTCATGTGAACTGTGGAAAACATCTGGCCATTATGATAACTATAAGGAAAATATGTACATGTTTACTGTTGACGAACTGGAATGGGGAATGAAGGGCATGAACTGCCCAGGGCACTGCCTTATGTTTAAACACATGAACCCTTCTTACAGACAGTTACCTCTGCGTCTCGCCGATTTCGGGGTGCTTCATAGGAATGAGTTAACTGGGAGCCTTAGTGGTCTCACAAGGGTTAGACGCTTTCAACAGGACGATGCGCATGTTTTCTGCACAACGGAACAAATAGGTGATGAGGTTCTTTTAATTCTCAAATTTATTGACGATGTTTACTCACTTTTCAACTTCAAATATAGCTTTAAGCTGTCGACAAAACCTACCAAGGCATTAGGGGATGATGAGCTTTGGAACAAAGCTGAAAGTGGGCTGAAAGATGCTCTTGAAAAATGTGGTCGGCCGTGGACACTGAACCCAGGTGATGGAGCATTTTACGGCCCCAAAATTGATGTGATCTTATTGGACAGCCTAGAAAGGGAGCATCAGTGTGGAACAGTACAACTTGATTTCAATCTGCCAATAAGGTTCAATCTGGGTTACCGCGACAAGGACGACGAAGCCACGGATTGCAAACGCGGTTTTTCCAGACCTGTTATAATCCATAGAGCCATATTTGGTTCTGTGGAACGTTTCATTGCCATTGTAATCGAACACTTGAAGGGGAAATTACCTTTTTGGCTTTCCCCAACACAGGTAGCTATATTACCTATATCTGATAAGCACCTTTCATACTCCGAGAATATATACAAGAAGCTGCTACACCTAGGTAGTTGTTTACTCTCTGTTGTTTCAATAGTTTTCAGGCTACAACTGCTACGTTGATTCTAGCGCAAACACAATGAACAAGAAGATAAAATTAAACCAAGCCCAACGCTACAACTACATGCTTATAATTGGCGATCGAGAAGTGGAAACCGTCACCGTTTCTTTGCGCACGATGGAATCCCAGGCCAATGAAATACTAACACTTGACGAGTTGTACGCTAAACTGGAGGAAGATGCAAAAGCTTACAAGAAAAACATTAGTTGTTTCCATTTGGAAGAGTGACACTTATGTGTTTGTTGATATTTTTACTGAACTATCGTCTCATCTAAAGAAAGTATAGCTGTGATCATAGAGGTGCATAGGGGTATTGTTTCATATGCGAATTACTATGCTTGTGCTACTCAAACTTGGCAGACACGCCTGATGGCATCCAACAATTTAAACTGATCCGGCAAATAGAACTTCTCGAAAGCGAGAGGGAAAGGGGTATCGTATCCGCATACCCTTTCTATGGGAGCTTCCAGCTTGAAGAAGTGCCTCTCAGCCATAGTAGCGGCTATTTCAGCACCCATACCTAGCGTCTTAGGCGCCTCGTGTGTAATAACTAATCGCCCTGTTTTGGATACTGACCTGTCCAGCGTATCGACATCCCACGGGAGGATGGTCTGCAAGTCTATAACTTCCACTTCTATTCCAAACTGTTCTTTCGCCTGCTCGGCAGCTTTAAGCATCAAGTCCACAGAGCTACCATAGCCAACCATTGTAACATCTTTCCCTTCTCTTACCACATCTGCCTTTGAAAGGTCGAGTTCGTAGTCTCCTACAGGTACGTCTCCAACGGCCGCTCTGTATAAGGCCTTTGGCTCGAAGAATATGACAGGGTTGGGATCCCTTATGGACTTCAGCAACAATCCCTTAGCTTGGTAAGCGCCTCTGGGGACTACTATTTTAAGCCCTGCTGCATGCGCAAATTGCGACTCTGGCGATTGTGAATGATACAATCCACCGTGTCCAACCGCACCCCAAGTCGAACGTATTGTGAGTTTGCCAACGTCCCAGCTACCGCCAGATCTATACCTAAATTTGGCTGCCTCGTTAACAATTTGGTCGAAAGCGGGGAAAATATAATCCGCAAACTGAATTTCAGCAATTGCATTGGCTCCCAAGGCTGCCATCCCTATACCAAATCCTACTATTCCCTGCGGTATTGTTAAAAAACAAATTGGAACATGCCTGCTCACAGATGGGTGTGTTGAATACACGATCACTGCCAAAACGTTCTAGTAGACCGACTGAACACCTGAATACACCGCCAAAAGCCACGTCCTCTCCAAAAACAGTGCTACTGCAATAATATGAGTTTGTGCCACGAACGGGGAAAACACAGATATAGAACGAGCTTTAACACATCTATTTAGTTGTATGTTGTATTAATCGGTAAAAACAAGCAGCGGTTGAACATTCAAAAGCTGGCATATGAGCTAGCTTACACATTGCGCCAATTAATCACCCATCACGACAGAAGATTTTAACATAACATCATTAATAGCCACAGGATTCTTTCTACATGATAACCTACGTTGGATCTTCAGCCATAGCAATATGTAACGCGTCATTGATGGCAGTGCACATGTTCATTTGCTTGGTCGCGCCTTTTGACGCCGAGAAAAAACGGCGTCCAATACTTGGAACATTACTGCAAATTAATCGCATCATTTTGGCTAATTGAAGTATGGTTGTGAATGCGTACAAGTGACCTATAGTGCAACTCGTTATCTCAGCACCCTAGTACATCTTGATTTTGCCGTGAGAGACGTATGCGCACACTGTTAACAGCATGATAACCAAAATCAGATACACCAATAAGTAACCTGAGTTCTAGGTCACACCGACGCACGCAACTTACTCCTCCCACCGTGAGACAGGTATGTTTCCGCTAATGTAATAGCCCCTTTCAACGCTTCGAAAACATCCGAGCGGCATGTGAGCAACGTTTTCTCGACATCAGAAATATTTTCCTGCGATAACGTCATTCCTGGACTTTTTTTCGCAACCTTTGTAAGTACACCTTGAGCCACATTCGTCACAACTTTGAGCTCACCGAGATCCTGAAACAATATCTAAGCATTTACTTCACATCAAATACCTCCACGTAGAATAGGAGTATGCTTCCAACCTCTTCATTCCCCCACGAGCTGGGCATCCATATTCATGTGTTTTTTCATATATGTTCCCACCGTAACAGTTGATTTGCAAAGCTCGCTTGCGTATCATTTGGCTTTTCTGGCATCAATATGCTATGAGCTAACGCAACAAAAACCTATGAATTATATCAACATTTCGATCACGCCTACTTGATATTTTCCCTCCTTCTTTAGTAATTCATTGAGTTCCTCCTGCTGTTTGTCGCTAAGAATGCCATCTGGATCGCAGATAAAACTCTGGACCACCCTGAAGACGTCAGTTGTTTTTGTATGAAACTCCACATACGTTGTGGTTTGTACGCATAATGCCGGATTCTTGAGAGGGTTAGGATAGGATTCTATCGTGTAACCGATCGACTGTGTACGACGTTCAGGAGTTTGGGAAGCCGAATCGCCGTGAGATTCGGTTCCGTTTTCAGTTTCATCATGTCCACGTTTGTTCAGTTCTATATACAGTGAAGGTTGCCGGTTCTCTGGCGGCGACGCAAGCCGTTGCCGCACGGTATCTTCTTCCGTTGTAACATCAGTCCTATATGCACTATGTAAGGTGTAACAAGATCAATTACTTCGCATTAGCGCTTTCTCCATCTTTTAAGTAAGCGATATCATCGGTGAATCTGAACTTTCCCGGCGCGATTCGATGTGTACCAGAAACGTCCTGTGTAAGCCACCAAAAACACGTGATTATGATACACTTTCGCAACATTATAAAATAGATTTATTATTACACCGTGTAGCCATCATAACTAATCTTCATCGCCCTTGAGAAACAAGGTCTATGAAGTTGCCGTGCCATTTATCCATCATAAACCGCGTAACCCCTGCACAATTATCTGATCATTTCTGGAATAACGGCGCCCTTACCCTGTCCCGGAGGTGGAGTTGATGAGTAGTCATAAGAAAACAGTAGAGACGATTGGCACCTCGTGCTATCGTTGACTAAGGATCGACTCTTAGGATAATTTACAAATGGAACTCACTTGTATGGCGATGCAGCAATCTGGAGTCGAATATGAGTATATCTCCCATCTTAAGATTCACTCCCACCTTGCCTACATTGCCATGATAAGCGACACTTGGTTGACCAACCTGTTTTGTACGGGTCAATGTCCGATCCGCCATTATGGGTTCCTGGCAAAAATTGTATGCGCCCGGTTTTTTCATCTATATCATCCAATGACAAGAGAATAGTTATTCCGAAGTTGCGATTGTTTCTATGCCACGGTTCCACGAAGCTCATCGCATCTGAGGGGTTCATGAGCTAACAATTATCATACGAACCAGTAGTAACTAAATTGATGTTCGATATATAGAAATTCTTCCCAAGCACGTAATATACGATGGGCATCCAAAATGGCTGTAGCGGTGACAATAGAGCATCAAAAGTTGTTCCCCGCAGAAGACAGTGGATTCGGCCTGGAAATATCAAACGATAAAAAGAGCATTTACTTACCACGCGTATGCTTTAATACTGAAACATTGGCATCTGCTTCCATAATTTTATACGCAGCATCGCGTGCCATGGATCCCTTGAGGTGGAGCATTCGCCGTACGGTTTGTACGTCGCTTTCTTCGAAAACATTGCGCACTACTGCGATACCTAAACGAATGATGGCATAATTATATTAAATCAACACACCATATTTTCTAAGATTCGTGTCTATACGTTCAAGCGTTGATAAGGATAAGGTCCTTCGTGGTTTTAGGTAGTTTAGATTGTCCCCTCGTGTGGCTTTCTGAGATGTAAACCAGTCCCACATCGATGCCTCTTTCGATTCTTCATACAATAGATATGCAGCAGCGTTACTTCCATTATCATTTCCAACATCATACACATCAGAGGTTTCAGTTAGTGCGTCACTTTCCTTTCCTTTTCCGACATAACCGTGCTTTTCCCAGTGCTGCGACAAAGCCCGGAAAACGTCATGCTCAAGGTTAGAGATGCCATACGACTGTTGTTCACCAGGATAGAACACCGATATAATTGTATCCAACCATCTTTCCGGCTTATTGTTCGATGATTCGAATCGATCAATGAGAACCTCTATATCTGTTGCAAGTTCCTCACCAAGTGATTTCACAAACGGGGCTCGCATAAGGTCGATTCGTCCGAAATTACTAGAATCACTCTGTCTCTGCTTCTGTAGGTACAATACTTCTGATACGGTCTGTAAATGAAGTTCCACTGGGTTCAATTTCCTAGCAGATCGCCTCACCATGTCACGGGATATTCCTAACCATTCGTCCCACTTTTCTACGTAAGCCATGCATGGTTGTCTATCTATTGTTTGTTCTTTACGCATATCGACCACGCCATTTTCATCTGTCACGTAATAGGCAATAGGCATACTCCGCTACCTGTAGAATCGAAGAGCGTCTTGCAACGCAACAAAGAAGCCGTTGCACACGGATGTTTATACATCTTTGGCTACACATTTATTTTTGTAGCCACATGTGTCTACACGCCAAAGCAACAGCTCGCGCTTGCCGATTTTTATCGCCCAGACATTGGCACATACGCTTCATGACCTACACATTTTTGATCAACGTTTGTAGTAACCTACCGATCTACAACCTACGGCAGATATAGTATGTGGCACCGCTTTAACGATAAAATGTACGATCAACACAGCAAGTATGCGGCAGATAGGGAGTGTCGCCTCCAAGGCCACAGAAATAGCCACCTCTGCCAATTCCTCCCATTGCCAACCTTCTAACTGGAATCCAACGGTGTTACTATTTCTTACTTGCGATGTTACTTTTACTGCACTATGGAAATCGGAATCATCCCTTCTTTCTTTGCTGACTACGGCTTGTTCCTGATGACATAGAATCCTGAGCAATAAAAACTGTGAAAGGAATAAGAATTCCTCTTGCAAACATTTTTCATATGGCGTAACGGTTTTATCTACGGCAGCGGCATCAGCTCCTGTTTTTTTGCTTGACGCATCGCCCTTAATTTTTACACCATCCAGATGCTTCCACCTCTGAATGTATTGGCACAAAATCACATTGATAAGGGTCGCATGATCTCGAACCAAATCACCATCATCTAAATGAACGGCGATAATCGCCATGGCGACAAATGTGGAAAGGCTGTCGTCGATTTCACTTAGTACCTGTATGAGATATTTGCCTAACCGTGCATCTTGAGTTGGTAAGGTGCGGCAGTACCGCTCAACAAATCTGTATTGCATCCTTGTGACTACAGACATACCATCTATCTCTGTTCCATCAGTTAAGAATGTGTCGGCCAATGACCTGGTGGGCTTCTTCAACGTTGTAAGGTTGAAGCCTAGGGACTCCAGTGTAGCCGCCAGTTTTTCAGGTAGGAAAGGAAACATACGTGAAATACAACTCACGGTAAAACTAGATGGGATGGAAAGAAAATGTGTTTTAAGGTCAAATGAAATCACAGTATCGTAGTCGACAGCACCCAAAAGATACGAAATAATGAATGGATGCAATCCAGATGATACTAGCTGGTTGAACCGTGTGGACGAATTCAGATTTATCGTCGCACCTTTGTTTGCGTCAGACGCTTGAAAATCACCCAATTTCCAATGTTCAGAATCGTACGAATTTTTAGTGCCGGGAATATCTGCTACCCAACGTCTCAATAACCAACCGATTATTTCTAAGTCCATTACAGAGAGGTTATCACGTTTCGCGTATTCGACTATTATATCCTTCAGATCTTCCCTAATATCGACGATCAATACGGGTAGCAATAATGCTGATTCATCTTCAAAAAGTTGCTTGACCATATCTTGGCATGGCTCGTCCAGGGACAGTGACAGGAATTGCGGTATTACATTTGTCGTCAGTTTCAAAAGTTCATCCGATAGTTCACCACGTTTTCCCATTTCAAAAAAAGCCCTGTAAAATTTCAACAGTTGACCGAAAGACAGTACTTTCCTTATTTGCGAACCGACTTTGTTTCGATTCCCTGCAATAGCAAGGGAAAACAATAAAGTCGTGGAAACAATCCTAGAATTTGGATTACAACAAACGTATAAAAGGCATTTGCAGCAAGCATCAACAGTTTTGTTTACCACTGCATAATTGTCACAGTTGTCTAGTGTTATTGCTATTATCTCGGCAATCTCATTTGTTAGGTCCACATCACTGATAAAATAATCCAAAACGACTTCTTCAATGTTGTAAGCGTTCACTATGTCATCCATCATTTGTATGATGCGTTCTAATACGGGTGCGCAATTGGCGTAATGGCATGTGTAGATTGCCAAGATGGACTCCGCATAAAGCCTTACATGATCTCCAACGCACGCTGTATGATTCTTCGTAAGAAGCTGAGACTCCTTAAGCAGGTGTGCCAGAACGTGTTCCAGCATTGAGCAATTAGATACCGTAATTGCCAACGTCGATAATTTCAATCCTCTGGTGAACATCTTATTGTCACTTAACTGTGCGCAGCACAACCCAGCCAGTATGATAGGCGCGGCAAATCTTGGAGGTATGGGCTTTTCAGAGAGCCATACCAATTTAGCGAGGAGTGTATTTGTGAGGACGGGGACTACCAGCGCAAGTTGGCTATACAACGCTGATTCAGATTTCGAACCCCTTTTAAATTCCGTAAACTTTACGACTATATCATTACACAGAGGTACTATAACGTACTCGAGTAATAATTCACGGTAGCGTTGAATAGAACATAACACATCCAGAAAATATCCTGCGTGCCCATTTGCCTCTGTATTTTTGGCATTATCGGCAGTCAACTGCTCTCTAAGCAGTTCCAAAAAGCTACAAATCCGTTTTACATCTTGATTAATATCTATAGACTCCATATAAACCTTCAAAATACCTCCAAAGAGTTGCACTTGCTTTGACACCGATATCCACTTCTCATAATAGGCTTCACCTATAATTTTAGCATGTAAAAGGTTAGTAGATCCATGGAGTAGTTCAGATGCATCAGTATCTATATGCAAAGAGTCCAATTCAGCAGGTAGATCATATTCCACTGCTGTGGAACAGGGAGCAGCAAAGAACTCCGAACTAATAACGCTAAGCAACGAATCCAAGTGAGAGGAGTAACATTCCAGTCCGTAAACCTCTGCACACTCCTCCAAGAAGCGTAATGTATCCGCCAACACAACGGTATGTTCTTGCTTTGTACCATATCCGGAGTAGAGACAATCGATCAAGAGTTCCATGGAGTAAGGCCCGAATTCGCTGCAAGCCTTGAATACGCGTAACAATCGATCCTTCAATTCCGTTGGTGTGATGCCTATAACATCATTTTTAGGCGGTGTGAACTGTATAGGGTAATACGTCGTGTAGAGCTGCGCCAGCGCAGCCACTTCGTCATCACTCAGTTGGTTTTCGCAGAATTTCACAATGATGTCGAAGAGCATTAACAAGTTTCGTGGGTCCTTTTCACCGGATACAGCATTACAGAAGCGTGTGATGAATTGTTTTAGAGGCTCGAGCTTGTTCTGTTTGTAGGCGTCCAACATAAAATGCGTGACCCACAAAAAGCTGATGCGTGGTTGCTGCGCCAACGATCCTATGTTTTGGGAAAGCATCAAGTCATATGTTTGCTGCACAGCATCCATAAAACGCCCGCTGGCACTTTCTAAGTTCACATGGCGCTGCAAGAGAGCCCTGAGTGCCAGAATTACAAAGTGCGTGCATCCTGTTACGTTCAAGCAATCTGATAATAATGGCAACAACGTTTCATCCGAAAATAGGTTTTCTGTTCGTGACAATACATCAGATACAAGTCTAGAGATATTCTTTTTGCGTGCGTGGTCACCTTCCTACGTTTATGTTTGTCTACTTAGTTATGAACCTACATTGTTGTAAGCGGTGACAGCAATCTGCGCAAAATCTCTAGCACTTCCATTAACCACTGCTATTAGAATACGATTTCGCGCATCTATAGAGATTTTATCTGAAGCTGCGGCGCAGAACTGATCCACCCATTCCGCCAGGGTCGTGCCTGGGTTACCTGAAGATTCCTCGGAGATTGAGCCACACATTATTGCGACAGGACACACATCACTGTGAAGACATCCTGAAACTCACTGTATGCCGATATCGCGTTTCGTGTGTGTGCCATATGCCAGTTGTGTCGCCCGCTAGGTCGTTGTTCCAATTCATGGTGCTACATACGTTTCAAAATCAATCAATTAGCACCAACCCATGTTTTAAATATATATTAAATGAGTATAAAGCCTTAGTAGCTCTTCTCTTGTGTAGAGTTTCCGATGCTTATCTTTCTACACTTATATTACCACTCCGCCAGGAAAAGTGGGTATTATTCCGCAAGTAAACGGCATTTCTTCACCCCATGCTAAATACAATTCCGATTACTAGCCATTTTGTGGATTCAGCGTTTTTTTGTTGAGCATGGAAGGCCGCGATGTATCACGTGAACCATGCCCCGATCGCATTGTGGAGGATATGGGAGGGGCATTTGGCATGGGATGTGTCGGTGGGTTTTTGTGGCATTTTGTAAAGGGTGCTCGCAATGCGCCTAGAGGTGTGATTTTTCAGAATGCCTTTTATAGCGCACGTGCTCGTTCACCTGTGCTGGGAGGCAACTTTGCCGTTTGGGGAGGCACTTTCTCCACTTATGACTGTACCTTCCAGTATCTAAGGGGTAAAGAAGATCATTGGAATGCTATCGCAAGCGGTTTCGCCACTGGAGGCACGTTGGCACTGCGAGGTGGCGTAGGCCCGGCCGCACGTAACGCCGTAATCGGAGGTCTGCTGCTAAGTAAGTTAAATATCGACTGTTCACCACCGTTTTCACACCTTAATTCGTGATTCAAGCGCTATTTTAGTACATCCATTAAGTGGCAGAACTGAGAATTCGCAGCGCGTCTTATTGCCACTGTGGCGTATTTTTGTGATTTTACAAATTTCGTACAGGTATCATTGAAGTAGTTTCAGTGGTTGTCAACAGAAGGATGACTCCAACTCCTCGTCAACAGTTTGAACGCCAGATGGAGTACGAGCGCCACTTGAAGTGAGTCGCATGCCTCAACCCTTAATGTTCTACAGAAATGCTAACGTACCCGCGACCTGAGGATTACCAGCATTGTGTGTTACCAATAATCGCCACCTCATGTACCTGTGTGGGTATTATGCCCATAAGTTGCACGAACATACCATGTAAGGGTATTCAAGACCGTCTTGCGATAAGTCTGGGTGCCTCGACACTGCCATAGAGTACACGACTTCTCTAATATCATCGATTTCACCTGCGTGGTTTTTGTATATTCATACGTCGTGGCGTACCAGCTACTACCGTACCGCGTGAGTCACGCAGGCAGTTAATTTGCTGTGTTTTAAAGTTAAATATAAACCACGGGGAACTGTCTGGCATGGGTAGACCTCCTGCATCGCAGATATTTAGGTGCTGCGAAGTGCCATAAACTACCTTTCAGCTCCACATCCTTCAGAATAAGAATATTCGGGTCAAGGCTAAGCTTTTGAAGTTCCCTTTCCCGTATTGATGCGTTGAGGACGTTGAAGGCGCACTCACCGCAATGCTGAATGTTTGGGGTAAATAGTTATAAACGACCGTACCACCTGAAGTGACTTTGCGTCTCCCTTGAGATAGCAATCGACAATATGCGGCGCCACAACGTGTTCCACCAATTCAATGAACTCTGGTAAATCGAACGACGGGTCTATGTTTTTCATTTCTTTTACGGCAGTAGCTAAGGTCGATTTGCCAAAAATTTGTTCGAATAGCGGGTTTTCTGCATTAATGCTATCATTTTTAATTGATGTCCTACCGAAGAAGTTCGTGAGGAAAGGCATGTCTCGTAGCGTGCTGCCGAAACGTTCCCAAGCTGATTCCTTGGCCAGGACTAAAGCATACTCATTGCTGTTACCGGATTGTTCCGCGTCGGTTGTATTTCCTTGAACAGTGGACACGTCAGTGTTTTCGGCATTCGCAATGTCACGCTGTCTGTACGACACGTTTTTAGTATCCAATAATGCGGTTGTCGCTCATTCACTCACCTCTGATTAATGACCCGTTGTTTCCACTTGGCCTTCAGAGCATTGGACTGTTTATGTTCATCATGTAGCATGTCGGCCACCTTATTCATCCCACTTACAAGCGATTTTGCTGCATTAAGTATACGGTCTATGCGCACAAATTACCTGATGTAAAAACGAACTTTACTGCACTGGAGTTGCTACTGGTTTCGGAAACCTTATTGACATAGCGATTACACATATCCTTAGACCTCGTGTAAAATTCCCCTAGTCTATTGACTTTCTTCGTGATGTTTGCCTCTTCAAGAGACTTCATAGCCTCTTTGAACTTTTCATCCTTTTCCAAGTCCCGCTTTACCTGATTGATGACAGACTGAACAAAGGAATCTGAGCTAAACCTTCTACTTTGTTGCAAAGTTTCGTATGAGTGTGAAGGCTGTGAGTTGCGATGGATCGACTGAGCGATACTTCTTTGTGCCAGTGACGTGCGGCGTAACGCAGCCACCGAGAGATCCAAGGATATTTTGGATCTCATTCGCGACGCCATTTGTTTCTCTACTATTTTATATGGTTTTAAAAATCTAGCCGCGTGACACGCGACGTCAACAGCCCGCTGGCCTCCCTATATGCGTTACCCACTGGGTAATATTGAGTTTAAAGTCGAAAGCATCTAGCATAATATTGATAAAGTTATGATGTGACCTTTCGTGATTGCCAAGGATCCTAACATATGTAGGACATCGCGGAAGGCTACACACCCACATGGCTGATGTGCACAGGCTACATCTTTGAGGATGTAGTATGATAAGTAACATTGGAGATACTGCTACACATCCACATTTCGATTCACGTTCGACGTGCACGGTAATCACCTTCGGCTACTAGAGTATCGTCCACGCATCCTACCGGGCACTCCGCGACCGCGGCCTCTACCTCGTGCCATTGGCGCCCGAACCCTGCTTGGTTTTTGCTTGGGTGTGTCATCAATCAGCAGTGTGTCTAGAGGCAGGCTGTCGGATAGAATAAAATATCTGATGTTGTTTCCTCGCACGGTCAGGTGGTCCAGAAGTATAAAATTTGGTTCTGTTCCACTTCCACAGTTTTTGTTTACGATCTTTACATTCTTAAGATGGGTGTTCATAGATATATCGACACCCATTACAGTTCCCATGAGCACAGTTCCGTTCTTCAGCTCCACGGTCACGGACTCATTGGCTAGCTTCATAAGGAAGCGCACGAGCTTCATTTTGGTGACACTTTATAACACATAAAATATCACTCTAAAACGATATAGCGCTCGTGATTCCCAATTTGGGCCGCTCAGAGCGATCTTGACCACTACCAGTTTTGGTAAATATGGACCTCCTTTTATCCACTATTGGCGATGGTATCCAGTAACATGAAACAGGTAACAATATTTTTAATAATGGAGGTCAAAATTTGGCGTTTCTGCGGCGTTTGAACTATCCTCACACCCCATCCCATCGCGCATATTAATAGAGGCCATGTTTCTCAATGTAATGTACTAAAATGACGATAGAATGCTCAGAATAGTTTTAGTAACAGTTTTGACTGCTGACGCTTTAAATGTCTATTGTTATAGAACGTGGAATCCATACAATCTGTCTACTACTATTCATCAACTCCCTGATATATATGGGCGATACCTTCACGATTCAGTCTCTGTAAAGGCGCCATTTCATTTCAATAGTCGATCGCAATGTTTACACATGACTTGGTGTTATCCTGTGGAGGATGATGACCCCAAACTTCGCAGACGACGTAAGGTCAACCAGGCATTCGAGAGAGGACCCGTTAGAGTCAACCGTTCTTTAAATTACGAGTCTGCTAATCGCCTCGCTCAAAATCAGTGGGTAAAATGTTGTTTGTAAATTAGTATGACCTCAGAATGTTCGTACCGTTCACCCGTGTACTTCCGTACTACCCAGAGGAAGGTCTCGGCAACACCGAGGATGTTTACACCCCCGCAGAAACTGCGTGTGGACAAATAGACATAGACCCACAGGAATTTGCAAAAATCAAAGATGTATACACTACATTCAACGACAACGGCTGCGGTGTACTGAAATTACTGGGCGCCAAGGGCGGCCATTTCGCTTTCAAGTACTCTGGCCCCTTGAGGGAGAAGTACGGCATAAAGGCATATCTGACCTATCTCGTGAACCTCGTTTATCCCGGTGCTAAGGTTACCATTTTGACTGATCACACTGTTGATGACGTCGACCAGAGGGGTGTCAATCCGTGGCTTTTTGCCAAACAAAGGCGCCTTATGCACACCGGAAGAGATTACACAGAAAGCTTCAAAGACGGCCTCCCCCATGAGATGGGATATCCTAGGAAGTATGATATGCTGATTTGAACGCTGGCGCCAGAGATTGCATTTCTGAGTGTGTCTAACCTTCCACTGTCATTGTGCATTATGCATAAGGGCTATGGTACCACACCTTCTTACGTTGCTCGCTACCATTTCATTCACATTAGGGGATTACCGTGGCGGCATTGGTAGCTCAAATATCACGTCGCCCAGCACATGTTGATGCTGGCGGTTGCTACCAGCACAGAGTCTAATATGGCTTGTATTTTCATTTGCGTGATACTCCAACTTTAGCGGCACGTAGAACTCGGTCCTTAATCATATAGCCATTGAAAATTACCTGGAGAATAGTGTTTCTCTCGACGCTTGCGTCCTCTATCTCGAACATAGCTTCATGAACCTCTGGGTTAAAAACTTGGTTTACGCTCTCGAAACGCTTGATGCCATACTTTTCAAATGTCTTGTGTAGCTGAACTTCCGTAAGTTTAATACCTTCGATAAACTGCGTGTTCACAGCGGCATCCTTCTGTTTGCCTAGCGATTTGAATGCCAGCTCAAAAGCATCAGCTACATCAAGCATGTCCCTTGCGAATTGAGTAATGGCATACATTTCCGCATTATGCAATTTTTTTGCACCAATTCGTTCAATCTGTTCGCAATTGTCGAGACAAAGGCGATATTTGAGTTGCAGTTCCTTAAGGTTTTCAGTAGCTTCTGCGAGTTTACCCTCTAGTTCAGCTATTTTCTGTACGGATTGAGCCATTAACCATCCCTTCTCACCTCCGTCAAGTCGACAGCTTCATCTTCCACTTTTTCCTCTTGCTGAATTATGTGCTCATTATCTTCGGACTCTTCGTTGGCGTTGCGCGCATTTCCTGATACATTAGCACTTGATTCAATATATCGTCTCTGATAATTCAGTGGAAGTGGCATTGGTAGCTGCCGGCTATAGGAACCGTGACATAGCGGCTGGAAGGCAGCATTGAAATGCGCCCTTCGCGCCACCTTGAAGGCGGTCACAAGTGCCGAAAATGTTGTACGATATGAAGGAAATAAGCTGTATATAGTCATGGCGATATCGAATGACAGCGTCCCGTTTCACTCTGTGTCGTGCAATCGGAGAATACTATTTAGGTCAAACCATATCTCGAGGCTGACATCTCCAGATGGCCATATTTCAAACATCAGTATTATATATATATTTGACATTGATGTGTGCAATCCGACGCGTTAAAACCTGCCATATCTACGTGGCCACATAAGCACCGATGAGATTATTTGGTAAGGTTCAACTTTCTGATACTTTCTAAGTAGCTTTTCCGCTCTTCCTTAAGGGGTTTATTAACAGCTTTACGTCTGATAGTCGCTTTAGCTTTTACCCCCTTCGTTTTCTTGTCGAACTTGCCACAGCTACGCGTGGAGGTCTTGGCACGTTGTAGAGCGGTGTTTGCCCGGGAAAGCGCACTTGCCTCAGCCTTGTTGCGCAGCTCTCTGAGTTTTTGCCGCGTTTTCTGTACTCCTTTCTTTCGGCTTGATTCCTCGAATGGGTCTATACCCTGTGCCACTGCATTCGTTTTCATACATTGTCGTTTGGGGGAAACTAACGGTCTGAGTCTCTTACTTCAACAATAGGCGGTGAATGTGCTAATCCCTTCTTGATTGACTTGTATCCCCAGCGGGGTACCCAATCGTTGACCGCCTTGTCGAATACAAGGCGTGAACGTTTGTGTTTCTTTATACCGCGAGCCTCTGTTTGAGATTGTGGCGATAAGAGACGGAGGTGACCTACCAGCAAAAAGCTGCCACCTTGTCTTTTTTTTGGGCTTCGGTAAAGGGTACATACGTGGCATAGTAATGGCATCTTCCTCAGGAAGCGACACAAATACTCCATCCGACGTTGTCACCCTGTTTAATGAGAATATGCGATTTACAAGGAGTTGAGTATTGTCCCGTGATAAATTGAGCAGTCTGATAAAACGTGTTTCACGAAATAACTAGGACCCACGATTCGGCATCGCAACTAGTAGAACTAACGGGAGTAGCATCTATGGCGACCAAGTTGCGAAGGCAATATTCCAAATTATCTACTTTGTCGGGTTTACATATAGTCCTGAAAATGTATAACTACATGGTACAAAAATTAGCTCAATAACGTACATCTTGGATGATTTTACGATAGAAGGCTCTAGGGTGTTAGGTGCCGTGGTTAGCTGCACACCTTCGAGCCACACTTAAAATCCGTTCCCTCCCACCTTCACCAGCACATTTGTGGCTGGTTTTAGACACGAAACAATGTTGAGTTTTGGGAAAGCTCACCGAGCTTCGGCGCGCCGTGCACATTGACCAAATACGTGCCCGACATTTTCCCCACCCCCAATAACGTACCTAGAAATGGCAGCGGCGTACCATACGGGCATAAAAAAGATCGTACGAGGCGCGTGAAATTGGCAAGTGCTTGCGGAAATTGTCGAGTATCTAGTCGCGTGTTCGGTGGTCCTCGTGGCTCGACCGGGTAGGTGCCGTCGTCTCGAGTCTTCCCTTGGAATAGTCGTTAATTGACTCTTTTCTACGCCTGTAGACCGTCGTTACTGGTCATTTTTTTGTGACTATTTTCGGCACTTGTTTGTACCCTTAGCGGCAATTGCGTGTTGTAGGTATTACGCTCTTCCTACGCATTCTTTGTGTAAGCGGTGCGGTTGTCAAACCTGATCAAGGCTATATTTGCACAATTATCACCAATTTGACATACATCGGGGTGTGTTTGTTGCAATATTTCAGCATCAGGAGTGTAAATCTTGATTGGTTTCGTGCGAACCTCTTCGAAGTAGCAAAAATATTCGTTATTGAAAGGCGATGGCGTCCAGCAAGGCAGGTTCTGTGGCCCCTAGGCCCATGAACGGAGTGATGCCAGTAGGCAATTTTCAGGTACCAGCATCTCGCAATACCTTCAATTCTGCTAGCCTATATGTAGGCAACCTCCTTCCTGATGTAACGGAGGCCATGCTCTATGAGGTATTTAACGCTGTAGGACCCGTAGCATCTATTCGTGTCTGTCGTGACAGTTTGACTCGAAAGAGCCTCGGGTACGCGTATGTTAACTACTACAGTTTCCAAGATGCGGAAGCTGCCCTTGAGTGCTTGAATTACATTGAGATCAAGGGACATCCAGCTCGCATCATGTGGAGTGAACGTGACCCGAGCTTCCGCAAAAGCGGCACGGGGAACATATTTGTTAAAAATCTCGACAAGGCCATTGACACCAAAGCACTTTATGATACATTCAGTCACTTCGGCACAATTTTGTCATGCAAGGTTGCAGTAGACTCTCTAGGAAACTCAAAAGGTTATGGTTTCGTGCACTATACGACTGAAGAGAGTGCAAAGGAAGCGATAGAAAAGGTAAACGGTATGTTGGTGGGAAATAGCCAGGTGAGTGTGGCACCATTCTTGCGTCGCAACGAGCGCGCATCCACAATATGTGATGTCTTTACAAACCTCTACGTTCGCAATTTCCCCGACACATGGACCGAGAATGACTTGCACGAGGTGTTTAGCAAATATGGACAAATCACAAGTATGCTACTAAAGTCCGACGACAAAGGACGCCGTTTCGCATTCGTTAACTTCGAGGATACTAACATGGCAAAGGCAGCGGTAGAATCACAAAATGGCGTGAAGATCGAGGGTGTGGAGGAACCCATGATGGTATGCCAGCATATGGATAAGGCGAAACGCCATGCGATGCTTAAAGCCCAATATGATTCTAATGCCCAAGACCAGCGTAACAAATTCATGGGTGTGAATTTGTACATTAAGAATCTGGATGACGATGTTGACGATGACGCGCTGCGCGAACTGTTCAAACAGTACGGTACAGTCACCTCATCGAAAGTTATGCGCGACCAGAATGGTCTCAGCCGTGGATTTGGTTTTGTCTGTTTCTCACGCCCAGATGAAGCCACCAAGGCTGTAGCAGGTATGCACTTGAAGCTTGTCAAGAACAAACCATTATACGTTGGTCTTGCTGAGAAGCGCGAACAACGCGCCAGCCGTATGCAGCAGCGCAGCAGACAGAACGATTTAATGCAGTACGGTGATAGACCGGGATATATGCCGATGTATCCTCCCGATATGATGCCACAAGCCTACTACAATCAAGTTGGCTTTAGGCCTCCAATGCCTTCGCAGCCCATGGGCGTCGGCCCACGGGGAATGCGTATGGTTGCGCCAATGCCCATGGTCCATGGACGTGGCACGAATTCCCCCCATTCCAACCCTCAAAGTCGTCGCACACCCGTCAAACAAGTACCTTTGAGTGGATTCAAGTTCACGGCTCAGGCTCGTAACCGTACTGAATTACCAAATGGCGCCCCCTCTGCAGCGCCTCCCTCTCAACGCCCTATCGACAGTGCTGCTATGCACAAACAGATGATTGGGGAGCGGTTGTTCCCAATTGTTGCTCGTGAGAACCCTGATTTGGCAGGGAAAATAACTGGTATGATGCTAGAGATGGACAACCAGGAACTGATGGCTCTTTTGGACAATGAGCAACAGCTTAAAGACAAAATACAAGAGGCCATGCGTGTTCTACAACAAGCTTCTTGAAGTATCGTCTATAGGCAGATGCCACCCTACAGAGGCAGTTCCTACTGGAATCTGTGTGAAACCGCTGGCCAGTGGGCCGGCGTTTTCTGCTTTCCTATAAAATTCTGGTAGAGATTAGTGGCGTATGTTGTCTCGGCCTATTGGAGATGTGCTGATTGTTCTCTATTTGTACTGAGTTACAACCCCTCTCCCTAACTTTGGGCAATAATTGTCTGTCACCCACGAATACGTTGGAATATGGTTACTCCAGTATTCGAAATTCATGACAAATCAACCGTAGGACTGCTACCACGGAATGTGAACAGCTATTTTTTTTTGTTTGATCGCAGACTGGCGGAACAATTGGGCTGCCAGTTCTTGACACGTATGTTCTTATTATTTAGTACAGCAAGGAGCGACCATGTGCTATATATCTACATATACGTGGATTGCGCATGGGCGCGTCGTTTAGTCGTACCGTGGGTGTTTAGATGGGCATTGGTAGGGCGACAGCCCGTCCCCGCCGCAACTCATTGACGTTTTCGATGGTACTATAAACATGCTAGTAAGCATTTAAGAATGGAACATTCACCACAGGCCCGTATAGTAGGTCAGCCGCGGTTGGTAGCCATCCAGGGGTGCGACTGCGAACTGGCTCTAGACGAGCGGACAACGGTGTCTGTCATTTATCACAGCATCTAAGATCTGCTAATTCGCAGTGCTTTCCTATTTTATAGTTTTGCATTTGCTAAGGCTACAGTATCCCGTAGCGCCCTCACCCTCTTTATGTCTGGATCCCTTATGGTGTATCCCAGCTGCCTTTTATCGCCATTTTGACATTTATTGTAAATACAGACGGTTCTTATGCGTGATTTTTGCACGGGATCTCTCCCACATTGTACTTCTTGGTAACGCGTCGTCTACACACCCATGAATTTGCGGGATGGGTGGATGTCAAAGTCGCAGCAAACCAGACCTAGCTGTCACGGAACCGCAGAAGTCTGAGTCTATAAAGGTGTGCAGCGAGGAATTGGAGGATGAAGAGCTCACCATTCCTGATATCAGCTACGGTACATTTAATCGCGTTGCGCTCGAATGGGACACATTAGGGCGGCTCATTCCCTTCGACTCAAACAATGCTGAGGATGGCGAATCACCAGAAGATCCTCTGTCTGAATTCCAGTCTCTACGCCGACAGCTCACCAACACAAAGCAGCGTGCCTATTTCACTAAACCGGACGATGAGGGCGCTGTTCCTGTGATACAGAAACTGGGTACGGGAGGGACGGTCCACGAAAACCAATCATTAGATCGGTTTAAACGTGCTATTGACATGTGGACCAACTTCAAAATAAGCACCAAGGCTCTCAAGCATCTGCACGGCCAGACTGATGCATGGAGCTACTTTGACAAGACCCATGTTCCCCTGCCTCAGGAATTGTTTGGCAGCCATAGCTCCGACTCTATTAATGCATTACAGGACGAGGATCACACAGATTCCGGTCGACTTTCTCAGCCAGACGACCACGCCTCACTTATTTCTAGTAGGGATGGCAGCATTCCGTCGATGCCCAGCCTCAATCACACTCAGACTGCTTCTATACAACCGGAAAGTGTGGAAAATGACACTGTGGCGTTGGACTCTGCTAACCGTACCAATCGCGCTGAATCGCTAGACCCTGACTCATCAGGGGATATGCTGCTTGACACCGAAGTATCACAGGACATGCTGAATTACGAAATAGTAATTCGCCCCTACTTTGACGAAGCCCAAAGGCGCCGTTCCTACACATGTGTATATAGGCCCCGCAGTGAAGTATCGCCACGAGACAAAAAGTGTCATATAGATGCCAACGTATTGCAGATGTTGGGGGACTTACTGGACCCATTCCAGCCACACCAAGAGAACAGTAAACGCCTAAAAGCCATAGAAACAATCAGACACATAGTAGGAGCCGGTGATATAGATGTAGACATCAGAGGATCTACTACAGCTGATCTGTATGGGCTATCACAACGCCCCGTACGGCGAAAGACACCAGGCGACGGACGTCGAGCGTTGGACTTGCGTACGTTGTCCACACTTAGCGATGCTAGGTGTGCATACGAAAATGGCGAAATATACGTCCCAGCTGACTGCTTGGAAAAGTTGGAATATGTGATTGACAATGGCATCTGCTGTGTCAACCGCCAAAAAACACCCGATTCACCTAATCAGGAAGTTACCAAACCAAAGAGTGCGGTACAAGGCCGTTTTGGAGATATGTCAGATATCCCGCTGTTATTTTAATCTACAGATGCCGTTTGGTGCCTTGCCCGCAAGACATGTGCCACGATGAGTCTGTGTCGTCATATTCGACCGTTAGCTGCGAAATCTTATGATTATTGCAATTTACATCCTCGTAAAAATTATCGTTTTGTGTGATGCATATGTAATTAATGTGCTCATGTGCATGAGTTTTTTGTTGCTGACTTTTGGCACTGGGAATCGCTGCTGGCGCTCCGTTGAAAGATGTATAGCGGACAGCTAAGTATTTATAACATAACACCCGAGCCGTAAGTTTTATTGCCGCCCCGATAATTTATATCATGACGCTTCCGTATACTCTGGTAAGTACACCGCATAGGTATCACCAATCAGTGTACACAGCCCTTGACGCGAGAGACGGTCAATCGGCACTTTAAGGTGGCACGTCAACTCGGTAATGGAGCCTATGGAACTACTACTTTGCTAACTGATGAATTGAACAACACGTAAGTCGTTATTCACGTTACTAGTGTCATAGAGTTTAGCATCGTCAGTAAGCGCATAGATGTTGCATCATTTTCTGACGTGGAACGTATGCTTTGTATGAATGAAATCAAGGTTAGCGCGAAGCGTGCTGCATATTTTATATCGCCGCAGCTCATCGCCAATATTAATCACCCTTTCATCGTAAAGTACCTCGGCAGTTATCTAGAAGGGAATGTCTTGTACATACTGACACAATACTGCAAAGGTTAGGCTTATTAGAGCAAAACATATGCACATTATAGGTGGTGATCTCCACCGTTATATCGCGCAAAAAAGGAAAGCAAATGAGCCCATCCGTGAGGAGCGTATTACCAAGTGGCTGGCACAACTATTATCGGCTCTCAAGTATCTTCACAAACACCATATTTTGCACCGAGGTAATACATACGATATACAACTAGAGTAATAAAGATTTTGCAGACTTGAAATCACTAAACGTACTTATCGATTCTGACAAGTCACTGAAGCTTTGTGACTTCGGGGTCTCAAAAGTATTGAACGCTACAGCTGACCACACGAGAACAGTTATTGGCACCCCCTATTACTTCAGTCCAGAACTGATTAATGTACGTTCGACATTACACGATTTTCCGCTTTCATCACAAAGCTGGGTTTAGGTCGCATACTGGGATGCGTACATAGCCTACAATAGCGACCATGGCAGGTTACAGCAATGCAATCGTTTTATCTATGCAAATATGTTTACATGGTCTCAGTTCCGCAGAATCTGTCTAATTGGTGTACAGGGTCAAGAGTATAGCTGGCCATCGGATATCTGGGCACTAGGCTGTCTAACATATGAGTTGGCAACATTTAAAACTCCGTTTGACGGCGCCAAGGGCATGCAACAACTGGTGAAACACATAAAAACAAGCCCGGTAGGATCACTATATTTTTCGATAATATGGATCAGATCCCCGACCTCCCGAGGAACTATTCCCCGGAGCTCAACTCGCTTTTCAAGTCAATGATGTTTCACGATGCTAGATTCCGACTCTCTGCGTCTGAACTCCTAGCTACTGAGATCATGCAGGTATGACACACTTGGTTCTATATAAACAGTATTCGTGCAGAAGGCCCTTCGGCAAATGCTCAAGGAAGCGGAACACAATGTTGCGCCGCAACTAATCGACTCTATGCCGAACAACCCATTCCAAAGCGAATGTATATCGAGTCAAAACGATAGCTGCGAATTAGTGAGTTGTGATCATTCATAATCGGCTCATGTCTATAAAAGGAAACAAGGGCGTCACTCGCCAATACCAGGCAATAGAAAGGAACCGGAACATCAATTTCATGATGCTATATTCACTGTATAACTGTTATACGTACACACTCTTCCAATTATCAAAAGACATTGGAATCGGCGCCAGATGGGCAATCATACACCTGTGAACTAACAAATCAACATATTCCCCTTATTCTGTCAAAATCATGACCGTATTGGGCACGACTTTTCAATTATTCATAGACGCTCCAGGTGTGTGTAGAATTCCAAGTACGCACGGCATACGCGGCGGACTGACACGTCTACCCCCTATAATAAGCCTTGGTGTGGGTAATAGGCAACCATTAAGTCGCGTTCCTTGAAACTATACCACTTTGGAAAAACGTAGTGTCATTGTGTCACAGATTCATATATTCTCGCTTTACGTTAGACTCATCAACTTCTCCGTGCGCTGATGTAATTTAAGGAACGCCTTTCGCCACTTATCATTTCGTAGATCCTACAAAATAATGTCAAATACGTGTTCGAATTCACACGATTCGCAGGGACTTTTCTGCTGTGGTTCGTCAAGCACATGTGTCGGTGTCGCGGCCAAAATTGAGCTAATGAAACCTCACACAATACCATCCGAAAGCAGATCATGCCCTGCGTTTCCTTCACACGATGCAATTATATTGCATTGTGTACGTTTGGCCAGCGCACATTTGGGCATTGACGTAACTGGACTTGATCTCCAGGGTGAACTGGACGCATCCAACTTTGGATATCTTACCACAGAGACGGTGACTGGTGGTATTACAAACATCCTATTCAAAGTTACAAACACCAAGAATGGCAAAATTGTGGCTGTTCGTATCTTCGGACACAAGACTGACCAGTTCATAGATCGTTCGAATGAACGTATTATTCAAAGTCACCTTTGTCTACAGGGTCTTGCCAAGAAAGTGTATGCACGGTTTAACGGAGGACAGATTGAAGAATGGTTACCAGGGGAGGCTTTATCCGATGCCGACTTCCAAAGTTACAAATACAGCCATCTTATTGCTCGGCAATTGCACAAGTTGCATACCACCCCTGGCCAAAAGGCCCTTTATCAAAAGCTGCACCCACACCTAGCCGTGGATGGAAAAGTCAAATTCGAATCACAATTATGGCCAAGTGTCTGGAAGTTTTACAATCTGTAAGTTACACTGCACAACAAAAGTCAACACTATGCAGATGTATCGCTAACATGGAAGTATTGGAACCGATTATTGGAGGCCAATTCAATCTTTTCGAAATCAAAAAGGTACGCTATTAGATACAAAACACCAAATCATTCATTGCGCAGTATATCGAGCAAATTCATATAGACTGCGACAACGCCAAGTCTCCTGTGGTACTATGTCACGGTGATTTGTCCAAAGGGAATATTGTAATCGACGCATCTCGTATGTTTCGTCTCCCATTTACCCTTATATTTGTGCAGACAATGTGCTGTTTTTGGATTATGAATATGCCTGTTTTATGGAACGCGGGTTCGATATTGCTGCGCACTTTTCGGAGTTTGCAGCCGATGATTCTGACGCTCATCTGATCCCTTCCCCTGTAGTACAGCACGATTTTGTTCGTCATTATCTTGGTGAAAATGCCAGCGAAAATGAGGTGGAAGCTTTGTTCGAGGAGATTCAACCCTTCATCATAGTACCTAACTTGTATTGGGGGCTCTGGGGACTCTTACAGTGTGTATACTCGTCAATTATCACGGATTTCCCCCATTACGCGCTCAATAGGATGGCACGCTTCCTTGACGATCTGAAGGTCGCTGGCAAGAGCAAATCTAGCGCTGCTGTCTAATGCGTCATACTGATACTCGTATAATAATGGGTTGTACATCGTGTATTTGCTGAGGTGTTCGTAACTCGTACCAAGGGTAAGTACCGGTGTGCTTGCTTCGACGTAAAGCCACGGTTTCGCCGAATTTTCGTGTGAATATTTCCCCCTGGGACGCGCGTTCCGCACTGTACACTTCTGGGTTGCACATCAGGTAGGAAATTCAACTGCAGTTACCTCATATCTAACAATGTGAACTATGAGTGTGTATTTGAATGGGCAAGACGTTTGCGAGACGAAACCAAGGGTTAGGTAGGTTCGCGGTTATCCGCAACGTTCATCAGATGGGCATCACAAAGTAGTCGCCCCGGGTACAGATGTACAACGAGGAAGGCATTGAAAAGTAATGGGAAAGTCGTGGGGAGGCGACAATTAACAGTTTGCAAAAGCAACTTATTCTGTGTCCGACAATATTACAATGGGCAACAATGTCGTGGTACAGCTTGCCATAAACGGCATATTACAAGGTTCTAGCATGAAACGTTTTGCCGTAAAACCCGCAGTATCGTCGCTCCAATGTGAAATATCCCTAGCCCCAGCAAGTGACGATAACGATGTGCTGAATGTACACACCTTTCAACGGGAGTAAACGACGAATTATACTATAGGTCGTTACCTGTAATGAATTAAAAATACATTGAATTGGCCTATTGCCCATAACGTGGAATCAATATCACTGATTCTCCTCATATTAGTTGATTAATTCTTGGACCGACGCGCGGTTCATTGTCTGACTGCCACCTTTCATGATCGTTATATAGCAGATATGGTGGATTCCTCGACCTTCAGCGATATTAAAACTCTCTTGGATGCCGTACAGACGCTCCTACCTTCAGATGAATCAAGTAAATGTAAAGTTCCTTCACACGATGCAATTATATTGCATTGTGTACGTTTGGCCAGCGCACATTTGGGCATTGACGTAACTGGACTTGATCTCCAGGGTGAACTGGACGCATCCAACTTTGGATATCTTACCACAGAGACGGTGACTGGTGGTATTACAAACATCCTATTCAAAGTTACAAACACCAAGAANAGTATTGGAACCGATTATTGGAGGCCAATTCAATCTTTTCGAAATCAAAAAGGTACGCTATTAGATACAAAACACCAAATCATTCATTGCGCAGTGTATCGAGAAATTGTCGGCCATATGTGACGTCAAAAAGTCTGAGGTAGTGTTATCGCACTGCGATCTCTTGAATGGCAATGTCATCATTGTCAGCGCAGATGAAGCCGTATTCTTAGACTACGAATATGCCTGCTTTATGGAACGTGGATTTGACATTGCTAACCATTTTATTGAACACTGTGGTATAGAGTGCAACTGGGACCATCTACCTGATGAGACCGTACAGCGCGGCTTCCTTCGTCATTACCTCGGTGATCGGGCAACGGAGGACCAAGTTAGCAAACTTTATGATGAAATACAGCCCTATTTCGTCGCTTCCAACCTTTTCTGGGGGCTTTGGGGTCTGCTACAATGTATGTATTCAACCCACGATGTAGATTTCCAGCATTACGCCCGCAGTCGTATAATGTGTGCTATTAACGACGAAAGGTGGCACTTGTTCAAATAAACATACTAGCTTTAATGAAACATTACAAACATGGTTTTTATTACATTTGTTTCGTGTATAACTCGCGCCCGGCGTCACCGGTAACCTGACGGGCCCAGCGAAGCATATCCCTAAACACATTTGGATTAGTGGCATCATCATCCAATTCGATTTCTCCATTGCCAACGTTGCGCCATACAGCCAAATACTCAAATGCAATATATAGCTCCACATGATTCTCCGGAGATAACGCAGCAAGGACATCTTGGAACTGGACCTTTTCGTCAGCGGAAATAGGTCGAGTTTCCGCAACAATTCCCAGAGTAACTTGTGGTCGTTTCGAAAACGCGTTTGGCAACGGCGCGGGAGGATGTTTCCCTCCAAAACTGACATTGGCCGTCTCGGAGTCCACAAGACCAGAATCTCGGCGTAGCTTCTCCAGCTTGCAACACGCATCATGCGTAGACATCCACGGCATCGTACCAGGGTCCTGGAATTTGAACATAGTAAGCAAAAGGCTGTAGACTTCAGCAAAAGCTTCAGTAGCTGAGGTATAATTGTTACTCAACAATTTTTCCAACACTATCTGCAAAGTCACATTTGGTAGTTGGGGCAATGGTTCTTGCTCCTCTGTGGTGTTACTCAGATTACTCAAATCAATTTCCAATGGTTTCACGAAAACACTGCCACTTTTAGTACGACACAACGACGAGATGACGTCGTGAAACTTTTCCACCCACGGGGGCATATTCGCAAGCACGGCATTATCTGGATGCAGCACAGGGTATACCGATGATGTATCGTCGTATTCCACCGGTTCATCTAAATGTTGAAACTGAGCCTGATGTGGTGTAATGGTATTATCAATTTCGTCAAGCTCTTCGTCCATTATCTCCTTGAAAATGGAATCAATGTCTTCATCGATATTCGCGCGCCCCGCGACATCCGCGGATAATGTACGTCTAATAGCATTCCTACAGCCAGAATGAAAGAAGATTTGAAAAGTGTAGCTCACCTTTTAGCTAGGGTGCTGGACGAACGTTCGCGCTTAGGCTGCGTGGCCGTAAAAAAATACACAAATTGTACTTACCGAAAGAGTTGCATTTAAATCAGATAGCTCCGATTGTAACAAGCTGTGAGCACGTGCGACTGCGGCATCAAGCGGCGTTAACTTCCAGGGAACGTCTACCGTCGCTCCCTCATCGGCGGCCGATGCCCAGAGCTGATTCATTCGCTGCAAAAAAATTAGATGTGCCTCAATAAGATACAGCCATTAGATCTCCTTTATGATCCACTCACCTCTTTGAACGATTCAAGCTCTGTCGCGGTGAGGAGTATCTCTCCTCGGAAGGCTGTGTTAGCCATTGTTTAAAATAGTAGCGATATAATAATTGACTTGATAGTATATATGCAGGCAGTCTTGGCTCAGCCAGCGCCACTTTATAGCTGAAAACTCACGCAAACAATGCCTTCCTTTAGAATAATAATCTAGCTAGGCATTGAATTGAGGCAAGTGTTCAGACTTCCACTGGGCACTGTTGGCATGCTGTAAACTCTATTTTGGAGTATCTATCACCGGCTTGATTATACGAAAGTCTTGTCATTCTAATGCTGCAATAACCGCAACATCCGATAAACACAGGTAGCACACCGTTATCCACGAGACTAGCACTTTGGCGACCTTACATAACAAAATATACTGCGTAACACCGACTTCTAATAATTAAAACGTTTACCAAATGCATATTATGACGCGTCAACGTACATAGGAATGGTGATGCATTGAGGCTGCTAAGCAGTTGACGCTCCGATAATACAATCCCAGCATTTGTGTTCTAAATTATATAGCTATTACCATAATATTTAAACTGGCAATAATCTGCACATGTTCGCCTCATGCAAAGGCGTCATTGCCCATCATGTCGCTGAATAAACGCGAGTTGTTAGGTGACCGCTCTTGTTCCTCCTTCAAGAGCCGTAAAGCATCGTCAAGCTCCACGTATTTATAAGGTGAAGATATTGCAGGTGAAACCGCTGAAGCCTCCCGTTTCCTGGCGACATGCGCTAGACGCGTGCGATCGAAGGTACCGTCGTATTTGAACGTTCTCAAATAGGCATCGGCGTCAATAGCACAAAAATAGGCTACACTCTCACCACGTATTATAAGGTTACCTAAAACAAAGTCAGTATCATAGCGATTAGTGAGGAATTTAGAAATTACCGACGCATAACATATACCTACCACAGTACACATCGCTGAAAACACGCTGAGAGTGAATGATTATCTTCTTTATGGCATCAGTAAGAACAATGTTACCGTATTGGTCGAAGCTTTTAAAAATACCAATGTAATGTGTTTCGTCCCTTAATGTCACCCAAATTAGCGAACCAAGCTCGTTCTCAACTACCCAAATCCACTGTTGCCGATTACACTGGTCTTCCTGCCTTGGCGATGTTTTATTAGCCATCATACACACATGGAGAATTCAAAAGAAGGGGTCAAAAAAATTACATTCTATAACCGTGCCACAACCAAGAGGCACCCAAAAAAACCATACGCGTCCCCATACTAATAAATGTAAATCATACTATACTTTAAAACATAAAAGTAAAGTCAAGAATAATCTGATTAACGGACTGAAGCCGTTAAACTTGCCCAGCGGCAAAACACCCGGGCCGTTGACACCGGGACATACAGTACCCGAAATATACAGCCACAATTAATGTTAGATGGTCGTTATTCAACCCTTGGTCGTGTAAAAACGCACGGTATCGCCCTAAGCACAAATAAAAACATACACAATTAAACTTACCACTCGAAGCTGAACGTGACACAGCCGGTCATATTGCATACCCGCACGCTGTAACATACAAACAATAGGACGCAAAGGATCGATCACTTCCATAGTATGTCCGATGAAATTCTGGGCCTTCATCACTTTCCCTACGGGCGATTAATGACCACAGAAAGTAACTTACCTGGCCTAGAAGCAAGGAACATAGAACGAGACGTAATCACGTCAATACCCGCAACCTGAGTCACCTGGTGGGTAAGCTCAGGCTGTAACTTCTCCGGCTGAACTAATGAATAATCATCAATATCGCTAGGGAATAGCTGCTGGAGATATTGTGAATTAGGACCAACTGTATACCACTCGCGATGCAACTTGTCAAGTGATGACGATGGATCACCGTTCATTGCCTGACGGCGTAATGGCAGGAACTTTATGCTCTCAATATCCGTATTGCCCAAAGCGTTCATCAACACCACAGGGATCTCGATAGAATCACCCTCACAAACTTGGCTCACAGACTCCGCAGTAGCCACGTGTAAATCATCACCATGCACAGATGATACATCACGCGTGAATGATACTGTGCGACGTGAATTGCGCTTCAGACAGTCGAATAAAAACTTGTTCACATAGGTAGGTCCACCACCAGACAAATCCGTAGAAGCACTGCGAGGTATGTAGTTATAAGTGTATTGTAGAGTATTCCTTAAATTAACAGCCGAGGGTAAAACTCGGGCACGTAATATAAGGTCGATACGCATACCCTTTTGAGCCGTAAACACAGATTGGCATATCATATAGGATGACACCAAGTCGAGCTGCCCCTCGTAGGCAGTTTTAAAAGCATTAACAATCCTCGCGGACTTCCTGTCCATCAAAATCTTCACGTTGTTCGCCCACTCCTTAGTTATATTCTCATTGGAAGGAAGACCTGAACCTGTGAAGTACTGCAACAGGGCGTCGTAGACACGGGAATTCAAACTGCTCCAATCATCAGATATACGGTGGCTCATAAGCTCGTAATAACGCAAACTGGACTGACATGGCTCCATATTAGACTCAGAACGGTTATCGGAAATATCAGTAGAAAGGTGCTCGTCCAAAACTGATACATATGCATCACACTTGTTGTCGCTGTTAGATACGCACTTTTTGCTATCGCCACGGAATAAGGTCATACCATACCAAAAGTGGTTAGTCTCAGCAGTGTCACTGACATCAGGGGCAACAGTTGTCGTAGGCATCTTTTCCAAACCAACCAAACTCTTTACCGCAGTACTCTCACTGCTACGACGTGAGACCCTAGGTGAAAAACTCATTATCAATGGGTCATAGACATCTTCAGTAATCAACGGGGTGGGATCTCCCGGCTCCTTCTCATCAGAGCCCCTTCTTGTCGAAGCACATGATAAAGGTTGAATTACCGTATCTATCACAGTCTTTGGCAGTACTTCAATCGATGATGGCGGGAGTTCCTGCATAACTGGAACCTCTGACGCATCAGTATCATCATGACTTATGTCAGATGGCATGGAAAGCTTGTTTGGCTCCTTTACCTGTGACACCCATTTCTGACGCGTGCACAAGCCGCCCAGACATCGAAACAACGGCTTTCGCTCGGCCATTGCGATGTTCGCAAATCAAATCTTACAAATGACCGACGGAGCCCGCCTATAACAAATCGCTCCGGCAGGACTGTTAGACATAACAGCTTAACAAAAAGAAGCTGTCAATTGTATACTCCACGCGTAGAGCATGTGATCCTTAGTCACTTACGAGCTTTGGGCGTCGTGCTAAAACACAGGTGCTCAGCACCTCCTGTGCCAAATCTGCATACAGGAATATCCAAAAAACCAACCACCGATCACTAGACGACACTATAAGTGGTAGTGTGTAAAAGAAAACACTCGCAAAGGACGGTAACACGACCAACACATTTAATACTCCATATTAAAGTGGTGTTGTTTTGCAGGATATATAGACACGGCCACCCCTAAGTGGTGTGTCCAGAGTCAAAATATGAAAAATGTGTAGCAGCGCGACGCGCCTCAAGGTACTACCAAGACCTATAAGTCTCATTTACCACTTAAAAATAATAAGGATGCGACTCTAAAAGGAGCTAGACGCGTTAATTTCTATTCCACCGTGCATTGGGGGGCCAACGGTACGCCCTACAGGCTAGTCATGGCCATCGCGCAAAAAATAAGATACCTAGGAAACCAAACTCCAATGGTGTAGCTATTGTACGACAAGGAAAGGCTAATAAACCACTCAGATGACGTCCAGTTGACACCTTGACCCAGTGTCTTGTGCAAGAGTCACTAGTTGACACCTGACCACTATTGGTGACAGTAGCCATATAACTAGCGCGTCAACAGATCCGAATGGTTCACACAATAAGAGCGTGAAAAATTTTTTTACGTAACTATTTCAAATAATTTATATCACGTGATGCGGCGCTGGCCGTACCAAGCTTCTAGACAAACTTCCACCTCGAGGTCGGAAGCTAACCCAGGCGACAACATATGGTGCACATCCATTCTAGAAGGAAAATAAGCAGCATATGAGGTTATTGTCCCCTCGCCTATGGGGATTCTTTAAATTGACATCTCCGCACAAGGGAGCCAAAGCTAACGGTACAACATAAAGGTGTCACTTAAAAAATTCCACACAATTCTGTTGAAGTTACAGTTTCACCGAACGACACGTGAATAAATTCACATACGATCAGCACGCAATAACTAACGGACTCGACGCGCATCACAAGGCGACGGTAGCCAAACCGCGTACATCGTTTGTACTGAATTCAAAAAAACAACTACCTACTAACCAGGTAAGTATATGAAACCACAAAGCTGTGACCTACACTACATTTTCCAAGCTGTACCCAGCGTCTCAGTAGTGATTCTGTGGGTACGACGCATAGCAGGGAATGTGTAACAGGTGTTGTCAATACAAAGTCTAAAATATTTACGCGGAGTTTGTTGGAGTATATTTCTTCACAATATATATTCGCAATCGGTTATTAACGCTAGTTACAGGTAGGAACGGACGCGCTGCACTATGACAGTAATGAATGGAAACGACGCGGCCGATAAGGCCAAAGGCAGCGAAATGGTACCGGAAACAGATGGACTCGATGCTGCTAAAAATAAGTATCTTAATCGGTTACTAGTGGAAGATGCAATTAATGATGATAATTCTGTAGTCGCATTGCATCCAAACCGTATCGAAGCACTCGGACTATTCAGAGGTGACACCGTCATGCTGAAGGGTAAGAAACGACACACGACGGTTTGCATTGTACTGGCCGATAAGGACCTGGATGAAGGAAAAGCTCGGATTAACAAAATTGTACGCAAAAACCTTAGGGTTATGCTAGGAGATTTCATAAGAATATCACCATGCTCAGACGTACCATATGGAAAGAAGATACAGGTACTACCACTGGATGACACCGTAGAAGGACTGTCGAGGGATGCACTTTTCGATGTATACCTCAAACCCTACTTCCTTGAAACATACAGACCTGTAAAAAAAGGGGACCTTTTCCTAGTCAGGGGAGCATTCAAGGCAGTAGAGTTCAAAGTAGTTGAAGTCGATCCAGGGGAATACTGCATTGTGGCACCCGATACTATCATCTACCATGAGGGCGATCCTATTAAGAGGGATGATGAAGAAAAACTCGATGATGTAGGGTACGACGATATAGGTGGATGCAGAAGACAAATGGCGCAAATTAGGGAAATGATAGAACTGCCACTCAGACACCCGGGACTCTTCAAAACCCTTGGTGTTAAACCACCGAGGGGGGTGTTGCTATACGGACCACCAGGATCCGGAAAAACACTCATCGCAAGGGCGGTTGCAAATGAAACCGGCGCTTTCTTCTTCCTTATCAATGGACCCGAGGTCATGAGCAAAATGGCAGGTGAAGCAGAATCTAACCTTAGAAGAGCTTTTGCGGAAGCAGAAAAAAATGCACCAGCTATCATATTCATTGATGAGGTCGATTCGATCGCACCAAAGAGAGAAAAAACAAACGGAGAAGTTGAAAGGAGGGTGGTGTCACAACTGCTCACACTCATGGACGGATTAAAGGGCAGAGGACAGGTCGTAGTTATTGCAGCAACAAACAGGCAAAACTCTATCGATCCAGCTCTTAGACGTTTCGGAAGGTTCGACAAGGAAATCGATATTGGTGTACCTGACGATGCCGGAAGACTTGAAATCCTTAAAATCCATACCAGAAATATGAAACTAGCACCTGAAGTCAAACTAGAAGAACTAGCAGCTAATTCACATGGTTTTGTAGGAGCCGATCTTGCACAGCTGTGTACAGAAGCAGCTCTTGGGTGTATCAGAGAAAAAATGGGCGCTATCGACCTTGAGGAGGACACAATTGACACCGCAATCCTAGATTCCATGGCTGTTACACAGGAACACTTTAATGCCGCAATAGCCACATGCAACCCATCATCGTTACGTGAAACTGTAGTGGAAATACCGAATGTCAAGTGGGACGATATTGGAGGTTTGGAATCAGTGAAGAACAGCTTGAGAGAAATGATCCTCTATCCCATTGAACACCCAGAAAAGTTTGAAAAATTCGGTATGTCACCATCAAGGGGTGTATTGTTCTACGGACCACCAGGTTGTGGTAAGACACTTCTTGCAAAAGCCGTGGCTTCCGAATGCAGTGCTAATTTCATATCTATCAAGGGACCTGAACTATTGACCATGTGGTTCGGTGAATCCGAGGCAAATGTAAGGGAAGTATTTGACAAAGCTAGGACATCAGCACCATGTGTACTTTTCTTCGATGAACTTGACTCTATTGGTGCTGCTAGGAGCGGCGGAGCAGGAGAAGGAACAGTGGCAGGTGATCGTGTAATGAACCAACTGCTAACGGAAATCGATGGTGTATCCGCCAAGAAGAACATATTCTTCATAGGAGCAACTAACAGACCCAACTTGCTGGATGAGGCACTCCTGAGACCAGGAAGACTTGACCAACTGATTTACATACCTCTGCCAGATCTGCCTGCCAGGGTCTCCATTCTTAACGCTCTGCTACGCAAGTCGCCTGTTGCTGACAACGTGCCCATCTCGTACCTTGCACAGAAAACTGCAGGCTTCTCCGGAGCGGATCTAGCTGAAATGTGCCAAATCGCGGCAAGGTCTGCTATCAGGGACGCAATTGCCTATGAAGAAAAACACGGAAAAATTACAGACGAAAATGCAGAAGGGTTCAAATACGAAATACAAAGGAAACACTTCCAAGAAGGCCTGGCTAACGCAAGACATTCGGTTACTTCTACAGATCTCGCCAAATTCGACAACTTCAGGAACAAGTTCGACCCGTTATACAAGACAAGAGGTGCAGCCGGAGATGAAATTGACATCGACTGGCCTGATGAGGACGAGCCTAACGCCAACATGGACGTTGTCGATGATGACGACGATTTGTACGCTTAAACTGCTAATGAAACTATGGTGCTTTAAATTGTGTGATGTATGTGTTGCTGAACGCCTGGGGAAAGGGGACAAAATCTGGGAGCCCAACCTCAGACGCCCGGTCTATTATACCTCGTGGTAACATCATGTCACCAACGTACTGTGTTATGGAGTTTCCCACAAGTACCACATTCCGCAATTCGTAACATACGGGCTGTTCCAGGTGCTCGGCACCTGCCAACATTTTTGCCGCAATCAAAGGGTCTTCACCTTCTTCAATTGCCAACAAGACAGTTTTGTACAATGCCGCCTCGCAGTGAGGCATCCAGAGCAGTACACGTGAAACATCAGCTTTAGATGTCCCCTCATCATCCGGGTAACCGGCACTACAGATAGCAACCAAACCGGAGACAGGCGGTTGGAAATCTGATAGAAGCCAGCGGCAAACTTCAATGTCATTCGCATCCATTATAGGATCAAACACATCCACACGGCTCACCCCAAACAACTCACGGATGATAAGACAAACTGCCATCTGATAGCAAAATGAACGCGTCAGAGGCAAGGTGAGAGCCGTGGGCGAACCCATACCTAGAGCCACGATGCGGGATGGAGACCCGCAGCCTAGGTATGGCCGTAATTTTTTTAACAACGGTGCCAAAAAGGCACGTGCGTTATCAACGGCATCAGATACAGTGCGAATCACGCGTTCCCGTGTGCATCGGCAGACCTCGGAATCGACAACGACATTCCGAGGAACCCGTACATCCAAACGACGAGAAACGCGCTTGCCGGGCACTAAAATCCAATCTCCATCATCTTCCTTCATGGCGCAGACACGGGTGTCTCCGCTTTTGTTCGGCGACGCTTAGGACGCTCCGGTCCCGACGCGCGAGCCGTCTGCATTAACTTAATGACGACGTCAAATATATACACTTACCTCTTTTGCGATATGCTTTATGATGTAATCTGAACGCTTGGCAAATTCGTTGGGAGTGCGGGTACGGAAGAATATATCGAACTGCCAACGGGGGTCTAGACGTGAAAGCTCCACAATATCGTCCCACATATCATAACCTGAAAGTATTGAATGATATCGAAGATTACATACCCATTAGTGCAATCACATTCATCATCCACCGATCTTGGTCCTCAGTGAATGGACATTTTCCTCGATGAGCAGCAAACAGAGGATCAGTACCGACCCATGGATTTGTCAGAGTAGCCTGCTTGGCTACAACCATCTAAAGATATGGTTATTAACACAATAAACATAACGTACTTGATGTAACTGGTTGCGCTTCAGAAGGACCTCTTCCCCCTGCTCTATACGCTTTATATACTTTCCCCAGTCAGCAATCTCGGTGTAACGCTCCCAGAATACCTTGATGTAACGCTTCACCTCCTCTGGACTCTTGTCTTTGATGCTAGAAGCTATGGAATCGACATCGTAACGACTATATAGTGCGTTAGCCCTACAATAATTGACGTTAGACACATTATACACCTACTTGATAAAGGAACCAAAATGTCGCTTGTTCCAGTCTCCAAAGCCTTCAGATAGAAGCTGGTCACGTTTCTCACGCATTTCATCATCCAGATCACCAAGCTCCATCTCAAGCTGCTCCAACCTAGTGAGCTCAGCCTTGTTAAAGAATTGCCAATCCTAAAATGAAATTGAACAAACGGTGTACCATAAGACTCACCTGGAGCGTTACACTCTTGGTGTAACGAGCACTGGAACGACCAGTATCTGTGTCAGCCAACCTGGCAGCAGTCATACGCATGCGACGGCGGACGTCACGCTCATGTACATTCTCATCCTGATAACGCATAGCTGTAAGCTCAGCCCATGTCTGTTGGTCAAGAGTTTGCACCTCACCTTCAGGTGCCTCGTATTCATACAACTGCTGGGTATTAGGAGTTGTGGAAAAGTCTAACAAAGCCTTTCGTGTGTGCGCCTGCAACTTGTCATTAAGCATGCTCGCTCGTTCTTGACCCTTGCTCAAAATAGCATCAAGATCGGCTTCAGTAATCTCCTCGTCACCAGCCTTGAAAACGTGGCCAGCACCAAATTGTACCATCTCCAAAAGCTCCTTCTGACCCAAGCGACCACTCTGAATAACAGCGGAGTCTAACTGTAACTTAATCGTCGCACGCTCTATAATCTTCTCCTCAATAGTGTATTCATGAACCAAACGATACACGTGAACAGGTTTCATCTGACCAATACGGTGAGCACGGTCAATAGCTTGCAGGTCGACCTGAGGGTTCCAGTCGCTGTCATACAGAATCACCACATCGGCTGTAGCCAGGTTAATTCCAAGACCACCAGCACGAGTGGAAAGCAAAAATATACTCACATCACTGTTGGGGTCATTGAAAGAAGATATTTGATTGTCACGATCCTCACCGGAAGTGTTACCGTCAATACGGAAGTACAAGTAACCACGCATACGACAATAATCCTCCAAAATGTCTAACATACGAGCCATCAATGAAAAAATGAGAACGCGGGAATTAGCCTTCAGAAGTCGGTTTAACAACTTATCCACCACATTCAGCTTACCAGCGTTCTCAACGAGATGCTCACCAAAAGGGTCGGCGCTACGGTCTTCCCAACCCTCAAAAAGATACGGGTGATTACACGCCTTGCGAAGTTGCATGGCCAAGTTCAGCAATTGTACCTTTACAACGGACCCGTGGCTGTCCTCCGCACCAAGCTCGGGTACATTCCTGCGCAGAAGGTCCTTGTACAGACGCTTTTGCATAGCGCTCAAAGGAATCATTAATAGCAACTCGTTCTTCGGTGGCATGTCCTTCAACACGTCCTTTTTCGAACGACGTAACATGAAAGGACGCAAAATCTCATGTAGACGAGCTATAATACCCAAGTTGCGAGCTTCACGCTCTTCCTGGGACAATTCTTTAGGACCGACCAAATCAAATTCCATCTCAAACTCTTCAGCTGATGCGAAAACCTCAGGAAAAAGGAAATTAAGCAACGCCCACAACTCCTTCAAATTGTTCTGCAATGGAGTACCCGTGATTAGCAAACGATACTCTGTGTGGAAAAGACGCACAACTTCACTTAGCTTCGACTCTTCGTTCTTGATACGATGCGCCTCGTCAATGACGATATAGTGGAATGCAAGTTTTGCAAGTGCATTCTTAGTCTTGCAACAAGTTTCGTAGGATGTCACGATGATGTCATACTTGGACGGATCCAACTCGTGGGACATCATGTAGTTGCGCTCTTCCTTGTTGCCAATAAACTTCAGGACACGCAGATCGGGACAAAAACGGTTAATCTCGCTGATCCAGTTGCCAATAGTCGATTTAGGGGCGAGGATGAGATGGAGACCGTTAATGCCGCGACTCTCCTTCAAATATGCCAAAAGACTAATGGTTTGAAATGTTTTACCTAAACCCATTTCGTCAGCCAAAATGCCGTTCATATTGCGATCATATAATCCTACCAGCCATCGTAAACCTTCCAATTGGTATGGTTTGGCAGTACCAACAAGGTTGCGTGGCTGTGCGTGTACAACCACGCCTTTTTTCCTATTGGCGGCGCTCACACCTGAACTCGATTGTAATTTAGCAAAGCTTTTACGGCTATTCGCCAAGATGTCGTCTATGAAGTGATCCTCATGTAGCAGCTTGTGCAGCAAACTGCCCTGAGATTTGGCCACAGGAGGGGCTACATCAGCCGTTGAAGGCTGTGTGCTAGTCTGGCTTGAGATATCGCTCATATCCCTATCCATTTTGTAATTCTAGAGACACATTAAAGTGTCAACTGTAAAATGAGCTATATGCTGTTATATGTGGTGCAATGAAGCTCCCAACGACCTTTGCTACACAGGCGCTCGCACGCAGCGGGGCTGCGACAGTAGTGATGAGCGCCACCACAACCAATATAGCAACATATACACAATTATGTCATCAACATGACATATTGTATATTTTTTCCTACAAATGGTAAATTGTAAAGACCCAATTCACGTGGCAATGATAAAAGACCGGACCTGTGTGTTTGGGGGTACGCTACTCAACATCATAGCTCAAAATCTCAACATGTCCGATAGACCACTTGCGACACGGTAATTTATAGTCGGTATGACACTGCCGCTAGCCTTCTCAGTCAATAGATGTTCCAATGTGTGTGCATAGTGTAACTTGCGTGGACGTACGCTCAATGAAGATTCCATATCCAACGTTGTTAAAATCGCCGATTCATCAATACTTACCAGTACGCTATCAGAGCCTTCATGTCTATCAACATAGCTATAGCTTACGCCACAAACGGTGCCTAGCTGTTGCTCATTTTCACACCTGCACATACTGGGCAACCTAGTCGGAATCTTAGACGATACAAACTTTGATAGACCCTCTGACAACAGATCCCCTTTATTAAGGCATATCAACGCCTCATACAACTCATCCTGTTGATTAAGTCTGAGCTGCCTGTGGCATGAATCCATATGTCTTAGTAGAACTTCCAAAGGTCTGTTATCGACGACCACTTCTCCACACACACTATAAGCTTGTTAACATCAACAAGAAAGGGACATACTTGCTCAATAGCGAAATCGCATACAATAGTTGAGACGTAGACACTGCCGATAACGAGGAAATGCTTCCATTCACAACACGATGGAGCATACCAATAACAGCTCGGTTATCAGTTTGCCCAAGAAGACAAAGGGTGTAAATGTGGTAACAGAGTGTTCTTGATAGGTACTCCGGATCGTTTAGTAACAGCTCCATACCATTCACTAACACGTCAATTATCTTGGGCACCACCACACTAAAAATGAAATGATTCACATCGAATATCATCTCATAGAACATACCCTATGGTGTTTTGTAGAGTCAGTATTTTCGAAATTTCCTCCGACGGCAAAGGCCTCGATCTCAGACACGCAAGAATGTTGTCACTGTATCAAAAAATTCATTCAAAAGAAAACTAAACACACATAACATTCGCGCACACTTCTTTATTGTTGTAACGCACAGCAGATGCCAAAAGGTAAAGCTTATCCTTTACAGACAATTTCTACAAACCACATTTGCACTGGGATGAGTATAAACTCTACCTCTAGACTTGTATTAAAATCGCCAATGATACGATCTAAAACAACGCAGTTGTCTTTACGAAAGCGAGAAATGGCTTCCGCACATCTAAATATGATGAACAACAAAATAACATTTATATAGCATACCGGATTGACGGCTTCAGGTCCAAATCGTTCAGGTGGAGTAATGTTTGTGTCTTTAGTAATTCCTCCAAGGCAGGGTCCTCCATGCCGAGATGACTACAGTTTAGAATTATATCCGGCAGTTCGAGCACATAATGGTGTAAATGACGTTTCACCCATCCCACAAGAAGGTCCACAACCTATGGAAAAATACAAAACGTGTATTCAACCACCAACAACAGGATGAGTTATGTTCATGCACTTTAAAAGTGCAACGAGGTGAACTATACGCCTTGGAGATGCCGTTTCACATAGCTCCTGCATCCTGCCAAAAACTCTGTTGGATAACAATGCTAAAGACAAATACCTTTCACCCAAACACACTAGTAATTTTTCGTTGCAAAACTCAATGTTAGCAAACGCATTCATACCCTGTGATATGTCCAACTCTTAGTTGCGTCTTCATTACCCGGAATATTTGAAGGGGGGTCATCTCGTCCGATACATCACGGAATGTTTCACTAGCAGCTTGCGCAGTATACGCGCACCTGGATCGTTCCAGGCACTGAACGATGTCATTAATGTGTATTAAAGGTCCAGAGACGATACAAAGGTCACAATGCGCTTACCAGCTGCTCAACACCTCGAACAATGTCTTCTGCCGAACTAGGCATCGGAGATTCCACGGAACGCACGCTAGAAATTCGACGTGAACATATAGTAATGCGATTAGCTCTACCGAGCACTCGGTAGAGGGGCGCGAAGAACGACGCCGACGATGCCAACATGGCTCGACTAAACTTAACCTATATGATAGCTAGAAGGATGTATGTGCCATCAAACTGGAACTATATTTGATTCGCAGTGTTTTACATATTATATTGAAGGGTTGCTGCATTTTGTAAGATAGAAACACAACGCAAGTAGGCGCAACGCACATAATGGCGCCATTTTAAAAGGTCAATCAGCCCTTACTATCGAATAATCAGCAGCTCCTACTGCTGCTAAAAGCATAGAATTTCTGCAATGCGATGAAACAATAAAAGTAGACACTGAGACTTGCCTAATTACAAGCATTGTCATGGAACCATTCGTCCAACGGTCCACATAATGCTTTACCAAACCGCAGAACCAACTATTGTCGAAAAGAGCCCCCGAAAAAATGATACTGCAAGTGATAAACTCCAAGAAGCTGAACTTACGTGTCTATTCCGTTCAGCTGCGCATGAAGCGCAGCGTTTTGAGTCACGTTAATTACTACCATTTTAATGAGACTGTGCGCAACGTCTTCCATGCGAGGGGCCTTTAAACATGTTATTACAACGAAGTGTGGACTCACGTTTGGTAAAGTGCTCGGATCATGGAAATCGTTTACATGTAGCGAAGATGACCTCTTCCTAAAACGCAAAGCACCAGAAAACGAAGAAAAGAGAGATGCAGGTTTCCACATAGCCTTGCTATTCAAACTAATTAGGTCATTTTGGTTCCAATCGTTCGTTGAAATCCGTTTACCAGGATTTGTGGAAATCTCACAATTGTCCAGAGAACATTCATGGCGTTTTTGAAGCTTACCGAAGGTAGATGCCAGCAAATCACCCGGTAAACCGAGAGTAGCAGTATCTACACCATAAATATCACTCACCACCATGTCACACGTGACACCGGAGCCTCGAGAAGCCAGATCAGCAATATGCCGTATGTCAGCTCGGTCCGTCTCATCAGTACCACGGCGCGAGACAAACAGATCAAAAAGTGACACTACAGCCGAATATCCTATAACAGAATGCCCTATATAACGCCCTTCATTACTATCTGGTGGATACAGTCGATAGGACGCACCAGAATGGATTATAGCATGTAAGTGACCCTTACTTCCTAATGAGTTGTAAGGTTCAACAGTTCCGTTCTGATCAATAACCTCCAAAATGCTATCTGCAGACGAAATCAACAGTGGTTTCACGCTGTGTAGGCATGTGTCATAGTCGCACTCACTGATAACGGCATCTGGCAACAATGACTCCAAGGTGCTCAGTAATGATACCGAAGAATTACCACACAAGATCACATTACGTATGTTTTTCCGATAGCTGGACAACATATGAACCGCAGTATCGGCATCGCTTGTTGCAACAGTGACCAGGCGGAGTGTGTGATCACGATGTGTAGCTGGAAAATCAGCTGTGTTGTATGCAGTAAGGAAGGTACATTTTGCGATCAAACTGTCCACTTCCTTGGCTTCACGGTTATCAACACACAATATGGCAACGAATAGCCTGTCGAGGAGGTGTTTAGACGAATAACTGCAGTCAACACCGATACTATTTCCCATATTCCCTGTACCTAACACAACCGATGTTGACGCACTGACATAACCACTGAACCATTCATAAACATTCCAAGGTTGCGTTCAGGTGTTTTGCATGATCCATTGGAACAAAAATGGTCACACGTTGCAAGAAATACATACCAGAGGCTCCGTGTCGTGGTACCGCGGATCGTTTTGTGTGTAACAAACTTTTATAACACTACTACCAAAAATATACATTTACCTTAAGCAACAAATATACACAATGTGTGTCTTTATGCAGGACAGCAGCGACACCAGAGGAGTCATTGCATGGTCTGGCGAGAGCCTGATGCATGAAATGTGTTGCAATATTTACATACGATTAATATACATTCAATAGAAATATTCATAGTTTCTATCAGTTGACTAGCGAAACCTTACAACAGCCACAAAATGGCAGGAAATACTCTACACTACTCACCCAGAGGATTAGTGGATTCCAGACGTTACGGGGTAGCAAAATGTTTCTAGTCACATTTTCACAGACGTAATATTCCAATTATTCAATAGAAGAGGAATCCTAAAACGGTAGCAGGCACAAAAACCACATATAACAGTATTATGAGCCAAAACAGGCCACATTAACTTAACATCGACATGTAGAAATAATAGAACCGGCTTTTTAAAACAAGGGAACATCAGTGTATTGTGCCTTCGACGAATGGGCATTTACTTGCGTTCCCAATTGTAACCGTCTAACAAGTCCTGATAATACGAAAATTTAATATCCTAAAGATTACTCATGAGACACTGAATATATTCAAATTATTGCTGTATGTAACCACTATAACTTTCTTACAAACTTATGGGACAGAGGACCGCGTCGCCGCAATGACACACAAAAACAACCGCTGGAAACAGCAATGTGACATTAGAACGAAAGGGGCCCATAGCTCACGGAAAAGAATAGAAGGTTGTAGATAATAATAATTCAACCATTCACCTCTACATGGTAGTAAATTAGATACACATTGTACCCGAAAAGTGACGCAACATCATACGCGATCACTGTAGAAATCATAGGGAAGCCGAATCATGTGTTCCACGAGACCCAAGATGTGTAGGAATGAAAACCTAAGAGAAGCCGCCTGATGTACACCGGTGTGTCACCCGCCAGAGGAAACGCCCAACCAAGCAAGTGTGGCATCAGTATTAACTACGCGACACACATCGGCCACTACGTTTACGGGATTTTGTCTGCTGCAAAACCGCAGCAACAGGAACGTAACACGTCAAGATTTTGTTGTCACCCCAAAATTTTAAGCTGTCTTTAACGGTCAGGAAAACCGTTGGCCTACACCCAGGACACCTGGACAAGGGGAAAACTCTAACTAAACAACTCAAATACAGACCAATTCACGGAGAAACTGCAAGACCAGAAATAATTGCGGTAAGACCCAGCGTTAAGTGATAGGAATACTTGACCCTGATATATAAGTCACTTGCACAATACACGGCTCACTGACGACATATCAAAAGGTTCTCCAAAACTTCTATAGAGGAATATAAGGATATAACCAAGATATAACACAATGAAACGATCTATATTCTTCTTTCTGCATTGCCTGGTGGCTCTTGGCGCTGCCACCCAGATTCACAATGTTATCGCGGATACACAAGTAGACAACCCAGAGGAACCAGTGCTTGACACTGTTGTTGAGAACGAAAAGGATGTAACTTCAGAAACAGAGGCCGAAACAACATCGGAACAAGCTGATGTGGTAATAACTGAACCCGAGGATACCGTTAGCCTATCTGATGATGAAATGTCACAGGCAGCCAAACATGGAGAAAGTCATACATACCAAGCTGACTTCGCACGTGTCATGGATATTATAGTTAACTCCTTATATTCAAATAAGGAAATATTTTTAAGGGAACTTATATCCAACTCAGCAGATGCCTTGGAAAAATACAAAATTGTCGAACTAAGAGAAAACAGAGCAGAGTCACTGGATGAACTTGCCATTAAAATCAGAATATCTGCCGCTAAAAGGACACTCACAATACTAGATACAGGTATCGGTATGACCAAACATGAACTCATCAACAACCTTGGAACTATCGCCAAGTCAGGAACGGCAAACTTCGTTGACGCCATATCAAAGGGTGAAAATGACGCAAACCTCATTGGACAGTTCGGTGTTGGATTCTATTCTGTATTCCTGGTCGCAGACAGTGTAGTAGTGCAAACGAAACACTTGGAAGACAAGCAATATGTCTGGAAATCATCGGCTGATACCAAGTACGAACTATACGAAGATCCCAAAGGAAACACACTTGGAGAACATGGTACGCAAATCACACTCTTTCTTAGGGAAGATGCTACGGACTATCTGGAAACTGACAAGATAGAAGAATTGATCAAAAAACACAGCCAGTTTGTAAGGTTCCCAATATACGTCCTCAAGGCCGATAAGGATGCAGCAGAAGCTAAGTGGCATCATGTAAACGATGTAAAACCCATATGGGCACGGGATAAGTCGGAAATCACAGAAGATGAGTACAACGTATTTTACAAAGCGATCAGCGGCTCACACTCAAACCCACTTGCACATATACACTTCGTGGCAGAAGGTGATGTAGACTTCAGGGCACTCCTTTTCATTCCAGAAAGACCAAAGAGCTCATACTTCGATAACGATGATGTCGGACACCAAGTCAAAATATACGCAAGAAGGGTTCTTGTGTCTGATAACCTTCCGAACTTCCTACCAAGGTATCTCTACTCACTTCACGGAGTTGTAGACAGTGACAATTTCCCCCTCAATGTATCACGTGAACACCTACAACAAAGTAAAATGATCAAGATTATTGGTAAAAAGATTGTTAGGTCAGTACTAGGCACTCTACAAAACCTGATGAAAGAAAGCATCGAAAACAAAAAGAAACTCAAGGAAGAATTAGAGGCGGAAACCGATGAGGAAAAGAAGAAGGAGTTGAAAACTAAACTTAGTGAAAAGACGACATTTGACAAGTTCTACCAGAACTTTAGAGGATCGCTAAAGGTTGCGTGTTACGATGATGCCGCTAATAGGAAAAAGATTTCGAAGTTGCTTATGTACCAAACTTCCAAACATAAGACTACAGAAATCACACTAGATCAGTATATAGCTGAAATGCCGGAGACACAAAAGGCAATATACTACGCCAGCGGCGAGTCATATGAAGCTATACACAGCAGCCCTCATTTACAAGGGTTCCGCAAACGTGATATCGATGTCATTTACCTCACCGATACTATGGACGAATCTTGCATCAGCCAGATGTATGAGTACGAAGGAAAAACATTCAAATCAGTACAAAAGGGTGAAGTAGATTTCGAACGCACTCCGGAAGAGGTTGAAAAGGACAAAATAACCTTGAAAAAATACGAACCCCTAATCAAGGTATTTAAAGACAATATCAGCGAGATATACGAGGTGAAACTGTCACGCAGACTCACAGACGACCCGTGCACAGTAGTTGTCTCCGATTGGGGAATGTCAGCACACATGGAGAAGATTGTCAAATCCTACATCGTCAACAAGAAGGAGGACGAAATGAACGCATTTAGCGCAGGTATGCGGTCGCGTATCCTGGAAATCAATGGCGACCACCCTATAATGTTGGAAATGCTCAAGAGAGCCACGAGCGGATCAGTCGACTCAGACTTCATTGAATCTATCAAGCTTTTGTACGACGCAGCGAAGTTGGCAGGTGGATTCTCTATCGAGCACCCAGCAGTGTTGTCCCACACAGCATATGCCTATCTCTCTAAACAGCTTGATGTCGACTCCTCCATTACCATTGACGACATTCCGTACACGCCAGAAGCGGAGGAGAGTACAAAGGTACCAGAGGACATGGAACTGGAAGAAATCGACCTAGATGAAGATGGAAAACCAGTAAACGATGAACTCTGAAAATGTTTTTAATCAATTTTTTTTACATGGTAACAGGTGTGTCAGAGTTTAGGTTGGGTGCCGTAAGGAGCGATTAACCCTGATGTTATCCTGTTGGCATTCACTATTTTAATATAACAAATGGGTGTGCCTGTGTCTAGTAGCATAGAACTCTTTGAGCGCCTGTCTACGCAATACAGTGGAGCTTGTATCCTACTCAAGCCTACAGAGAGAGCGCGAGAAAAGATCGTGTCCGAAGGATATAAATCATGTACACAGCTCATTAATACGGCGCTGAAAGGAAATAACGGGGTTAATATTAGCGTCAAACTTGAATTTGAGGAAGAACAAGATGTGCACGAAGATAAAGATTTTGATACTTTACTGCTCAATGCTGTAACAGATAACGCGCCGGAGTTCGATACAGATGAAATACACTTCGTAGGGTACACTCCGTGGTTCTCGGAGTGGGCTGTGACCCTTGCAAAGATCGTGCGTTGTTCGCGGCATAAAACCCTGGGCATCCCCTCGGATGCAAATGGTATAACGGTGTTATGTACACCAGATGACAACGTAGATGAAGTCGCCAAACTGTTGGGTGAAATCGAATCGACAAAATTCCGTTCAATGGTCGTCATGGGAAAAGATGAATCAGGGGAGTTGATCGAATGGTTTAAAACTGTCTACAAAGAAGGACTAATTTTGCATACAGTGAACATCGATAGAGGAATATCGGAACACAGTGGAACAACAAAAGAGCTTGCCACAGTTCTTAGGAAGTTGGTAGACGATTGCGTTGCCCATAAAAAGGCTGCTTGTGCCGCAAAAGGTAAAGAGGATGTCCCACAGGTATCTTCGAAAACGGCGAAAGCGAAACTTTCAAATGCAGATACAACAGTGATTAAGTCAATTTTAGTAGCAATGAACGATGAATTGGACGCAGGTGCACATTTAGGTTATATAGATGATGTATGCCGTGGGATGGAACATGAAATTCAAGGTGTCGCGTTTGTATACAGCGCTTTATCGCATATAAAGGCCGTCAATGAGGTTTCTAACTCCCAAACAGAAAAGGAAAATGGCAGCAAGGTGGATCCCATACTAGCTACCGAAAAGGCTATTGCCGATTTGGAAAGAGCCATCAATATCTTCATGAAATTTGAAGCGAAAAAGGATGCCTTATTCGCATCGGTTCTAATGGCAACAATAGGAGGTGAAGCAGAGACTAGGAAGTTGGGGATCATCAGTGCTACCATGGAACTCAAAAGCAAGGCGGATTTCGTTAGGGCGGCGCTGTCACTGGAACTATGCACTTTCGCCACAGATAAGTCTCGAAAGAAGAGCTTCAATCTGGTAATGGCCGGACACCTATATATACAGGCGGGATTAATAAATCTCACGAAAAGGTGCTACATGCTAGCCGTTCCCGTATACAAGGATAGAGGTTGGAACATGGCTTCCGATTTCCTGTACGGTACACTTGGTAGATACGACCCTTTGTATTGTATAGACGCTCTAAATGGTCTAGCAGATCAATTCGAGATCTTGAATTGTCATAAGTACATGAAGAACTATGATGATAATTTCCTAAAATCACCCTGGTATATAGGTGACCGAGAAATGATACACCTCAGAAGATTCATGAAGATGTCGGTTCTAGATTGTGAATCACAACGTATCAAAAAGGAAAATGCAACGGCAACAATATGTGCTGCGTATGGACCTTACCCGGCTATAGTATATGGTAAAATGGACACCCCGCCACTCAACGGTGATGTACCCTATCTGGTACGTGTGCCGTTTGTATTTTTACGTAACAAGGAAGGGGTACCTGGGAATAATTGTGAACTTCTATGGACCGATCAAATGTGCGCTTTGGGACAAGGAAATGACAAGCTGTTCAACAACTCAGTAGATAGTTTTGAACTCCAAGAAGCAGCTTTCAGTAGGAGAGTCAAACATTTGGCTGAAATGGATGCGGCGTGGAGACCATGTTACGATTTTATCAGTGATTACGGAAATATATCATATAGGGTAGACCCGGAGTCAGGTTACACTCTACCGAAACAAGCCACAAAACCAGCTACCAACTGCCCATTGGGTAAATCTACAGTGATCAAACTGGACCTCGTAAATCCACTGCATATCGGAATCCACTGTGATGAGTTTCACGTACTCATAAAGGATGATAAAGAAAGCTGGTGGCAAAAGTCAACTGTTATCGTCATAGGAAATGAAAAAAATGACAATTTCGTATATCTATCAGAAGGGGAACGACGAATTGTGTATCTGAAATTTACTGTTATGAAACCAGGACTATTCCATATTTGCGGATTGGCGTGGAAATTGTTTGGATGTGTTTCGTGCTGGGTACCACTGTACCTTTGTGGCCCAAGAAAAACGAAAGGTGCGCCACTATATCAAAACAAAAACCAATCGCTTGACTTTTATGCCGACTCCCGTGAAGTCAACAGTGGGTTGTCGCTATCTATTCGAGACACGCACCCGGAGATTGAAATTGCTTTGTCCAAAGTAACAAAGCTTCCATTCAGTGCAATTCCGTTGGATAAAAATAGCGAACTCTTCCAGAAGGTGCAACGTTACATAGGGATTTCCGAGTCAGAGGATATGTACAATTTCGACGAAGGAGGAAACCTTTCTATGGATGAGGCCATAGATGGGGAATTTGTAATCACCAAGTTATTAATCAAGAACACAGGGACGGAACCGATAGAAAAGCTAATACTGAATGTAAAAACAAGCGGGGAATGTCATCTAGCCAATTGTCCAATCGCATATATCTCTACGGCAAACAATGTTAGCGTATTTTGGGAAGACGCAGCCAAATGTAACCTGGGTTCAGTTACTGGGAACAAATCACACGAAGTAACTCTTCGCAACGATGCAGGTACATTGATATTACCAAACGATGTTATGTCAATTTTCATGTTGATGGTGCCACGCGCAACTGATGGAGCTAATGTGCTTTGTATACAAGGGAAATTACAAACATCAGCAAAGTGTTACAACTCCGATGGGAACGTTGCCTTTTGGAGATTCTATACAATCGGTGATGGATTGGATCTATCGTACGATTATGACCACTCTGTACGTGACATGGTGAAATGTAGCGTAGTCAACAAATCTAAGAATGACATAAAATCGTTATGTTTTTACGACAATTCTGGCTCATTGATAAAGAAACATATCAATAACCAGCTAGCTTCGCGAAATACAACAACGGAAGTGAGAAAAACATCTTCTTTTTTGTCAGTTTTGCCGTTTAATCCAAACCAATCAACGTTGACTTTACGGTGGGAACGCGGAAACGCTGTGGGTTTGGTAACTTCAAACGTTCATGTCGACTCCAAAGCGCGTGTATTGGTGAGGATAACTTCTGATGTCTCTAACATCAGGTATGATGGAGCGCCAATACTCATTCATCTACATGTGATCCTTGAAAATCCCACAGAAGAAACAATACCCTCATTAAGGGTGGAAGCTATTCGAAATAAATTGGCAGATGACATACATACTTGGTTTTATGTCGGGGTATTGACGGTAGATGTCCCGCACATACTACCTAAATCCACCGTAAGAATCGGATTCGATGTTCTTATACCTCTGCCAGGTAAATACTTCTTTACCTATGACAACATCAACATTACACATACCCATCCGGTATCGATAACCCCTTGTGAGCAACTCATGGTTGCCGTAGAGTAAGGATGGATCAACCACATGCTAATTATATAAATTGTACATATGTTACTGACCAGACACATGTGCTATAGCTACATAATCGCTAATGAATTCAAACGATACTTAAATTACATACGTCGGTGGGTTTTAACCTATGATAGAACGGCGAAGGAACTCGCCTCTTGCTGTGTTAACATCGATACTGTCACCCGGCTTGACGTATGACGGTACCAGCACGACCATGCCATTGTCCAGAGTAGCTGCATAATTACCAGTATTAATGTGCATCACTTTGTATTGCACTTGATGCGGAACGAATAAACCAATGATCTGACCCCGCCACGTTGATACTGTCACATTCAATTCGGGTTTGAGGTATTTCAGTGCTTGTAACTGCGAACTTTTGGGGAGGTGGAGGTCACCCTTCTCGCTCTGAAATACATAATCTCCCGTTCGTTTTTCTGTACCCTTGTATGTACATGGTACCTTGTTTGGTGTGACTACGCTCAACTTCGTACCATCAGAAAACGAATGTGAGAGCTCTTTATTATTGAGCAAGTTGCGCAGCTTAACTTTATAATGACCCCTTGAACGTGCCTGCGATATGTGTTGCGATGCCAACACGAGGTGTACATCGCCTTTATGAAGGACGAAATGGGAGGCTCGAATCTTGTTGATGTGGGTTGGTTCTTCAACATCTTTCTCCTCTGCATAACGGTCCACAATTTCCTCGAAATCTGCAGTTTCTGCATCATCATCCTTTGGTTGGATTTTATGCAATGGAGCAGGTGCCAAACGAGTTCTTTCCGCTCGCTTGGACACTACATCGAGCGGGACCTTTCTAAGAAGCTGCCCAATAAGTTTCACATGCTCTCCTTCCAATATCATCTCCTTGATCTTTCTCTTCTCTCGTGCTAACATGGTAGAAGGGTCGATATCGCTATCGTACTTCGCATGGAGGCGCGCATTCATACGGGAAGGCTGGTACTCTAGAACCCCGCTTATGTTATGCTGTGGGCACCTCATCGTACATATGGGCGTTTTACAATAAGCTTCATACGCCATGTACTGTGCGCAGCTTGTATTTGTATCCTCTACTCGCCCATAGCCACCTGGAACAGCATTAATGCAACTGTCAATGTTGAATAACATCATGTGCATCTTTCTATGACATACAGACGTACACCACTGTATCAAAACTAGACAGAACCAAACAGTTATACAATAGAAGTCGTGATAAAGGTAATCAAGGGAAATATTCGCCACAGACAATAATATGCCAACACAATGACCACCTGGTAAACTAGACAATACAAATAGACCGTGAAACCATTGTTTTGCAATGTAAGGTTGTACTAACGTACCGGGAAGACGGAAGGCTGACGTATACATCGCCTCAAAAGAGAATATACAGATACCTTGAAAAAGGTGCCTCAAAAAGCTAATTAGTAGCATGCTACTACACCAAACTTATCACCATTATTATACGCATTACCATGATTTTCACGTACTTTCAACGGTGTACAATCCGTGGGATTGTGTGTTCCACCTAGAGGTACGGCACGAAGCATGTCCCCTATCGGTGATTCCACAACACACATTTGTGTTATAATCCCGTGAAAGCGCCGTATTTAATTTACAACGACCGGCTTGATATATTGGCCCGTCATATCGCGCCGATTTCATCGGTAAAGCGCTACTACCCTGTCTATCAAATAGTTTGAAAACCTAGTGATCATGGGCCAAGCATCAAAAAAGAATCGTAGTACACACGAAATATACTTATGTACCTTTTACAAAAGAACTACACGCTTAAAAAAATGTTTCTGATACTCGTAGACAACTACTACACGGAGGCCATAGATTCGACATCTGTAAAGCACTTAATAGAGCACGCGTTAACACATTGTTTATATGCTGTACACATACAGTCTGGATGTGGTAGGTGCTCTTCTTGAGGGGAGTAATGTGCAACAGCAGTAGTGTCGCATAATATATACCATCACCCAACCTTCACCTTCTACGGCGCTTTCCACGATCTGACATACTTTCGAATGCTCCAGAAAACGTTCCCGCTGTAGTCTTCACCATGTTATGCAATGGTAACGCGATGGTGTAAGTGTTGGACTTTGTAGCGGTGGCTGTTACAAGACCAGCAATGGGAACGCATTTCGAGAATACCGTATGTAAGATCCGCCACGATTTGAGATCTATCTGGAGCAAAGTAGAGAAGTTGTATGTACCACCGGAAAGGTATATACACAACCACAGGATGTAACACATGAGTTTCTGTAGTCCCTTAGCGTTGATGAAGAAATCATTGGTCGCATTTCGTTCGTAAAACAAACCCAACGCCCAGTTGCAAAGCTCTTCTGGTATGCTGAGAAGAAAAAGTTAAATGACACACAAACAACTTACTGATTGGATATGCCCAAGAAACCTCGAAAATTTCGACCTTTTGTAAACTGCTTTTCATGATTCTTAATCAGGGTTACCAGTATATTGAGAACCACCAGTGACTTTGCACTTTTGGATTTCTCAACAGTGAAAATGCCTTTTTTATACCCTTCGAAACATTTTTTGTAGAGGTCCATAGCGGTACTTGTGAGCTTGAGTTGCGTGGAACTCACGTCCAAAAGTTTAGTGCTAGTGAATGATGCAAAAAACGGCTCACCAGATAAACCAGGGTGATCCATCAGACTCTTGCCAATAATGTCATCTAGACTGGTAAGCGTGGACAGATCTGTTGCATCAGATTTGTGTTTGGGCAACAACTCCACCCTTTGCTGCAACAATTCGGCAGCGTCCCGAAATTGAACAGTGGGTTTGGGGCGATCACTTCCTGTTACATTATCATCGCTATAACCAGACTCCAATATATCGGCGATCATCTGTGGGAAACGCTTGTTACCCAAATGCTTAATGTCCATGTATATGCGGTTCCTTATCACGCTATAACATCTTGTCAACGGTTCAAGAACGTCATTCGTGTATATAGATAGCAGCTGAGTGACGATATCCACAGCCTGCATTTCACCCTCATAGTATTTTTGTTTATACGTGTTGACCTGATCCGTGAATTTGTAGCACGCATTCCGAAGACTGCGGATTAAGTCGTCAATCTCCTGCTCACCAAATTCACTCAATCTTTGAGCAAGGTGTTGCGTATCAACTTCAGTGATGACATCTCCAGGAAAAAAGTTCCAGTCTTGCCATAAACATCCCCATTGGATATTAGATATGGTCTGCATCGTATGTACCATATGCAGTATGCCCACTTACCTTAGAAATCACGTCATTCTGTTGACGCCACTCAGCAGATGCGCTGCGATATGCGTGCTCGTACCGCAGGAGCTTCAGCAGCTGCGCCAACTGCAGATGTCCCGGCTCTATCGCCGACATGAATAGCGAAGAACACTGAAAACACATTAGACTTCAGACAATACAACTTACCGTACTGAGTTGTCTATATTCGACATTTGGGCGTATATGCGCTATGTATGTGACACATTTAAAGATCTTAGAATCCTTTCCAATGGTCGCGATATATTCGATTCTGAGAAGTAATTAAACACGTGACATTACTCAGCAACTCACGGTGCCATAGCCGGGGAAGCATGACGCCTTAGTGTAGATTCATTGATGAATACCAGATCCTTAGCATGGTGACCACCAGCCGTGGTCTTCCCCAGGAAGGCAAATGGTATATCTGATACGCAACGCTGAGTTTGTTTCTGCAAATGATCCGCGAGCTTTGGTACACGCTTGCACGACACTCGCCTCAAACAGTTTTGAGACACTATAGTGAACGTATCTTCCCTACTTGCGTTATCCTTTGAATAATAGGTATGCAAAGGAGGATACATTCCACCAACGTAATGCGTGACATTGTTTTTCTTCTGGTAACACCTTGGTGGGTTAAATAGGTCATAATACTGTTCAAAAGGGTTCAACCCTAGTTCACATTCTATATGACCGGATGCTCCACATATGCGCTGTATATTGAGATTTTTGGAGACCATTCCGTGATCCTTTTGCACAGAAGGTTCCTTAGTCGCCTTAGTTGAATCTCCACTATCGTCCGGCAAAACAGTGAACACCTGACCAACATAGTGGCTCTTTGCCGTTGCTGTATAAGCCGATATAGCTTCTTGTACATCACGGCTGGCCATGGATGTGCCCGAAGACTCCACGATATTGCGATTCTCCACAACGTTGAGATCGTAGAAACTATCACCCAAGTCGTTGAATATTGACCTCTCAACATTACGGGAGGTAACATTTGCAGCCGTATTACCAGATATATGACCTATAAGAAGCGTTTCGAAAAAAAAAATTAAGTACTTACACAAGCTTACAGTAGCATCCTCTTGTTGGAACTGGCGTGCCTTCGCAAGCCTAGCAATAGTTGCCAATGATACGTTTTCAGCACTATCACGTGAATCATCATTGGCTACAGGGCTAGTTATACGTTCTATAAGCTCCAAGGTGTCCAAAAGGATATCACAACCCGTCTTCAATACCTGAGTATCCACAGCAGCTCTACGCGAGAAGCACTCTTTAACATGCTCTCGAGTATCCTTAACAGGTGTCACTTGACTCGCTGCCTTGACCGCTATCGCTGCGAAGTCTTGCTTGATGACGTTACCATGCTGCTTGCATTGCTGAGCGGCGGCAATCTTCAGCGCGCGTTCACAACTTTTATACCGGTCCATAGAATCGAATTTCTTATATCAGATGCTTAATAATCATGATCAAATTTACGCAACATGACAGACAATAAGACGCTGAAGCAGGTACGGCTAACCAGTGACTAAAAAGAAAGCGATATTAGCACCATAGTGAGAGCATAATCACAATGTGTAAATGTTGCAAGTACATTTGATTAATGTGTGCAAGTTTTGGGGGTGAACACCCGTAAAGTGCCCACATAGCGGTGTTACAGGTATCACCAGCTAAGCGAAATCAGTACTGTCGGTTGGCCTTCCAAAGTTTATACCTGTTCGTCTTCTTCCAGAGGTAGTACATATCTACAATCTCTTGTACCGTTTTAGTCGGTATGGTACGCTGAATCTCGTAGAATTCCTTACCGTGTTTAAACATGCCCAGCTCAAACAACACAATCTCTTTTGGACCCCAAAGGTCAAGCACTTGAGGCTGCCTGAGATCGGATGTCAGCATCGCAAAGGAAACCCTAAACCTAAGGTCGAGGTCAGAGCATTGAAAGTCAAAAAACCCATCTGCGTTCGTTGAATCGTTGTCGGACGAACATACAGCGGCTCTAGTTGTCATTCGCTTACTCCGCTCACTATCCACACGCCTCTCGGGAGAGAGACACTGAATATCTGGCTCCGCATCTAAGTTAACCATTCCCTCATCATCACTTGAATCTGCAACTGCACTCTCTTCGCCTTTTTTCGCTTCTGTAGCATCCGGGAGTTGTCTTACGCACAGAGGTCGACCGCAGTACATGCGTTCACTCATCTCCAAATATTCTTCAAAAAACAACATTTTCTCGCTGTCTGCCCCGTCGTCGACCACCGCCACCTCCCCAGCGGTATCTTCTGTAGGCTCGGTTTGGGTTGATCCATCAATACGTACTGCAGAGTCACCCCCAAATCTACCATCTTTGCCACGTCGAGTGCTACGCATCTTAGAAATTGGGGTAGATGTGCTAGTTGTCATCGTGGGCCTACTTGTGGATTTATATCGGTCCTTCGTAGCCGCCCTTTTGGCAGATCGCGTAGGACTGGAGGGGATATAATCCACGTCTTTAAGGTCCTCATCAGCAATCACACCCTTACCATCCTTGTTTTTCATTATAATGTGGATGGAGCCGTCACCTGACAGACCATTTTCTAAATCGTCAATGTCCACATTGTTGCCGGCCTCCTTCATGGACATCGCTATTGCCTTCTTCAGTTGTTCCTCGTACATGTCATCGGCAAGACGAGTAGAGATAGCGTACGATAAAGCCAAGTTGTTTGATCTTATTCTAGCACTCGTCCTTTTAGGCGTTAGCGGGGCCTTGGGTTGCCCCGCCACGCCGCTCTTTACTATCGTTGGCCTTGGCCTTTTCACCTTTTCGGTCTTTGCTGGAGGTAGATCGTTCGACACATCCGGTCGGACAATTTTTGGCCTCCCTCTCTTACGCTTTATCGGAATTTCAGGGTTCGCTGCACCACCATCGGCCGGAGCATCTGTGGTATGCTCGACAACACTTTCTTCGGGGGTGTGTGTTACCTGTGCCTCCACGGTTACCACACTTAACTCTTCCTGTGGCACATTTACGTCCACATCCTCCGATTTTATGTCGGTTGGAGCCTCCACTGCAACCTCACCATCAGCAGTCGGCTCCTCTGTTTCCATAGCAGCCTGCAGAGTAGCCGCAAGCCTTTGCGCAATGCGAGTTGAAAAGGGCCTGATGCGCGTTACAGATACTGTTTCAGACGCATCCAAGGGCTCAGTAATGGTAGAAACCTCGTCTACAGTAGTTGTAAGAAGATCGTCTGTTGGCCGCTTGACACTGTACCTCATTTGCATTGACCCAGGCAGCTCCGCAGACGCCAGGGCTTTCTTCGACACACGGTTCCTCCTGCGTGCTGCAGAACGTGTGCTCCTAGTGTTATTGATGCTTCGGCGAACTTCGCCGACGCGTGTATCATTTCTCCGGGACGTACCGTAACCCCGGTGGTCGACATAGCCACTATCGCGTCTTACTGATTTGGGGCCCATAGGCGGCTTGGGCCGCATATTATAGACACCATACTCATGGCTATAAACTCCTCTTCGAGAATAAAGATACGTCGCGTCGTAGCGCCGGGCGTAAGCGTCCTCTGTGCTAAGCCGCCGGTACCTGGCAGTGTACTCCCGCTTGATGTTCTCCCTATAAGCAATTATACGCGCACTAGGCTCACGTTTCACGATATTTGGGTAGCCATAATTGCTCTGGGTGATCTCAGAAGTGTCAGCTTGTGGAAGAGCCGGAAAATGATCGTGCAATCTGCTGCGACTACGGGTGAGCTGGTACTCACGGCTATCCTCCATAATAAAAATTGCCTTCGTCACACCTAGAGTTCACCTAATCCCGAAGGTTGCATTCACCTGCGACACTTATCATGCGACTGACCAATAAAGCGATTAACAGCTTTAACGGACCGTGGTTTATATCTGGGTGCGATTGGCTTGGTTAGAGAACGAAGACAGGATACAGTACCACAGGCCATACAAAAGATAAATATCAGACTGTTCTCCTTAAACTTTATTGTATGGTCGGAATGTAGCACCATATTCCAGTCTTTCCTTCCCCGCTATGGCTTGCGAATGAGTCCAGTCTCAGTTTAAACACTCATTTATTACAAAAAGAGATAAACTACGAACAGTGGACTACTTCACTATTACAAAATCATTTACAGTAACATGTCATCTTTACTTCTGGACGCGTTGTGTGTCGGCTTCAGTTTTTGTCGATTACGTGTCCTCAATTAACGCCGCCAGATTCCATACGGTGCATGATTATTTAGCCATATTTACAAAGTTATTTTGTTTTCCAACACGAGGCACATTGAGTGGAGTAATCACGTTAATGAGGTACACCTCAACCTATAGGGATGTTATGTTAGCTATCATTAGCGCCAACCCAGCGCTTGCCATTACCACTTTATTGCTCAGATTCACAACATAAGCAACTATATCGAAATTCAGCGGTATAACGATCCACATTTAGTCGATGGAATTCCGGTACCACACAATTAATCTACCGTGATGTAGGTCACGTGGTAAAAAGTTGACACCACGCCACCGCCGAAGGGCTATATTGCAGATTTATAAAATATTCATTTATATCAGGATATGCGTTCAGTAGCTGGGTATTTTGACCATGCGAGCACATATTATTGGTCGTACGGCACTGCGCGTGCGTGACCGTATCGTTGGCGGATTGCAGCCAATTAACGGAGCTTTACGCATATCGCAACGCAATGTTTCAAATGCTGCCGATACAAACGCTCTTGAAATGATGGATTGCAATGGAGTTATGGGATCATACGCTAAGGCCCTTTACCTTGCCGCGAAAGAAGCGCAAAATGTCGAAACCGTCATGCGAGACCTAAACAATCTACAAGAAGCTATGGCTATATCTGAAGAATTTAAGATATTTGTCTCTAGCCCGTGTTTGCGTTCAACAACCAAGGTTGACTTTCTGCGCGACGACATCAAGGCACTGGGTATGCCATCTTTGCAAAAGCAGACATTGTTATGTTTGGAAATACTTTTTGAACAACGTCGTTCTGGAGATCTTCCTACATTGGCGAAGCTATTCGAGACCTTGTACATGGCCACCAAAGGTCAGGTAAAATGCTTCGTACACTCCGCGGCTGATCTCAGTGCAAAACACAAAGGGGCACTAGAAAATGCCCTAAAGAAGCGTCTAGGCAGCTCATCGCAACCTGCAGTGGTTTACAACGTCAATCCAAACCTTATGGGAGGATTGCTCGTACGTATAGGTGATCAGGTCATTGATGCTTCTGTGACTGCCAAACTTGATCGTATGCACTCACAACTTTCACACGCGACCTGAACAAGTCCACAGAGCTCTAGGTATAGTGTAACTGTGTAGCATAGCCTAGGGAGATATCGCAACGTAGCAAGTTAACGCTTACTTTGATATGTGCATTGCAGCTAAGGAAATCGACAATTGAGATCCGGTCTTAGCCACGTCAACTAAACAAAACGGTGTCTATTTGCATCCGGTGATTTTGTGATTAGTCGATACAAAATATCTACAGCCAACTTAACATATACCTAATGATTCTTCGTAATATAAACTAGTTTGGTTGGATCATTATTAAATATTATTGGTTATCTGGCATCACCTAACCGAGGGTCCGCCGTGAGCGTGGACGCCAGTGTAACTGGACTTGTCGTCGTAGAAGCGCACCGGCAGGGCTTCTGTCCCCGAGTATACCGGAGACCCGGCTTCTTCAACTTTGGAAACCAGTGTGTCATGTTCGATACCTAGAGCCACTGCCACAGCTTTCAACGCCACTTGGAATCCATTGAAGTCGAGGGTACGGGTTCCCTGCTTTAATCAACTCAGCATAATTTCACTACCCACCTTGCCACGGTGTTTCACAAAGATGATGTCGAGGTCGTTGGCAGTAAAATTCGAATCCAGTAGCTTGGCCTGTTTGAATATTTTCACAAACATACGGCCCTCCAGTTGACCGGTAGATTTGTTTACGTAATTTTGGAATACTTTATGCAACTCGGTAGCCGCCATTATCGTAGTGTTCTAAAATATCAAATACATAAAGGATCGCATGCCCCGCGCGATGCCATAATTGCAGTGTTATGTATGTTGTAGTTGAGTTAACGTGAGCCGGCATTGTGTGCTACGTGCCCTGGAAACACCTGTCTATTATATGAGTGTTAACGATCAGTGCATTTCGGTTTGCGGCATATGCACAAAATGACATAATTGATTCAAGACAGCAATGAATACACACAACATTTATAGTTAATGTGTAAGCAGCGACATACAAAGTACGTAAATCTGGTCTCCATCACTAACGCGTGGCAGCGTCAGGTAACCGACCTATAATTATCATGGAAACCTGACACATTACCACTTGTCGATATCGCATAAATAGCTTCGATATATATTTGATTAATAAACTTTCTCCTTTTCTTTGTGGCCCAATTTACGCCCGGTTACAGCGCTCGACCTATAGTCTGGTGGTCTAAAGGCATACTGGCATCTCGCCACTGTAGGTGGGAGCGTCATTTTAATTTAAAAAATGGGTACTACACCGTCTTCTTACGAGGGTTTTGTCACCTATCTAGCAAACAAGAAGGTTCCGGCTGCTAAATATGTTGTAAGTTGTTTTGAACGTTGCTTCCCATTCAAAAATTCGTGATACTCTGTCTGTCTAATATCGTACACAACATGTGGTGGGATGATTTTATCAAAAATTTTTTTAATCTGTTATTGTCATCGTTTTAAGGCCGACATCGAGAAGCTGGTGGGCACCAGGGACCCTGCTGTCGTCACAAATAGCGGAAAGGAGCTATTAGCGTGAGTACATATAAGGTGCCACTCTGTGTAACGTGATGTAGAAAGTACCGGTTCATGGAAAAGAGCATGGTGGCCAAACTTACCGCTCTTCACAACAAAGTGCCAGAACTCAGGGACGCTTTAACAATTATTGAACATATCGAAAAGCAGGGAGTAAGTGGTAACCTTTCCAGAGGTTTTTTATGCAACTTTTTTACAGTCGGACGGAAATGGAGACATATACACATATTTCAAGGTATCGGATACATTGTATTCGGAAGCTCGCATTGCTTCTACAAAGACAATTTTCCTGTGGCTGGGTGTATGTTGTTCAGTCTCTCTTTTATATTTGGCAGGCAAACACTATGGTAGAGTATCCCGTTGGGGAAGCCACAGCTTTGCTGAAGGATCAGCTAAAGGTGGCATTGGAAAGCATCGAGGATATTGTAAGTTACATACCTTAGAAATTCTAATTAATCGACAGAAAAGCGATCTAGAATGGATTAGAACCCAGATAACAGCTACAGAAGTAACGGTTGCTCGTTTGCACAATTACGGCGTTATGAAGAAAAGTTCGGCGGGAGCATCTAGTTCTTGAATTAACCAAGATACATCACCCGTTTACGCATAAATATGGCAAACAACGAATAATACAACTAAGTTCTGTTGACGTTCCACAATATATATTTCATCTCGTTATGAAAAACTATATACATTGAATGAAAAAAATTAATTTGACTGACATCAGCGTGCCATCCGACAAAGTGGTCACATTCCATGATGTTAGCAGCTTATTACTATACATTTTACACTGCAAGCATTTTATGAAACTACTATATTGCTAACTTTTCGATACAATCTGATAGCATTGTGGGGCTAACATCTTACCACCCGAATAGTGTGTAGGCGTCAAGGCCACCCTCGTCCGAACAGAGTGCTGATTAGTCGACTGTGCTCGTACAGGATCACTTCTATAGTGAATCTGGTTACCGGTGCCATCAGCGACAGTTGCTGTCAACAGCCGTGATGATGAGTTGTACGTTCTGCCGTCCGCGGAATTATGTTATCAAATTTTTTAATTTGCTTGACGTCGATGAAGTGTGTTTACCTATACGGTGACAGCGGTATTGAACGAATCTGAACGGCACCACATAACAACACAACTTATAGCAGCTCCGATTTGTAGATGCTGTAGCCTATTACTCTGGCGGCGCTCGTCTGCTGTACTCTGTGGAGGCGGATTGCGCCTCGTCACTAATACATTTGTCCGGGCACCTTACTAATTGTAACGACATTCGTAAAGAATCATCGAAGTGCACAGCAACTAGGGCATTACCCGTTGTTGAGGCATTCAGTCTACGTTGTTGAATCCCACCGGTCGATTCGTTTATTGCAAAAATAGAAAAAACTCGGCGCTATCGGCATATAGTGGCTTCACCCGGGACTCGACTTGTCACCTTCAAGCTTTAATGGCGATAGGGACAACTTCGTACCAGGTTACTTAAAGAGGCGTTATAACCATCTATTATGTTTTCATGTACGTGGCGACTCTCTAAGGAGATCGCCCATGACGATGGTTCCCTTTCGCAGATTGTACTGTATACGAGACGGAAGCTACAGTAACCGGGATCCCGCGTAGTTTTGCTACCTCAGATGTTGTTCAAAACTTGAACCATATTAAATAGCATGGTGTTGGTCAAGCTCTTGCTTATCTGCTGCGCGACGCACTTCGGGAGTAATCCCTGGCTCCATCGCTGAAGATACATGATTAGTTACTAACGCATGCAAAAACTTACGAACGCCTTGCACTGTCATGATTTCTGCCCCTGCTTTCGCCTCGCCCCCTGTAGCGTTTTGGTTGTCTTATTCGAACTCCCTTACCTGGGTGAGTGTCCGTCCATTGACCTAGAGGCACGCCTGTCCCGTTCACGCGACCTGTAACGCTCTCGTGATCTTGATATCGAACGCCTTCTACGTCTGTCATACGACAGTGAACGGCGTCTCCTATCCCGAGAGTACGAGCGGTCGCGGCTCCTTCTTCTCCTACGCTCACGACTTCTCTGCACGGATGTCAGTTCCGCTTTAGGAACGGCTGCCGTGGTGGCTTGTTCTTGCATGTATGAACGAACCGTAGCCTCCCTTCGGCGTGGCCGATGAAATGAACGCCGTCTCCCGGCACCTTGGCTTACCATCTGGTATGGGTCGGACCTTCCATGCTTAGCTACGAAGACCTCAATCTTATTACCATCTAATTCATATCCAAACATTTCACGCATAGCCTCATCAGCGTCGGAATGAGAAAAAAACTCGACGAATCCAAATCCGCGAGGCTTGCGAGTATAGTAGTCCAGAGGGAGGTATACGTCACGAATCTCTCCAAACCTCGCAAAGGCCGACCGTAATTGATCGGGAGATGTTTCGTATTTTAGATTCCTCACGAGCAACGAAGCGTGCCGTCTATCATGACGTTCTCGGCTACCCATCGTGTACCCAGTGCGACAACAAACTGAACAACTGTCAGCTGCTACAAAAACCGATGGCGATTCTCTTCCACAAAGGGAGTTTTAAAAACCCGTGGAATAGTGTTCGGTGATTTGTTATAAGTGCCTATTGGCTCTATGCCACCTGGTCCCCATTTGCTTCGGTATGGCCTACCAGTTCCTACTAAAACAAATGCTAGTATTGTTTGTTGATTACATATTCCCGACACCTTGTGAAAGAACAGTCAAGGGTCATCGTGGACTCGGACGCGTAAAAACGTCGCTATAACCGCAGAAGGCTACGCGCAGCGCGATATTTCTAGAGATTCATAGCTTGATGACTCTCTCTTCGGGATCTATAGGGTGAATAATTGTTATAAGGTGACGAATGCCCGCTCGGCCGTGTGTCTAGAGAAGCCAGCTGGAACTTTTGTGATCTGCAAGTGACACTCCAGCTTCCCAGAGGTTATACCAATACTTGGGGTTGAATGTGCATGTTTACACAAAGTAACAAGTACCAATCTTTACACCCGTAGGTGGCATACAACGTGTCGCGAGTTATTACCAATGGTACCTTCCGCCCAACATGATCACCGTTGCCTGCGTGCCCTTGCGAGCCCCCGACACACCATCACTAAATTTGTTATTTGAAAATTTAACAATTATAGAACACAATATTTCAAAATGGAAAGCGGTATTAAGGTTCCTCAGGAGACCATCCAGGTCTTCACACAGATGAAACTTAAGAAGACGTGCAAGTACATGATCCTCACCATCTCCGGGGACGTTGTCACCGTAGCAAGCCAGGGCTCTGGTGAAGTTGACGAACTCTACGATGCATTGCCAAAGGATGACTGTGCCTTCGTACTCTACGACACCGGTTAGTAGACAGAATCCCGATCACTAAAGTATTGCAGGACGCTACGTCGTACTATTCATGTACGCTTCGCCTAACGCACCGACAAACGCACGCACCATCTACTCAACGACCAAGCAAACTGTAGAGAAGTCGTTGGATGGATCCAAGGTCTACAAACACCTTGTCGAAGACAAGGACGAGGTGTTGGAGGCCCTTAAGTGCTAAACTTGAAACATTGTTTATGGTTAATTCTTTACCGGAAAGGGGTCGAAGAAATCTTCGAAATCCTCCACACTCTCTTGTAACAGTTGTTGGTGTTCAGTTGTTGCGATGTGAGTCGATTGTTGACGTCCTTGGTCCGGTCCCCATGGGAGTCGCTCACTAGACACCTGTTGGGGGCTGGTCCCATAAAACGCAGAATTCGCCGTGTAGACATTCGACGGCACACTAGCAGCGCCCAGAGTCATGGGCTGTATCAGTGATTGCGTTGTCGGGGTGGTACATTTCACGTGTCCCACACCCTGAATGCCTGCCTGACCATTCTCGCGTGTTCTCCGTCCCGAGGTTGTAGTTGCATGCGGCTCAACGCCCTGAACCTGGCCTCTGAGTGATTCGAGAATGGAGTAGATGGTTTCCATGCCCAGGCGACGCACCTGCAGCTCTGTGTCTAGCAGTGTGTTGCACGCCAATGGGAGCAAAATTCCAACTTTTTCTTTTATCCCGAAAAAGTCGTGAGACGCAGATATCGACTGTTACCAAAGATGTTTCATAGCCACATAATACCCACCTCTAGCGCAGCCATCCTCGACTTGAGAAACGTGTCACTAAGACCGATACGCCACACCTGAGGGACAACCCTATCAACCAATTCCTGATGTATGAAGGGAATGATCTTAGCAAAACAGATAATAGTGTTGACCCTGATAGTGGGTTCGCAGTCCTCAACGCATTTGAATAACAACATCGCTGCATTATTTTGCTGGCGTCGTTTTATTTTCTTCATCACGTAGACCATCCCCTTAACCGTTTCGTCACGGATTTGAGATGCAGCATCACCCAAGCCAACCAACAAAGGTTCCAGTAAATTGTTAGACACCTCGTTGTCGTCGAGAAGAGGGTCAAGGTCGGGCATAAGCTTAAGTAGACTGTATCTGCAAAAGATGTTAAAGCCCAGATAATCCTACTAACCTAATAGCCCTGTCGTTTTCTTGAAATAAGCGCAAAATGTGAGGGTAAACTTTCGTTTTAAACTCGTCCTTTAAAAGAGACTTACATATTGCAACAACCGATACCAAAATTTGTGGAACTAATGCCTTGTGAAGCGATATCACCTTAAGTGCCTCCGGCAGCAATTGCTTACACTGAAATTACGTATGTATATATCTGTTAAAACAAACTCACCGCGATATCAGTAGGTATCAGCGGAAGCTTTGATGGCAATTGTGAAAAAAACTGCTTCATCTGCTCTTCGGTCTTGATGTGAAACTCCATGGCAAAGGACATTGCCACGATACCCTCATTTTTTGAAAAATATGGATGTGTCTTCAAAACCTCCTCTAAGTTGATATCGTGATCAGGGGACATGAGCTGGTCGATCAGCCCGCGTAAATTGGCTGGCGCATAGCGCTTAAGTGATTGTATATCACAGTCATGTCTTCGTAGACTAAATATGTCCATTTGCCCGGAAATAAGAGTGTATACCCAGCACATTAAAGCACCCAGTCCCCATCTAAGGTACAGTTTAACAAATAAAACATTATCACTTACTGGTCCAACTGTCTGACATCCTTCAACTCAGTAGCAGATATGGGTATACGCCATCCATTGTTCCACGAAGCGTGCCATTTGAGCTCCGACAATACGCGGTGAATGGATGTGTCATGTTCAACAGTGCATTCAAAGGAGGTTAGACACCAAGAGCCTAATATATTTCGAATGTCACTAGAAAAAATGCCGACACCTACCATCTTCCCGGACTACCACTCCGATTGGTGAAATTAAGCAATGGCTCTTGTTGCATTTTGTGTGAAGGAAATGAAGCGCAGAAATAATCTGTGCGAACCCAAGTGATGGGTCGGCCGAGATGGCTACATTTCATTATAGACAATGCGTTACACATAGTACTCACTAGATGTTGAGAGAGGGTAGCAGCGCTCCGTTGCGATAGTGATCCCGGTGTCACTTTGCTTAATTTTCAACACCTTAAGTACGTTGGGATGGACAATGAGTTTAATGCATCGCATGTGCCTCTCGGCAAATTCCTGATCAGTTTTGTTACCTGCGAAAGTGCTGCCCTTCAAATCATTGCGGGCTTACCTGTATGCTCGCAATGTTTTGATGAGAACTTGAAAAGCGATGCTGGCGTGTCTTTACCCTTAGCTGTGCTATTGTACCACGCATAGCTCTGTAAGCGACCAAAGGGGCTCTCTACCGGCTCTCCCTCCGTATATCCTATGCCAGAGGATGTAAAGGAGATTGGTGATTTTCCTGCCAGGTATTTCAACATCGTTTTGGTAATGATTTGAGCCCCAATCGTGTAGCTACGCCTCCAGGACGTTCTCGCACATTTCTTATTCACACACCATGACCAAATCGATTCCGATTTGGCATATCTAGGTCACGCAGAGCACGCTCGTCTCCTCCGCGCACACCGCGGCAAAGCTTCCGTTTATAATCACTGTATTAGCTAATTGGTGTTTAATTATTGTTATTATATCTATAGTGGTGAGTTACATGGACTGAAAAAACATACAAAGTGAGACCAGGTTTCCGAGAGTACGTCTTATGGATATGGGACGTTTCGAATTGTGTTTGCAGTTCGGTTCTCACTTGTGAAATCCATTGAACGTTACGCCATAATTTGGGGTACTCTACACGGACTATTACGTATCACATCATACGCTTGTTGGCGATACGTTACACAACTCCGACGAACTACGTCCTAAAGGGTTTCCGTTTCAATTGGCCACCGTAGAACGAGCCCTTAATCATCATTTTTTTCATAATCGTCATATTAAGCCTGCAGGAGTATTGATGTGACTTAGGGTGTGTCCCGGGTTCACCACTGCCGGCATCCCCGGTGGACGCCCAACACGGTGCCTTCGTCCTATAGCTTCGTTTGTCGACAACAGTGGATTACACTATAATAATTTCCAAATATTATATTACAAAATATGGCAAAGGGTAGGTTTTGGTGGCTTTATGATACTTGCGTTCGATCCTATGGCGTGTTGTTACCACACCGCCCGGGACCACGCTGCAAATACTCCATCTAATATACTATGTAGACAAAGGAAAGAAGAAGGCTCTTCAGCCTGTAACCCGTGACTACACAATCCATCTACACAAACTGGTCCACAGGGCTTCTTTCAAGAGAAAGGCACCAACAGCCATAAAGAAGATCAAGGAGTTTGCCTCCAAGGCCATGAAGACTAAGGTAAGTGATACCATATAGTTGTTGACTGTTCGTAGGATGTGCGCATAGACAGCACACTTAATCGCTTCATCTGGTCTAACGGTATCAGGAATCTGCCTCGCCGCGTGCGTGTCAGAGTATCGCGCAAACGCAACGACGACGATGACGCAAAGGAGCCTATGTTCACACTCGTACAACACGTACCCGTTGAGGACTTCACAGGCCTCCAAACCGAAGTAGTTGCCAGCGAATAAACTCGCCAAGCGATTAATGTTCGTCTTTTGCATTACGTAATAACAAACTATACTTTGTGTTGTTTTGTGTATATTGTGTTAAGGTTGGGCGTGGCATCGGCATTTGTGGGATTTGTGAGAGTTATAGAACGCCAATACACTGTTTAGGTACGTAGGCCAATGTGGACTGGCAGCGGCCGTTACCCGGGCGCTTTGTGGCCATTAATACTACCAGATATAAATTACAACTACATGTTACTATGTGACACATATTGTTTGCCATTTTGTGGCTATCATGGCAATTCGTCCGTGGCAGCATCTGCACAGCCTTGGGTAACTTCCCCTATGGACAATCCACGCTTCAGCTTCTTCCTCAAACCACGCTTGCGGCTAAACAAGGCCGGCAAGTTATCACGGTGTTCGTTCAGCAGTGTATAAAAATCACGGTCTTCGTCCGTCCAGAGAAGTACGGTCTTGCACTGCTGCATGTTGCGACCAGCTCTACCGGACCGGTGTATGTAGTCCAAAACGTTTTTAGGAAAATCGAACTGGACCACGAGTGACACATCGCCGATGTCAATACCGCGCGCAAGCGTATCTGTGCATACTATATATTTATTTCCTCCCTCCGGGTCTAACACCGATAATTGTGTCCCTATGTCGATATCACGGTTTACCGGGCCTACATCCAGGCGGGGGTTCCTTGCCTTGAGATCCATCAGGAGTCTCGCCGATGAGCTAACAGAGTTACAAAATATGAGGGTGCGTTGCCGCGGCTGCAACTGCCTGATAACATCCAACAACACTTCGAGTTTCCTCTCGCGGTCCACGCAGTAGACAAACTCGGACTCTATATGTGTTGGCACAGTGTGAAATTTCTCGGTGCTAACAACCGTCACGTTTCGGAACAAACGTGTGATGGTATTTTCTGTGCTGAGCCGACCCGCCGTAGATACGGTCGCAGCAGCCAATACAGTTTTCACCCTATTGTTGGTAAGAGATAAAATCCGACGCAAATCACACTCGTTAGTCTGCTCCACCAACTGGTCTGCCTCGTCTATCACGAGAAAGGCGACATTCTTGAACACATCGACCTTGAAATTAAGATTGTAGACATGGAACTTATGGTGAAGCTTTAAAGGTGTACCTATAACAATATCCGCCATCTCTTGCGTCTCGATATCATCAACCATATCTATACGTAGACCTGTGCCTCTGCGCAACGTTGTCGGTGAAGAGCGGTAACGTACCTGAGTACGTTAGACAGCACTCTGTATACCTGGTGCACGAGCACGGCATTAGGCAGCATAACTACCATCCTAGGGTTGGATACCAAGACCTGTAGTGTATGATTCGACGAAAACAAACACTGAATACTCACCTGATTTGACATTAATCGAAGAAGCGGCAATGTGTATGCCAAGGTTTTCCCGCTTCCAGTTTCTGCTGAAATCAGCACGTTGGCAGTTTGAGGATCGCATATCGCACGCCACGCTGAAACCTGGATCCCTCTAGGCTTTATTATGCCTGATAACTGTTGTAAAATCGCTGATGGGTAATCTACCATTCTTGGCGAGGTTTGCGGTGATCTTCTCCCCAAGCTCCTGAAAATTTCATAATATACATGCCAAGCCCACTTACACTGAACGAAAATTGTTCATCCTGGTCGACAGGAGCGCAGACAGCGGCCAAGCTGCTGCCACGCACTGGGAAGAACCCAGAGCGCGGCGCGTGCGGAAGACTAAACGACTTTACGTAGGCTATCGATGAAATGTACGCCACACATAGCTGTACAAATAACCGCATTAGTATTGTGTGATGTTGAAATGCGGATGTGTCTACACGTTGATGCGGTCGGCGCTGTATTTGTGCCCAATGAGCGAGCTCATGGCTTTGGGGAATTCGCTGCCAAGTAGGAACTGAGACACGAGCCCATTAACAAGTGCATTGGCAACGTTCAATGCCAGAAACAACACCTATGGATTTATAGAACGCAAGGGGTCTCACTTACCCTGAATTGTGTAGGTAAGATATTGTGTCCACCTTCACCGCTGAAGGGATGACCGTTCGCACTGGTAGTAAGCACCCTCAGTACTGGAAAGACCGTCTTTTGCGATACTTCGTCTGTACAATTGATGCGGAAGAGGCACGTGAACTTGGAAGGTCCGGTGAACACCAACGCCGTAAGAACGCTGTTGATGGTCAACCAAGTCCTGTAATTCATTATTATATCCAACATCCCACTTACAGTGTGAAGTAGGTGTTTCTTAGCACAGATTCCCTGAATGTTCCCCCAAAACTGAATACCAGCGCAGCGTTCACTACCTGATAACAGAGCCAGAGGCACACCGTAGGCGCCTCGAAGTTGTCAGATCTGAATAACAATGGGTGTACACCTTTATAAAACTCACAATATCCACCATTTGGCGGCATGAACTTTGCGGTTATAATCCAGACTCCCTGGTATGCCTGCAACAAATGTATACCGATGGTCACTGCTCCTACCAGTATACTCGTACAACCTAAAAAGTAACAGAAGGAATATCACATTCGTGCCGAACATCAGTCCTATAGAACTAAGAGATTGGGGACCCAGCAAACTGGATGTTGGCGACCTTATTCTCAGTTTATCGCTTGGCCTAGACAATGCCATCGTATGACTCAGACTCAAAAGAATAGCATTCTCCAGTAATAAATACCCCCATTCAGGCATAACGCCTCGGCAAGTCTTGAAAAGAAATACTTTGACAAGAGCGATCATGAGTCCAAATAACAGCATAAACTTGAAACAAGCCAACGATGTTACCAGACTCCCCCTGCCCTCACGTATCAGTGTAATAACCGATTGCAGCTTGTTGTTCTTGGAGGTAAACGGAGCGACCATAGAAGAGGCACCCTGCAAAGCGTTGATTAACAAAAGGAACTGTAACTAACATTAGTTAATGAGACGCCGGCGTGAGACGCTTGCAGTGCCAAACAGTCATTCGTTCCGTCGCCGCACATACCAGTGATTATACCCAGCCTTTTGAAGGCATTGATCACCCGAACCTTTTGGTGCGGATTGAGCCTTGCGAAAATGCGCACTCGTAACAAAAATTGTTCGAAGAGAGTTTCGTTTGCAGTCTTGTTAGTAGTGCATCTACCATACATACGCAAGATGTTTTCCCATTCATCCTCAATCTGGTCGAACGCGTCACCCGTTACGGCGAGATTATCGCACTGTAAACCGAAATATAGCGTTTCTTCGTCGATATGGTTTTGAGGGAAATGCCAAACAAGGTTACCGTCCACAATTTCGGCGTATGGACCAGCATGGCCGTTTTCGCCAAACATACCAACCGCCTTTGCCACAAATTGCGATGCCGGGATATTGTCACCGGTTAGAATCACTGGACGTACCTTTGCCTCTTGCAGTTTGGCAACCACAGTTGCGCTCTCTGCTCTAACAGAGTTGTTGAAAAGCAGTAGACCGCCTAGAGTGAGTTTCGATTCGACATTATCACGCCTAATCGAGCTGATGTCCTCGCCTAAAATCTTGTATCCCAAACCCAAGACGTAAGCTCCGGATTCAGCCTGTTGATCAGCCAAAGAGTTGAGATCCACAGAAGTCTCATCTGAGCATGCCGCAACGTTTTCGTAGGCACCCTTGACGAAAGCAAACAAAGTACTTTTGTCAGCATCGGGAGACTTAACAGATACCACAACAGACGACAGCTTCTTTTGGTAATGAAAATCGAATGTCCGTAGTACTTCTACTACGAGCTCGCGATTGGTGGAACACTTAATGTAACGCCTGGTGTTCCCGGAGGAATCGATGAACTGTTCCACCGTACATCCAGTAGCATTGAACATGCTGCACAAATATGTTACGTAACATAACCCAGCGCAACTTACGATTTGTCTACCTGGTTGCCGAGGTTTTCGTTGGCACCTCGGGGGAACAGTGAATGACACGTAGCCATTGCAAGTGACAAAATCTGCCGCTTTGTTTCCTTATCTGACTTGGAAGACAATTGAGTTGTGTTCTTGATTGAATTTATCGTCTCGACAATCTCCTGCGGTGTCATTAGCACAGGGGTTCTCTGCAGCCCTGATAACATCATCAGTCCATCGAACACCAGAGAGTTGTTGGTCATAGTTCCAGTCTTGTCGAAACACATGACTCTCAACTTTCCAAATATGGCAATACGTGAGGGCGCAATGCAACAGATCGACTCAGATTGTGCCAAGCGTTCGCAGGCTCGGCTTTGACCAATAGACATCATGGTACTGGCCCACACAGGTGCGACCTGTGAAAGGGTACCCAAGCAATAGAAGATGGACGTCATGTTCCAGCCGAGGAACTGTATCTGGTACGACGAACATATAAATGCATATATGCAGCTGAGGATAAATACCATAGGCAGCTGCGTGTCGTATTTCAACCTGAATTGGTTGGGGAAAAGCACACCTTTCATTTGTTTACCCTTTGTTGTGTACACACCAGTCGCAATGACAACTGCCACCGCAGATGCTGCTATCTCTTCGTTACCGACAACGGAAAGGATGCGAGTACCAGCCTTGAGTAGGTGCTCAGTGCCTCCCTTGTGAGATGTACGTTTTTTGTTCGCTACGTCCATAGATAGGTTAAAATCTAACACGGAAAGTGAGTAACCATGCTTGTCAATGCTCATCTTACTCTTGCGAAGAGGAATCGATTCACCTGTGATTGAACTCTCGTCAACTATGACGTCACCGCGAAGCATAACCATATCACTGGGAACTTCCCAATCAGACATAACGCGTACTATATCACCGATGGCTAATTCAGATGCCGGAACGGTTTTTGTCATGTTTTCCCGTAACACAGTGACGGTGGAGTTGGCAGCCGCAGTGGCCAGCTGATGAAGATCCTTCTGCTGATCATTGATGATTTTTACCTTCTTCAAAATTGTGTAAAGAACCATGAACCCCCATATAGGCGCAGTAATGATGCTCTTCCAGTACATACTCTTTAATGTTAGGTATAGTTGCAGGAAGAATACAGGATCCGATACTTCGCGGTAGAGAAGCATGGAAAATGATAGTGACTCAACAACAATTGTATTTCTACCTACATCTTGAGTTCTCCTGTACGATTCAGCCTCCGTAAGCCCTCCGTTATCGAGCAAATTTGTTAGGTTCGTGTTTCTCAGGTAGCTGGTCACCTTGGCAGATGCATCCACAAATAGACCGATATTGGGGTTGTACGTATACTTCACACAATGATAATAAAAGAATCTCTCGTTCCCATCATTTTCAACACGCACGTACACATGACTCGCTGCATCCCTGTATTTGTCGAATTTGACCGTGAAGACACGGTCTGGGATGTTCAATTTCAGCTTGAGGTAGGCAGCCAGGGCAGATAACCAATCCGCCAGAGATCTCAATACATCTTGTTCACCTGGGTGGCTTGCGTGTGAATGGTCTGTGATTAGCACGTAGTTACACGAACTGAGTGGCTGTGGAATCATAAACATGCACTTGCCCATGTATGTGTTCCGGAGAATCACGGAAAACAACAGAGAAAAGAATCCGATCACCCATGATATGAAGAATGGTTTAGCTCGCATTTCCCAGTTTGAAATCCCGTCCACGAGCGGAATGCACATCTCATTGCACATCAATGCCATCACCACGACTTGGCAGACAGCAGTGTAGACTAGCATACATCTGACCACGTACTTCCCTGGAATTGTGTATGAATAACCATCTTGTTTGATGGAAGAACATATTTCGTCATTATCCACTACGGTTACTGGGTGGGACTGGTCGATAGGTTCATATCCGTCTTTCCTATGGCGAGACAGGACCGCCAAAATCAGGTGCCATGATGCCAGAAGTAGCAGCGTCATTAGTGCCAAAAGATTGAACACCATCAGTTCAAACGAATTTATGAATGTTACATCGCTTTTACACCATCTAGAAGATGGGTAAGAAGGCCCGCTGTCTTCCGGAGGTTCGACGCTGCCCTTAGTATCCTTTGGTTCAGAGGCACTTGGATTCTGCACCGGTTCTCCATCTTTGCCTTCCTCTGCCTTATATCTCAACCCTTTGTCGTCGAATCTCAGAAGTGATACTGTGTTGAATCCTGAAACGTGTCTTCCATCTTTTGGTAAGGTCCCCTCAAGCTGTTGCGCCTTTGTGCGCAACTTACGAGGTCCAGACCTATGCACATCAGTAGATAGCGCATAATTGTCGCGTTCCGCTGTGGAATCCTGGGGTTCCGTACTGGAATCCCAAACTAGTCTACCGTCATCCCGCCACGCTTCCAGGATCGGTGTTAGCCAAAGGAACAACAGTAGCAACCTGGCTGAACAATACATTATGCGTTGTTTTACAAAAATGTAAATATCACGCTTTATTCCAAGTTGGCGTTCGTTCCAAAACACCACTGCACTTCTATAGGGTCTTGGCGTGTCTAGAACACAACGCCGACCGCGGTATTGACATAACTACGGCACAGCTAGATATTCAAGACAAATAATACATATAGCTATGATAAGTTAGTCATATTCTTATCATACATCTGTCTTACAGCCGTTTAGGCTCTGCCTCAATGGCGCCTACACTTCAGAATGCTCGAAGTGTATGGCCAATTCCGGTGTGAGATGGCAACGCATATCACTCAACAAGTGATCAATATCAGCTCTGTAAACAGTTGTGAGCGTTTTATGTTAGAACTAACCTGATGTGCGACGAAAAAGAGGCCAATCTCGACTGGTCCGCTCCTAGGAGGGCAATAATTGGCAACCGTGCATCCTTCGCCAGCGAATACGTCCATAAATATCGTATAATCTGAGCAGTCTCAATGGGAGAGACATTGCGACACTCCGAAACCAAATTTTCTTCTGGTTTGCAGGATGCCAGTACACGTCTCGTCACATCAACAGTAGTTGGCGTTGTGTACTTTGCCGCGATTATCGCTTCGAGCAGCCATATAGCAGTACGCACATCAGGGACACAGCCATAATCGAGGTATTTTGCCACGAGTGCCATCAATCGGTCCCACGTAGACATTGAAAGGGGAAGATCCGAACGGGCCAACAAACGCAGTGTATTAATGTGCTGATTCAACAAATCCAACTTTTCCACGGTAAGAGCCCCAAGAGCCGCAGGTTGTATGCGACCTTCTGAATATAAGCCAACAGCAGATGATAGCTTTTTCAAAAATTTTTGGGAAAGTTGCTTCCGTGAGATGCGATAAAGGCGGTGCGCTTCCAAAGACCGAAGGCCTTCCGATGCCCTGTGATGTGACCACGTTTCTACCGTACGTGCAGCTGCCGCTGCACAGAGAATGGCAATATGGTGTATATGTGTACATAAATCCTCTTCTGTAAATTCGCATAGTCGATTGGTCAACAGTTCTATGGTGTCGTCGTTTAGCTTACCACTTAGGGGTCGTTTAACGGAAAACATGGCGCATATATCACACACGTCGGCTAGAGATCCACAAGAAATGGCTTCTCTCAGCTGTAGTGCTAATGTACCACACAGTTTCTTTCCAGGAACCATCGTTTGTACGCGAACCTTAAGCGGCTTGGGATCTAATACCTTTCCTAGCTTCTTCGTCGTGAAAACCTCACGACGCTCCGGATCCAGCTCGGATGTTCCTTTAAATTTGTTTGAAGCCACAGCAGATCTATGTTTCTTACGTCGGGACGACAACTTGTCCTGCCACTGAACATGCGATATCGTCTACCTTACGAGAAACCCACCACAATCATCGCTGCCTTGTCTCGGATGGACATTGCATTCACTCCATGGTAACAATTAGTAGGAACGTCGGAGTTCGATTCGGTGATCAGTGGAGGTTCTCCGTTCCAGGCATCTGTTAGTGCGGGGCTGAAAAAATCTGCCTCCACTACTGCCAGACAGTCACGTAGTAGATCACGGTAGAAATACCCAAATTTGAGACATAATTGCAGAGTGTAAAATGCCTCCTGGAGTGTGATGAAGACTACAGATATAACAAATTAATGAAAGATGCCATTACAAATGTAGTAATACAGTTTTTAGGTGAAACCAAACAGATATAGCAGTACCACGGTATGCAGGCGACCCTCATTACATAGTCTTTACCTGGGTAGACAGTGTTGACCCGCGAACATGACTGAGACGCTCTGTTACCAGTGCAGCTGACGTTTCGAATGAGACGTCACCCTGCCTACTGAGTTCGTACGCCTCCTTGATAGCGGCAGCGTGATGACCTCGACGCGACAGAACCGTTGTCGTCCATCCTCCAGCTCCCTTGGCGTTAAATTTGAACACATGTCGATGGACCAGTGAGTATAGTTTCATTATACTGTCGCTGCGATGAAGCACGGTCAAGGATTGACGACTGCCATGTGCACATGGGTCTCCGGGTGTGTACGGTGCGCCTGTGGCGAGAGAGCTACGTCTTCCTCACATATAATTTAATGCGAAACCAATATAGAAATGATGTGCGCGAAATGAGCACTAAATGACCACTGACTTTCTCTGGAGGATGGACTCCCCCTGCCCGTGCAAAACTGTCTAAAACGGCAGTATAGCTACTCAACGCTGATGAAGCCAGCATCCGAACACGAAATTGTTGCAAAGTTACTTACTGAATCTGTATCGGTGGACGCTCACGTACGAGATGAAGCATACGCACGCATCGTCGAACTGGAGTCGAGACCAAACTTTCTTGCCACCCTGATTGATGTGGCTTATATCGGCGACCCAGGCATATCCAAACTCGCCTTCATATGCGCTAAGAATGCTCTGGCACGTACGCGAGGTATCGCCGCTGCAAGGGCGGCCCGTAGTAACGTCGTAGATTTCTCGGATGAGGCCCTTGATAATCTCAAATTAAAACTCCTTTCCGTTTTCGAGCTGCATCTGAAAGAAGATGGTAGAGTATTGGGGAAGGATTTTGCTCTACTGGTGCGAAAAGTCTCACGGTGGAACTACCCTCAGGGCTGGATTGCTATGCATGAGTTGCTGGTGAGAGGGGTTGAGGCGGGGCTAACAGAGTCAGTTGCTTCGACAAAGACTCTCAACTCTGTCTTACTGCTGTACCATATATTTAAGGAAAAATGCTCCATGCGTTTGGTGAGAGACCGAAACGTAACTATGCAACTGGCGGAAGCGTGGTACCCATTCGTATCAAAGCTCTGGGTTCATCAGTGGTTGCATCGATGGGCCTCGGGGAATATAGACGCCTTACAGCTTGGTTCCAGACTCTCCAGTTTAGACATGGAGTTAAGCCGATATTTGGACACCCTCCTTATCGCAATGTACACCCATGGGCTGCGCAATGTATACCAGAGCCCCGAGCTTCTGGAGTTGTTAAAAATGATCTTCATGAAACTCGTGATTCATTTATCCTTGTTTAAAGCTGCTAGTGTCTGCAATGAAGTTTTGGAGAAAAATACCAGGAGGTTGCTGCGTGGAGCCGCCGAGATATTCGAAAAGGAGGCCATGGTTTTAGCCTTTCTGGATCCTGCACTAATATTGAATCCAGTGTTTGACTACCTCGCCTGTGGGTCTAGTGGGCATGTCATACAACATTGTATGTATCTATTGAGTAACGCTTTCAAGTCACCGGTGATAAACAATGAAAGGTACGTGCAGCAATTCTCCGCCATACACAGGCACGGTAATGGGCATAGGGACACTAATAAAATAGGAGATGACGGATTCGTACTTTATAGCACATTTGACGAAATGAAATCGCATTGTGAGATGGCAGCATCGTGCTCGAGAGGGGTATCTTTGGTCAGCTCGTTGAAGAACTCATCGAGTCCCACAAAGGGATCGTACATTTCCCTTGGTGGCGTAGCGGAACAGATGTCCCGTCAAGCAACATATTTATTCTGGAAATGTATATCGGAACGCGGGGGATTTCTTCAGTTGATCGAGTTTTTGAGACACCGTTATATGACTCTTTCGGTGGATACCATAGCAGAATGGAGCGAAGAACATATACCTATGGAAGATCCGCCTCACCCTCCCGCTCACACTGTTATATCCGCAATGAAGCTGACAGGGGCGGATATTCTTCAGTGGATTGCAGATGGATTAATGGCAGGGGATACTAATCTGGATTTTCCCAGGCTTGATTCATATATGCAAATTTACACTATAGCATACCCTGTCACGGCTGCGTTCCACTCATGCAAGCATTACCATTCGTTTTTGGATGCTATGAAAGTTGCATTGACCGTGGTAGGCCCGGAAATGGCAAAGCTCCTTATATTCCGGTGCAGCCGCATCGTAAATGCATGGGTCGAACGCATCCAGTTATTCGAGGAGCAAACGAAACGTGAAATCATGGTATACCTTGTATACTGCCTGTGCTGCCCAGCTGACACGCCAGCAACACTGAATTTACGTGTGCAACACGTGGTCCCCTTCCACCGCCTCTACACCAAGACGGTGGACGAACCTTTCTGGGATGTCTTACGCCAGGGAACAGATGTCCAGCAAATTGTAACAAGCTTAGTGAATGTCGCAAATGTTGATGTGCCCGTTGTGCAGCACACGGCGCTGGAGTTGGTATGCAAGATGTGCCTTGAATTCGACAGCGAGGAAAATAATTTCGGACATCAATTATCTGACTTGCTTAACGTCTTTTCTACTCGCTGCAATGACCTACAAACTACTTCTTCACTTTTGCAGACATCTCTAGGATTCCTTAATGCACTGGATTGGCAACGCTGTTACGCGGAAGAGTCTTACGTAAATGCGCATCTTCGGAGATTCCTATTTTATGTGAGTTTAAGTAAAACATGCAATTGAAACTTCTGTAGCTGTTGTTCCGTACACTGGCGATCACGGATCTCCCTGGCTCTCCTGATGAAACGACACTTATTTGCCAGCGCATGGTCTCACCTTGCAGGTATCCAGAGCTTGATGAAGATATATTGACGTTATGGGTTTGTCTACTTCGCGTGCTACCACACAATCTCAAGAGTGTTGACCGCCAGCTTCTCAACGATGTATTCAGCCTTTTCCCGCTTTTCCTCGCCTATCTGATCAACAACGATATAGGCGATAATACGGGTCAAGTTAACGTTCATCGTGTCCCTGTGCTGCAGATTGATATTGTCACTGAGTATCTGGCAGTAATCCTTGATTTCAGTAAGACGTACTTGTCCAACACTGGCAGTAGTTTGTGCGAGAGGGTCGACGGCGTGTGGTTTCAGAAATCGATTGATACCACTTTTTTCTTAGAATTTAATCTATCTCTGGTGCATACTATCTGTTTGAGGTCACTTAAGAGGTCGGAAGACGACGCGTTGCGTCAGAGTGGGCTGCGTTTGCTTAACATCCTAATGTTTGGATTTAGTGCAGCATGTCTAGTGCGTCAAGATGTGCTAGTGACGATGCATGATGTTCTGCTTTGTTTCTGCTCTAAGCTTAACGAAGCTGCAGTTACACCTCAGGAAGCACCGCCTGAAATTCGGCGTTATCGAGCGTCAGGGCTTTGCCGAGGGACTGGCACAGATTCTGAGGTACGGTGGCAAGTGTCCAAGGTACAAAATAGCATTGTGGAATCCATATCGTCTGTGATTCCGATTTTGACTCGCTGGGGATTTGACGCGCCAGCTTCATTCTCTGAGGCATTGCAAAGGGTACTGGAGAGAGGGCGCTTTGCCTACCCAGAAGGCATGCTTCTATCACTTCTGCACGCGTCAATCCAATTCAATAATAATGCATATCTCAGGTTAGGGGCGTTGATATGCTGCTGCTTAATGGCTGGTTCAATGGTAAGCAAATACCCCGGGCTTAGGCTGTTTGTACGGTACCAGGGTTCACCTACTCATGGCAACTCCGAAAGACACAACTATGATGGCTTCAACGAGAATCCGCACGAAAACATGACAGGTGTTTTCCTTCCATGCTATTTGTTGCGCTTGGTTAACTCTATCGTTACCCTATTCGTGACCAGCAAGAGGGATGTTTGTTTCTCCATCACCAAAGCAACACTGCTAAAGAACAGAGAAGATTATAGCAAGCCATCATCGAAGCGTTTTCACCTTTTTGCAAATGTCTCCTCCACATACCAGTCTACCGGCTTCCCGATGTCGGATACCCCGCCTCAGGAGCTATTTTACGGTGAGTTGCTCTGAGTTTGCACGTGAGCTACGTAGTTCGCACTATGCATATATATGTGTGTTATGCTGACAGTCATTTGCGGCGGTATGATTCTGTTAATTCTGACTGACAGGCGATATGGCCCTCGGTCGGCAATGTATTTCATCTCGTTTTATAGATAATGTGGATTTTACATGTGAGATACTGCGTTCCAAACCATACTTATGGTTCTCCGGTGAGATGGCCGTATTTCGTAACTGACGCCGGAGTGCGATTTTCAGTTGTTTGGCACCAGACACGCAATACTGGTGTATGATCGAGGGGCTATATGCATAAGCCTCCGTGACTATGTTCGTATGTATGAGTTTCTCTGTCTATGTCTCTGCATAATACGTATGTGTTGTCCCTGCATTTTTTTTCACTTTACACCAGGAGGCTACGGGCCTCCCTCAGCAAGGCGATAACTTAACATTTGATCAGGCGCCATCAATTCGACGTTGCGCTGCATTGTCATGCTAGTTCACGCGCTTAGAGATAGCGGCATGCCATCTAGCATTGATATGACGGTAGCCGACAGCGGGCGTCTCCACGAGAAGCTGCGCGAAATCCTTACCAGCTGTTGCAATACGCTCAAATAACATCGGTTCAGATGTCACACATGATACACAACTGGCGACAATACGTAACCATATACACCTTTGTTCTATGTAGTACGAATTGACGTCACAAATAGCAATTGGCAGACAGTATAGCTGTATGTCAGTCTTATTGCGCGCGTAGCCCATAAGTTCGTGTTAAATGGTGTGAACATGTCTGGTGTGGAGGTCTCTTCTTCGTATTAGGTTTCAGTACGCCGTATGATCCCCGCAGCTGACACACGAAAGCAGCCTCACAAAAGAGCGTCGCGTGCAACGGTACAACGCAGCGACATTTCAAAGCAGCAACCGGTTACGCCGGGTTATCATTTTGTGTGTGTGTTCCGAGCGGGCGGACACACTGTACGTGAGCTCGCAAAAAGTCTCTCTGCGTGATGAAGGGTCTCGGTATTTTTTCGCCGTTTTCAGCCACATCTGGCTGCATTCTTTCGGCGCCAGGATATGATGAATTCTGTGGCAATGGAAGTCCTCGGATTAATGTAGATAACAAGACACTTTTGCTACTAGGTTTCGAGATAAAGGAACGAACGGAAAGTACGAACAACCCATTCGAACTACGTTTCGATGCCAACACCAACTACAACACATTTGGAAATGATAACATTTTCTCCAATTTGAATGATGATTTAGGTGGATACGACAATCTTAGCAGTGGAGTCGGTATCGCCGATTTCACGACTTATCACTCCGTAGATCTTCAGGTACCCGAAGGCAATCTGTCGGCATTAGTGTGGATAGAATGTGGAGGCAGCAACGGTATAATTGCTGTTGGTACTACCACAGGTGACCTGTACCTTTTCGACGGCAAGGCAATCGTCGAGGGTGACGCAGCACATCTGATATCTAAGACTAAAGTCTGCAATATACCGATCAAATGTCTGAGCTACAATGCAAAGACGAACGTGTTGGGTGTGGCTGGTTTAGATGGTCAAATATCTGTCTGTGATCTAGCAAACCCCAATGAACCAAAGGTGATTGACACAAGTTACGGAAAGTGGAGAGTGGGCCTTGTAACCGGTCTGAGCTGGAATCACCGTTTGGGTCATATTCTAGCCACCTCAGGTTCTTCAATAGGCCCCTCTGGTGCGGTATCGCCTTCGGACTCGAGTGGTCTCGTAGTATGGGATCTTAAGGCGAGAAAACCTGCATCAAGCTTCAGAGACCCTTCCGGTCGTACGAACCCCATTGCTGTCGAGTGGATGCCGGAACAGATGACGCAACTCATTGTGGGTTATGGAGACGACAGGTCGCCTGCACTGCAACTCTGGGATCTACGCAACTGCTCCGTGCCATTGAAGGAGGTTCGCGGTCATACCATGGGTCTTACTGGCCTTGCTTTATGCCCTCAGGATCCAAATTTGTTACTTACTAGCGGAAGAGACGATCACACCAGATGCTGGACATTGGATAATGTTAGGGGACCGTTCCACGCAATATCTAGCATGCAAACAGGCGCCCTGAGCCATCATAAACGAGTACAATGGCACCCACAAGTACCTGGGCTATTCTTGGCGCAGGACACAGACGATGACCTCTCTGTGCATAACGCCATGTGTATGTCCCAAACCGAGTCCTACATGCCGGCTTGGGTACGTCGCACCTCTGGCGTTGTATCGGGTTTCGCTGGTGCCGTTACCACCTGGAACGCCGCCGGTTCGATAAAGCAGTTTATGCTCAGTAGCCACCTTGATGATGAGACAACAAAAGCATTAGATGACTCTCTCGAAGTTTTCTGCGAACTTGCTGATTCCAGAAACTTCGGTGCCGTTTGCGAGGAACGAGTAGCCTCGGCAAACAGCGAATTCGACAAGCTAACATGGAGCGTGATGGCAGCCCTGTACAAGGGCGATCCTTCGGCGCTGGTCAGCACTTTGGGATATGAACTACCTCAGATCCAATCGGACGAGAGTAATCTTGAGTATTCGGAAGATGAGGGTTCAGTAGCGCCACCTGGACCTCCAAGAGACGGTTTGCGTGAGCCTTTTGGTCATGATTTGATGAATGATGATGACGGAGAGGCATTTTTCAATTCGTTGTGCAACAAAGGTGAGGAGAACTCAGTTAATATTCTCGGCCAGTCGCCAGTGCCCAATATTCAAGAAGGGTCTGCCCAGGAAAATGAAACGCAAGAAACTCTGACCGCGTCTCCAGCGGACACACCTAAGTCTTCCGGCCTTGAATGGGGTGAAAATGATTTGTGTTCACGAGTGATAGTAGGGGACTATGAAGGGGCCGCGAAATTGTGCTTGGAAAATGATAGACCTACCGAGGCACTCTTTTTGGCATATGCAGGCGGACTGGATCTCTGGCTTAAGGTCTCTGATGAAATTACACAACGTGCTAACAACCCTCTGCTACGTACGTTGCACCTAGTGATGAAGGGCGAGACTCAAGCTATTGTGGAGCAATGCCCACTTGATAACTGGCGTGAACAGCTCGTTTACATCATCACCACTACAATGGATGATCGCACAACATTCAACGAATTGTGCAACGTCCTCGGTAACCGACTGTATGCATCATTCCAACATGGTCAAAAGGATCATCTCCTACCCGCATCGATATTCTTCATGTGCAGCGGCGATGTGTCGCGTGTGGTTGACGCGTGGGAACACCTGGAGACAGGGAAGAACAGCTTGCACGTACTTGCGCAGAGCGTTGTCAGAACGGCTGCGTTGTCTATATCCGTGGCAGGCGATGTCTCCAGTGAATACTTAGGTCATAAAGCTGTAATGCTTGCCGAAGCGTTTGTGGACGTCGGCGAGATTGACAAGGCTGTTAGGTGTCTGTCATTACCATTAATCTCTGGGTCTCCTCAAGTTGCAGCGTTTTTGGCCCGCATTAAGGGCATGGATAGTTCTGTTGGAGTCGGGCAACACATGCTACCACAGGCGGGTCGTGTGCCAGTAGCTCCTGTACATGTTGTTACTCGTAAGAGCTGCGATTATGGCACTGCTCCAGGAGCTGTTGCCGGCGCCATGTATCCCGGTATGCCGGTACCCTGGCCTCTGCCGACCGCCACCCAACAGAAAGCTTCAAGTACCAGGAGCACTGAAGACGCTAATAGACGCATTATAGCGACTTCCGCTGCTGTACTGCCTCAACAAGAACGTTTGAAACCTGCTGATCTGGAATTCGTGACAACTGTGTTGGGTGATTTGATTGCTCATGGTGACACTTCTCGCGCAGCTCAGGAAAACCGCCGACGCATCGCAGATCTTATGGCTTCTCTTGGAAAAGGAGAACATACTGCAGAAGCGAATGAGCTTATCTTGAGCATGTGTCGTGCAATCCACTCTGGAGACCAAGTTAATGCGAACATAATTCTTTCCACCATCAGTACGAAACTATGGAATGCGGAAAACAAAAACTGGATCATGTGCCTAAAACGCATAGTGCCAAAGTAGATGGTAACCGAACAATTGGTTGTTTTACAAAAATGGACTACACTAGGTCTTTAATTTCTTATAATCGAATTGTACGTGTACAAATCTATCTATATATTTGTTTTGGTATTAAGTTAAGTTTTTGAGTCAGTTTAGATGCGGCTCTGATATTAAAGTAATTTTCTCCTTAGGCGTTAAATTGTTAAAAGATCTTCCCTTTGTCCATCACAGTATTATGTCCACGCAAGATACGATGCCTCAGCACAACCAGCATGATGCGCTACGTTTCTTCTGCAAACTGTTTTCGTACCAATTAACTTGGAAAACCGTATTTGTCATGTAGTCCTGACTGCAGAGGATAGACTTGGCGACGTTCGCTCGAAAGCATACTGGGCCTCCGAGACAGGCAGGGGGACGCACGATAATTTCACTTTTGGCGTTGAGTGACCTGTTTAATGATTCAGCTGAATCAAAACCAAGCTCCTGAGGTGTAACAGTGCAATCTGCTGTGTGTTTGAATTCCGGGTGTGTCGTAGTGTACACATGCTGATAATTCGTACCGTGCATAGCATAGAACAAGATCCGTTCCGTTGGCACTGTATCTTGAGTTTGCTTCTCGGGCACACTGTCTACACATTCTAACTTTTCGCAGCCGCCGTGATCACTATTGTTCAGGTCACGTGGTGTTGTTTTGTCAATTCCAACTACATCGTACATTGGCAGCCTTGGTATCTCGAAGCCATCGTCAGCTGATTCGTTTCCACAGCTTCGCCAGAGTCCGAAAAATCCGGATCCGATATTTTGAGGATGAAACGCATCAAATCCATCAGATCTGTCGTGTGGAATTACGTCAATGCTGCCAGACTTCTTGAACAACGAATCGCATACGTTCTCCATATCTTTGCTAACGTTTTCACAGCAATCCGACAAACGCCGTTGTAGATGATTCCCACTATCATATCTCCTTCGGTTAAAGGATCCATAAATATTAGACGCTGGAGTTGTCATACCAAATGAACTTGATACGGAATTACTTAGTCCGCCATTAGCGCAATTGCACGTAGCAGACCCTTCACAGCTGTGACCATATCCACAGGTCTTTCCACCTCCAGATTTTAACGTGTGACTCGAACATGGTGAGAGATGGATGTTGCCAAGTCCCCAGTGGCAACGACATTCTGGGGAATCACAATGGAGGTTTTCGTTCTCTCCCATGAGAAACATATTTCTGTGTTCTTCTATCCATGTATCCATATAACTGTTTTCACTTTCGGTTCTGACGTTAACCTTTTCAGTTACATCATCGTTGGTGCTGAATTCATCACGAACCACAGTTGTGTTATTACCACTCTCAGAAAGATTTCGGGCAATTTCAATCGAAAGTGTTCCATCTTCTGGACCTATGAATACTTTATACTTTTTGTCACCCGTCTCTTGTACCGTGTCTGTTTTGTTGGAAGAATCTTTGGGGCCGTTTTCTCGTTCGGAAACGGGGGTTGCGCAGTGCGTATTCAATCCAGTAGCTTCATCTGTGTTGGATTTTGAAGAATTGCATACAAGTTCCATGACTATATTGCCGTTTGCAGACTTATCACATTTTATCATCAATTTCGCTTGGTCCACGTCACGAATATGAGTGGATATATCAAAACCTCCATCACTATTCGCCGCTATGTCTTGCAGTATGACGGATTCACAATTTGCGCTGGCTATGTTACCTTCCACTGTTCCGAACGGCTCCGCAATGAAAACCGGCTTATAGATGCTTCTCTTACTGCTGTTAGTCCTATTACTTCGTTCGGTTAATTCCACGCTAGAGTCATACGCCACACTACTCCGGTATGAATCACTACTATAGTTTTCATTACGAAAATCCTTTTCAAGTTCAGTATCTAGTTCCACAGGCTTTTGAATGCTCACAACCTGTATATTCGCGTCTTCATATTGGTTAATTTTCTGATTGTCATCTGCCAGAGTTCTATACCCCAGTACATCCATACGTGTCGTGGTGTCCACATCCAAGTCATTTCGGTACATATGTAGATTTCGTAGATCAGTAATCTCTGTATTGCCGCTGTTTGGCAAGGAATTCTCACCTGCTGCTGCAATATGTGTTAAATGGTCCCGCATTTGGGTAACTACGCCTGGTGTCTCAACAGTGTCCATTGACATTTGTTTACCAGAAACAAGTGTCGTATTGTCGTTTGTTTGACACACCTCACGCTGTTTGTCACTCATCCTTGAACTTGTTTGGCTTATAGAATCTATTTCATCAATGTTTTCCACCTGTATCACGCTCTCTTTATCTTCCCCACTGTCCTTCTGAACCTCTTCAACGTTATATGCTACCTTGCAAACCTTCAAATCAGCTAATCCTCCTTCTTGTTCATCCATTGAATTAGACCTCATTTGGTGTCTTGAATCGTTATGCATTTTTATAGCAGTTAATAAATTATATTATTTTAGACCGCACCTTCTATACTCCCCTTAGGTGAACAGGACAATCGTTTTTCACCCTTAAATGTACCTCTTTCGAAGACTGCAACACAATTTTAGAGACACATACACTATTTCGAATCTTACGGAATATCGTTCATGACCACTATCTCATCGTTATCTTGACGAAAATGCAAATGGCTACGTCTCACCTGTCTTCCAGCACGCGAACAATTCTATGACGTTACGTATTGGAGTTTTTTCTGTAATTCCTGATACATCTGTAGTGCGGAGAAGTCTTCTGCCCGTCCTACGCTTCTTCAGATCGACATCGCAAAATATTGCGATCGTCTCACTAATGAATAATTTTTTTTAAAAACTTAATTCACTTCGAAACACCGTCATTTACCATGTAACAACGAGCAATAGTGCATTAAAGTTAAAATGAATTTTGCTGTTTCAGAATAATAATTAGCAAGAATGTTTTAAAGTGAAGTCTGTTGTACCTAAATCATGCAACGCCATTTCTGAAGCACGTTGCTTGATTCTCACCCAGAGCTACATTGCTGCATGTTCTCAGAATAACTGCATTTCAGGCTCAGTGGATGCTACCTCCTGAGCATTGCATGACTGTTTTAAATTGATATTTTCCACTTTCGTCCTCCGTGTCCTCGTGCATATACAGCAGGTGACGCTCATCCAATCATAAGTCGATTCATCTAGCGGTTGTAGCGCATCGATCTCCGTAGGGTGAGGGTCTGCCAAGTTGCCATCATGTATCAATTCGCGTTCACCAATGTTTTCCGGTACGTGCCGCCACTCCCTTCCGTGGCACTCTGCCATTATTACCGCATTGACGCCCGGTAATAGAAGCGTATTGCAACCTTTGCAGAACGCCCGCTTGAAAGATGGATCGAGACGTATTACATGTTTTTGTGCTATTTCCCGAAGCTCCTTTACATATCCACGGCTGATGTTGGGGTACAAGTTGCCCATGAGTTCGGCTGCGTCTAGCAGAAAACCTAATCGTTTCACATGTATGTCGTTAGCGTATGTTGCCTTTGCTGCCTCGAGTTTGTCGCCATCCTTTCCGGCGCTTACGACAGGCTTATTCTTTTTTTTCATTGACTCATCATCTCTTTGCGTGTTTGACACACGCAAAAAAGTATCATTGTTTAGTCTGAATTGCAGATTAACGTGCGTAAACTTCCCCATTCGCCGATGTCTTGACGCGGTGTCTGAGGAATCCACACCGCGCTTGCATTCCTTAGCCACACATTTCACATCGCGGCTTCTCCTTAAATCTGGAATTACCTCCGGGCCACCAACATTAAAATTCCGCCATTATATCCATTTTATTTTTTACATTAGCTCTTGAGGTGCGCCATTCTCTCTAGAGTACCCTTGGACACTTCCGCGATGTCTAGATTCCGAATTTTACTTCTTGGAGGGATTTCACACCTATTGTTGTACAGTTATGCTGTATGTTCGCCTTTAGGTAGTGCAATTAACAGCATTTTTTTGCACATCAACAATGTGTACGTTTACGTCTGCACTTTCAACACAGGTTCAGGACGGTAGATTGCTCGGAGCATTCGGGACGTAAGATACCATACCAAGACGCCTTAATTGAGTAGGATTGTTTCCTACGTCACTCACTACAATTTGTCACAGGTGTGCTCACGACGGTCAATGCTGCTACGTAGTAGTGGAGGAGGTCGACGCACACGCTGAAGGTCCCGGTTTGTCCCTTCTCTGCACCTCCTGCGAGCTTCGCAACGCCAGAACCGTGAAGGATGCTCGGGTAATGTTTCTCGTTTTATGAAATTCATGTATAATGCAGATTTCAATCAAGGGAGACCAGAGTTGGTTTCGTATATTTGTGCTCCATCTTCGTTTTAGTTCTCGGTAACACCGCCAAAGCTTTTGACATTAGCTGGAACAGACAAGGTACCCCCGTTCTTGAGTGCATTACATGTTCAACAGGTATCTGTGAGCACGAACAGCTCCTGGGAGAGCTGTCTTCTGTGGAATCATTCACTGCTGCGGCACGTTAGTTGAACAACGTCTCCGTGATAATTCTGCACAGGGGAGTGTGAACGTAAAAAATGTGACTACTTCACGGTGAGTTTGTTTTAACAAATTGTTTAATGTACAAACAGATGTCTACGTTGGAAGGGTTTGTGATAATATGTTCATAATCACTGCCTTCAGGATCGTTGGCGTCCCCGGGACCGCTAACAAAGCATGGTTCTGCTCCGGTTCGCCCAAGAACGTTCACGCTGATGGATTTATTACAGCCACCCGCAAACGTCGTCAATACGAGTTTTAAATACACTCCAAGGTACATAACACCTCTCGAGGCATACTCCTCATTCATTACTTCTATTCCTCTTCATTAAACTCATCGAAGTCGTAATCATCCGGATCATCATATCCCTCGATGAATGTGCGCTTTCTGCAAGAGAAGCTGAACTCTTCCAAGCCGAAAAGGTTGCGCAACAACATAGGCACACACTCGCCCAAAATCTGTAAACATTGTCATTTGTTTTTCGTTACCCACCATTGATCTCTCGTAGATATCTCCAGTAGCGTTGACCAATAACCTTGTAGCTGACTTGACAACAAAGTTTCCAAGTATGAAGCCGATTGTGTCGAAGTTGGTCTTTTCGTGTATATGTAACTGGTCGTTGATACACCTGAGAAAAAATACTGTGGTAGTCTTGTTGTGAGGTTTCTCTAGGCAGTCCACTATAGTCTTGACTAGGCGTTTGTTGGTTGTCGGTTTGTCCAACAGCTCCATCAATATACCCGCGCTGAGCTGCTGTGCGCTAGCCGCTGCCAAGACACTAACAATACCGAGGAGGAACATGGTAACAAGTATCGTGTTTTATTGTATTTGAAGTTAGTTTATGCGTCCACTACATTGGTTGTACGGCGGGTTATCGCCTAAGCGTCACCGCGTCGTGACACCCCTTGTCGGTCAACGTTCGATCAAACGTATTGTCTACGAGCGCGGAGGAAGCGGTGTTGTCCTGGTAAAACATGTCATCAGACGTGGTACACATGTCCCCAAACACTGCAACATCGTGAGAAGCTGTGACCATAGGATGTGTAGCCCTCGCGACCACCGTCTACGCCCCGGATGGAGCGGTGGTAGTTGAAGGTCTACTGGTTACCTTATTTGCGACAAAAACGTACCTTAAATAGTTTTACATATTCTCCCTTTGATGCGTCGTATTGCGCGAATTCCGCGGCGCAAACTGTCCCCGTGCAAGTTAGGTACTCTCCGACACATTTCTCGAACTCCGGAGGAGGGTTAATGCTATCGCTGTGAAGAACACCACTCGCGGTGTCAATTAGAGTAGTTGGATTAACGTCTCCGCCTTGCAGGCAGTATTCCAACGTCTGAGCGATGCGCCTGCGCTGGTCGAAATCTGGTAGTTCCTCATCCTCCGCCTGCTCTGATTCCTCTTCACTATCTAGAGTGCTCTCTTCGTCTTCCGTATTTTGGCGAAGAGCTATCTCTAACTCATTTACCTTTGGTGGTGACGCAGCTCCGCGTGGTTCATCGTTTGCACTTATTAGCGCAACTACCAAGGAGACAGCAATCATAAAAATTTTAAGTGAGCACCTCATTTTTTTCCATATTTAATATGACTATCACACCTCAGGTCAGGAACGTCGCGATTCTACGCACCAGCGGGTACGATGGCGTCGTCCATACTGTGGCAACCGTTGACGTGACAGTTACACATCTGGAGACGGTGACTAAGAATTGTTTCTCTGTGAAATATGTATGGCTACTCATTAGTGATTGACTTTAATGAGGTGTTCGTATCGACTACAAAATCTTCGCAGGGGCGATTCCATAAAATAGCCGCACTATGCCATCCTGCTGTTAGCAGGCCAACATTGTGCCAGATTTAAGGCAAACATGATAGTTCATAGTCCTTCACCCCGCACGCGACGCGTAGATGTGCCGGCCAGGTTTCGGTTCGTAGGCACTCTCGCGACGATATAGACATAATGTATCGCACGTTATCCACATCTCGCTCATCAGTCTCACTTAATGTGATCTTCAGCCGCATCTTTCATACAGCTCATTAGATTGGGAATCGGCTTCCCTACGCACTGCGCAGATGTCATGTAACATTTTTAAGAACGAACCTCGAGACAGTTGACATTGTATCTCGCGAAGCAGTCAACAGAGCACTGCACTACCAGAGCGAGGAGATAATGAAATGTACAGACGTGTAAGCTGTGTTCATCCCTTGATTTCTGGACGTACAACTCCTTGACCATACACGGTAGTAGCTTACTCTCTTCGCTTTTGCATTGTTCATACGCTGCCTTGATCACGTCATCTTTGTAGCGGTAGGTAGTTCGGAGTTCACCGATTGCATCGGCTACAGCTGTTGCCGCAGTGGTTCTCTTTTGCTTTATTTCCTTGATGACGTCGTCTACAGCGTGCGCTGCAGAGATCAGCGAGCAAATTAGCAACACCAGCCCTGTTAATTTAGCCATCGATACCAAAAAAGCATCGCATAAATATAGGTATACAGTCTCCGATGCAACTAGTACAGGAGAAGATGTCTTTACGGTCGGCCTCGCTGGACGTGCACATGGAGTAGCAGGGAGCCAAAGCGCAGTTTACCAGCTTGCATAAGCAACGCGGCAGTAGTCCAGAAAAGGGAGTGCGTTTTAGTGCCCTGTAAGCTATCTGGAAGACCTGTTGTTTAGTAGTGGCTTTCTCTTGAATAATTTTTGCCGCGAGACGAGCTCCACCCTTATCGCTGCTTTCGCTCAAACTTATGATGTGTTCAAGAATTGCGTCAATATCAGATTCTTTCTCTACTTTTTTAAACTTTGGTTCTGCTTCATCACCAACGGCAGCACAGAGCAATGGAACGGACAATATAGCGTAGATCAAATAGAGACGCATTATTTCATTAATAAAAAATTTTCAGTATCAACTCGTGTGTCGCTAACGAGCCGTCGTTATCGCAGCCATGGGGACGAGCGGCACCTTGCTACCAGGCACGCCTTGGTACTCAACCATGATTTCCTCACACAACGCTACATCCTCAGAGTCTCTGTTCAAGAGGTGCGATATCTTGATTTTTGCCTGAGCAACGGCCCGTGCATATGCTCGGCAATCATGGTCTGACTCCGTCTCTCCTGTCCCCTTTAGTGCGTTGTAGCTTAAGGCGTAGCCCGCACCTTCAGCAAATACGATCCCGTCGTACAATCGCTTGTGAAGCTCTTTCAGCATGACGCAATCACGCACTACCATCTGAAAGATAACGTGTCTAATTAGTACGTTCACCTACCCTACTGGTGGTAGTGTTGAAATTGTATACCTCGTTAACCTCGTCAAATCCGTCGTACAACAGATTCATACAAATCACGAACAACGAGTCTTGCTTCTTGGCCGTGGTACCTGGTGCCCTAGCAATTGTGAGTCTCTGTGACAGGAGGCGCCGACGTATACGTTCTAGCTTGACGCATACGTTTTGCGGTTGGCCATTGTGAGACGGTAATAAAACTACACGCTCCACTACTTTGACGACAGCAATTTTCAGTTGCGTAGTGAGCATAAACAACCTAAAATATCGTAGATTTTTCCCTACGTTAATGATCTCTCCTGCCTCCACAACTATCCCTGTTACGCTACAAATTTGGTCCAAAAACAGCTCTTCGTGATGTTCATCCATTCTATCCGTATGACATCGTATCAGTTCAATGAAGCTATCTTCATCGTGAGGACTTATTGACAATGCCGGTTCGCCGAGAATCAGGGTATGAAAAATTGATTTACGGCCACCAAGCACTTGATCACCATCGTTGACATCCGCATTCCCCTTTAATGCGCCATTTTGGTAGTCGGATACGGTCTTGCGTATTTTCTGCAAAGGCGTATCCCGTTCCTTGACATCTATTCGGCTCTGCAAAGTAGTCTCGAAGCATAAACAGTTGCCGATATGGGTTCCCTGTTCTGCAAACCTATTACCACGGTTTAATGAAACACTGTTTTTGACGGATAGGCTCGTGACTGTCAACCTTGTTGTTGGTTCTATCATACCCAAGAGAGTCTCATCTACCTGCAACGTCTTGCTGTGCTACCGGGTTTTACTTACATTGCGCAACGTGAGAAGAGCGCATGACTTAACAAGCGCCTTTTCAAACTTTTGTGGATCCTGAAGATAGTCTTTGATGCGTAGCAGTATGACGGTGTCTATTACCGATACAGTGTGATGTACATATACATTTTCTATGGACACTGGGGGCTTATACTCGGGATCCGCGAATACTGCATTGAAATCCCATTCGTTCAATATTGCAGATTTAGCTACCCTACTTTCGAGTTCCCTGTAGTATACCTTAAAAATTGGTGGCATTATGCCCAAGACTGTGACATCGAGCTGCATCACATTGCCAGCACCTCCTTTAAGTTCTGGATTAAATTAATCAGCATTTTATACCCACTTACCTCTAATGTGCGCATTACCGTGTCGATTTTGAAGCCCCAACGGCTTATTAGGGGCTGGACTTATTGAATTGAAATTGAGTTGTACAACGGCGTTTTCATTGCGCTCCTTGTCGGTGCCTATAACAATTCCGTGTAGCTGTATTTTGTCGCCTGGCACTATTCGCTGCGTTTTAAGCAATTGTCGCATATAGCAATCAGATGCGAACGCTGTAATCACCGACTGGCCATCCGTTATGTATATATGTTCGCCTTTTACCACTTCTACGGTCACTACAACCGGAGAGTTGGCGGGAGCGTCACCTACACGTAGTATACTAATAGTTGATTGCACTTACCATGTAAAATTTGAATAAGTATGGATTCCTTCCCCCCGTACTCCTCATTAAATGACCTCACGATCTGTCTCAGGACGTTAAGTGGGTTGGGTAATTGAACTTTGAGAAGGGCATCCTTTAGTAGGCCACCGTTGCGAATGCGTTTGCAAATGGAGCGACGGAACCTTCTACACTCCGTTGCGGTAAAAAGACAATACTTTTGACGCAACCACTCGTCGTCGAATCGTTGTCGTTCCGCGCTTGGCTCAACGCAGTGATCCATCATCTGCTTGAAACAAAGTTGCATTTCGTTCAAACCCCCAATAGTGATTGATGCGTCACACGGGGAGTAGTGAATGAAGGTGAATTTCTCACTGTTACTGTATGTAACCAGAAGTGGATTTCCATATATGTTCCACAATCTGGAAAGCATAGCCGGGGATAGACTCGACCCATCGTGATTGGTGAGCACGCAGTTTCGACACCACATTTCCAGTATTGTGAACGTTTTTTTGGATGGCACATTCACATATTTGTGAGTGCTACTCGTTGTCACTGGTATTCTTTCCACCGATTTCAACTCGACGCCCCGTTTTAAGGATGTTGATTCCCTGAAGCTTGCAATTGGCGTCCGATCACCAGCCGTGTCAGTGGCCTCATCTCCGGCAGCATTTGAGGTCGGCTGGCTACAATCTCTAAGAGGTGTTTCTGTCCAAGCCAAACTGCTCGCAGACAAATTAGATTTCGTAGTGTCGATTTCAGGGGTGTCGGCCGCAGACGTGGCCGCAACAGGCATGCCAACTGCGATATTTACATCAGCTTCTAGGCCATCCAGTTCATCCAAACCTAGCAACTTTCTTATACCTACCTTTTTATCTGGGTCTATTGTTGGACAAGGTTTCCCGGAGGCCATGGTGAACCCTGACACTCCACTTGAATTGTCGTTCCAGGTTGGCGCCTTCTCCATCGCACTACCAACCTTTGAAGTCTGCCGTAGCATATCCAGAGCAGTTCCAGATATTGCATTTGGCGATGGCTTACTCGTTTTATTCAACAGTCGCGGCGATTTGCGAGTGGGATTGCCCGGGCGAGTCACGGTGGACATCGTCATCTTTTGTGGCCTCGGTACCGTGTCATCATCTGCGAACAACCAGTGCGACATGATATTGTTCTTCCCCTTATCCGTATCACCATAACCATTAGATATAGTGTTGGTTTCAATGCCCTTTACACCTTGTTTTATAGTTCCGTCGTCGTTGACTGCAACAGCTGTGAAAAACTGTACTTTTGCTTCGACAGCCGCAGGAGGCGGCTCATTAGGCACGTAATCCGTTGAGATTGTACGCTTGCGCTTAGTGGACTCCACAGGAGTGGTTGCTCGTGAACTCCTCCTTGTTTGCATCTTGTTCTTTAGTCTAAACTATTCCTTATTAGCGCACAACCTTCCGCTGTATCTTTACAGCACTCCCTAGCTGGGCTGGCCACATATAAGCCTTAGTAGTTTCCTTTTATTGAATGTCGAACAGATTAAAGCTATGCGTGCTAGTTTTGAGTCCATTAAGTGTGTACAGAGCGACGTCGTAATCAGTGGCATAACATTACGTCATAACACTTTAATCCTGATTGCTTCTACTATTTTAACACTTTAGTTTCTATTTTTGTGATGTGTGTCTGACTAATGTTATCTGCTTTCCAGATAATTACGACATCCAACCTGACGCAGGGTATGGGTGTTCACTACACAGCTTCATGGAGCAATTGTACCACGTTTTATTCATGTTTGCTGTTATATTTACACGCTAGTTGGCGTGATGATGAAGTTAAGTTTCCCTTATCTGCTGGAAACTGGTGAAAGTTTTTTTTGTAGATAAGCGCTGGTGATTCGTCTACTAGAGCTCATAAGATCAATTACATACATACACTTAAGATTTCCTTATCATGTAAATAGCCCTAATAGGTGTGGCACAGGCCACAGCTCTATTCCTAGGCGCCACCAATTGACAACTACGGCCGTCAGCACCTCTTTTAGGCAGCCACGACATCACTTGCAAATAGAGGGATCTTACCGACACCCACACCACGCATTGTATCTATACTCGCGACTCACGCTATTGTTTTTACATCTGCTGGAGCTGGTGGAACAGTGGTATGCGTAGAGTCTTGATCCAGCCTGCAAAACATCAAGTTCACGTTGCACATATGATCTGCATTCAAGACCAACATGATACTGTATGCTTTAATATTAAATTATGCGATTGTTTACGATTTTTGGCGCGTCACATTAGCTCCTCGAGATCGTCTCCATGTTGCCGGTCGCTATATGCGTCCATTACTAGCACAGGCTTCTCAGCACTAGACTTCACGCGCTCTTGGTTTATATCAGCTACATCGTCGTTCTGATCATCAGCTTCGTCTTTGTATGATTCGTCTTGAGGTTCTTGGATTATGTCGTGTATAGTTTCCCCCGAAATCTTCTGGACGCCACTGAATTGCACGACGGCGTCGCCTGTTTGCGCGTAAAAATCAACAGCCGATTCTGCACTGATGCCATGCGCTAGACTTCCATGTGCCTTTAGGCTGTGGAAATTGAGAAAGCTTCGGTTACATCCTGCTTCCGTGCAGACGTATAATACATCATTAGGGTGTACGAGTTCAACCATTTCGCTGCGGGTTTTGCACCTGTCTAAAGTTTGATACCGACCTCGCTACACTTACACAGGACACTTGTTGCTCGATAATTTTCCTAACACGCATCTGCTGCACAATACGTGGTGGCAGGGTACCTAATCAGTTTGGGTCATACGGAGGCAGCAACTCACATGTCTATATTTTTCAACGAACGGTTGCCCACAGCTACAGAATAAGCTCGCAGCTAGGATAACACTTCGTGAAGAGCATTGTTCTCGCTGATATTCCAGCATTTTATGCACTTGCAACGTAACTGTATCAGTTGTCGCGTCCCCATTGGTGGAGTCATCCGCGCCGCTACCGCAGGGCGGCACCCATGAGCTATTTTCACGGAATTATATCAGGATGGATTTTGGTTACGTGCGTGAATACATATCTCAGCATGGAGGCTGGGACATGTCAAACTTTTCGCGTAACTCGCGTATCAAGGACGACGTGAAAGGTGTGTTTGGTGTTATTCTATACGTAGCCCTCAGGTTTCAAGGTACTTAAGACCGGTACTACTATTTGTGGTGTATTGGTTAAGGAAGGCGTTGTGCTTGCCGCCGACACCCGTGCTACGGAAGGTCCAATAGTGGCCGACAAGAACTGCTCGAAGCTTCACCGCATATCCGATTTTATATACTGTGCGGGTGCTGGCGTAGCGGCAGATCTGGAGCATACGACGCTGTGGCTCGAGAACAACATCGAGTTACTGCGCCTTAACCTTAAACAGCTACCTAAGGTCCAGATGTGCGTCTCCATGCTTGTACATGAATTGTTCAAGTACCAAGGTCACAAGCAATGTGCCTTAATCCTAGGCGGATTTGATACTTTGGGGCCACATCTGTTCAGCATTTCGCCACGCGGTTCTTCCGATTCTCTTCCGTTCTGTACCATGGGTTCGGGTTCACTTAACGCTATGAGTGTGCTAGAAACAGGTATGTTTTGTCTATTTTGCCTCTACTGTTCGATTGTGTTATATCGGAAGGTGATTCTGTATGTGGATCCATCTCTTTGTTAGCCGGCGGCTTCTCAGATGCATAGGAAAGGTACCGACATTAGTGGCGCCTGAGTTCCTCGTAATCTCAAGCTGGGGACATCACCTGGAACATCCACAGCGAATCTCAGCCTGTGTTTGAACTACCATTACCATGTTCTTCATGGCTACCTATCTTTATTTTATCATATGACTTGACATTGCACAGGTTATCGCGACGGCATGACAATTGCCGAGGCGGTCGACTTGGCTACCAAGGCCATCAGCGCCGGTATTCTAAACGACCTAGGATCTGGAGGCAATGTAGACATTTGCGTTATCGACCGTGATGGAGCTAAGCATACTCGTGCTCATGCTGTGGTTGGTACACGGACATATGCACCTGTTCCACGTTCGATCCCTCCGGGCTCTACGTGCGTGCTCAGGGAGAAAATCTTGAGCGTGAAGGACCACGTCATCATAGACAGCATAGATGTTGACTAGTTGTCTTCTGAAGCGATTTCACATGACTTTTTTCGCCTGTTTTTTCCCCATAACATATCTGGAACCTGGCCTGACTGGGCTCACCAGACATTGTAATAATCATGGTAGGCTTCGTGCGTTCCGATGGGAGGTCATTTAGCGACCATATGCCGCTCACTGTTCAGCTTAATCCACTTAAAAGTGGACCGTCGTGCCGTATTACCTTAGGCGGTTCCTCGCCGGCTGCTGATGATAGCGGCGATCGCACCTCGGTTATGGCCGTGGTATTTTTTTCTCCTGATAACAAGAATCGTAACACCGTTGGTAGCTACCATAAACCAACGTTCGAGGTGTATGTGCGCCCTCCTTCAAGTGAGTAGCTTTCTCTACGTTCTTCCAATTATTTTCAGACCCGGTCAAAGGCTACACCCGCTCTTTAGAGTGTTCGCTTCTTAAATGTCTGCAGAATTTAGTGGATGGGACTACTTTGGGCCGCCTGTTAGTATCGGTACGTCTGCAGGTGTTGGAGGAAGGTCGCGGTTTGCTGTCTGTGTGTCTTAATGCGCTAATAACGTGCGTCGCGGTCGCCGGCTTGCCTTTTCGTGAGATTCCTCATGCTGTCCAATTCGGAATTCTTCGCAACAACGGTGCACCTGGGTTCATAGTAGACCCTACCTTAGAGGAGATGCGCGAACACTGCGCAACAGGCATTACAATGCTCTGTGAGCCACGAAGTGGTAGGTTTTGCTACGTAGTTATGATGTGTAGCATATGTGTCTACAGGTCACATCTCTTTCCTGTCCATTGACTATGGCCATGGCGGCTACGAAACATCTCTCCAGAGCAGAATGGAAGAGGAGGCCAGGAGGATAGCCAAGGCACGGCTGCATGATTTGAACAATACTTATCAACAGGCTTTCGAGGCTGCACGCATATCATTCGAGGCCAATGCGTGGTGATATATTTTGCCCTGATACATGCAACATGTTCGTGGCTTTATTTGTTGTACCCACTCAGTTTCATCATAACTACATCATCGCATTATATCATAATATAGGAACTGTTTTTAATAATAATACACATCATCGGTTGGTCAAACGGCACTCTCCATATCCAAACTTGGGTTTCCGTGTTTAGGGTTACTAGGGTCCGTTTCTTTAATAAGTTTTTATTATTTCCCGTATAACGAAAATGGCATTTGCGCAACATTGTGTTTCACTGTTGCTTATATTTTGCAGTTACAAGAATATTGATTTGAATCTGAGCTTTGTTGTCTGGCAATGGGTCGTGGAGGTCACCCTCTTTGCGGTAATGTTACACCCTGACGTAGCCACATCGCTCGTGAAGGGATATCATTCAAAGGTTGATTTCATCGATGCGAGATGTGTTAAGATATTTTATAAGTAAGAAACAGTTTTAATATACCTCAAGTTGGAAAATGCCTCTTAAAAAGGGGATGGCCGGTTGATCAGTTTTGAAATATAAACGACACCGACGCAACATTCAAACGTTATAGAATCATCGATGCACCTATCTTCAGCTAGCCATGGGATATCAATTGCCCACTAGGCCTAGGCGCCCGTAGAGGGTCGGTGAAGTCATGCGTCATAAATTTATTGGTGTCCCGAAAATAGCTGCAATTACTTACCTCCATTGGTTCAATGGAACGACCGTTTTCCACCGCTTTATCTGAAATTGGCACGTGCTCAAATGGATCTATGTTGTTTGTATTCCAGGGATCGACGGCAATACTTACAGTTACAACACTCTACTATTGCGTGCGCCCGTTTACAAACTCAATATTCAAAGCAATTATCGCATGCTGAGCTTTTAGGTATTGTGCAAATCCCTTCAACTAGTTGTACCGTGTTATTACGCCGTCGGCGCAACTGTGCGACGGATGACTCAAGTTTGTGCACTGCAGACATCCAGAATGAGGCCTGTAACTATAATATAACGTTTCATTGCGAATCGTTCGGGAGATATTTTCTAACCCGTTAATATTTTATTGCGGAGTTGATGATTAAATATCTAATTCCAGAATGAATATTTGCATTGGATCCTTGGTGTTTATTAAACTGTTCGCTCTGCTTGTATTTCCGCTCAAAGTGACAGCAGTGAAAGAAAACAAAGATGATACAGCAGTTATGGAGCAACGCGAAGCTATACCTTATGTCGGATGCAACTTTTCGCGGATGGCAGAAAAAGGTATGCCACCGTTCTTCGATACTACGGATGGCGGCAACACTTGCGAAGTGAACCTTAAGGAAGGCACCAATAAGATTATTTTCGTGTGTCCCGGGATATCAAACCCCTGGGGTTGTCCAACGCAGGTGCTTCATCAAGGGGAACGAGTGGACATGGATACTCTTATGAATCAGGTGACTATTCGGACTCAAATCTCACCGACTCAGCAGGACGTTGAGATATTCACAGCGATTGTAAGCCATCCCATTGGAATTTTTACCGCGGTTTGTACGTGCGAGCTCCCAGACGGCCGGCTGTATATCATGAAAATCATTAACGGTGCCATTGGCGCCAAAACTTGGACATTGTTTTGGGTTTCAACAATTCTAACTGCACATTATTTGTGGACCTGACGATTAAATATTAAATGCTGTGCGGTGTTGACGGCACTAGATTCGCGTTCTCGGGGCGAAAAATGTTACCCCGATGTGTATCCGGTTGGCATTGTAGCGGGATAGAAGTAAAACTATCAGTTCGCCTGTAGTCTTTCTATCTGTATACCAAGAGAAGATTATTACGCATGACAAATGAAGGCGACGCCGGCTCGAGGGGCAAGAGCCGGTGATTCCTCGGCCCCCTCGAAGAGGCGCAAGGCGGCCAACGCGCCAACAGGGAAAGCAGCTTCGGAGGCGTCTCCGGCTGTAACAACCGAAGACGCTACGTCAACTGAAGTGTCGTCGATACGGGAAAAAGTGCGGAACAACCTAAGAGCAAGGTTCCAGTTGGCGGCAAGGCTTCTGCCGGCAGAGCCGGCCACAGAGGAAACTAAAAATTACTCATCACAAGCTCCGGATACCATTGTGACATTGTGCAAGGTGCTAAATCAACCTTATTCAGTCGTATTAACTGCTTTGGTTTACCTTCAGATGTACAAGAACGCGAGCGATCGCTGGAACGCCATTTCATCGCAACGTAATGTGACTGCTCCAGACAAATGGCGTTCCGTCGCCATGGGATCGTGCGAACCATCCACAAGTTCGAGCGAAGACATGGACCGCCACGAACACTTTTTAGTCGCTGCGTCTTGCGTGCTGCTGGCGTGGAAGTACCGTGAGGACGATGTGCGTGTGGCTAAGTCTGCCGGTAAAATTTTTGAGTTTACCTCTGTTCTCTACAAGCTATATGTGGCACAAGACAAAAATTGTTCTGGTACTCCATCGGTTTCGAGTTGGATGCTGCAGGATGAAGGCAAGGTTTGTGCGAATTAGATACTGACACCATCCATGACACAGGAAATTACTAAGCTCAAGATGCAGCTATTAGAACACGAAACACACCTATTACACGCACTTGACTACCATGTAGGTCCAGTGCTGACTCCACACAAGGTAAGGTATTTGCTCATTGTACGAAATTATGTGCAGCTAATACCGGCATATGTGAGAAAATTCCTCATCGCAATTGCAAACGATTTGTCGGACCTGCATGAACTCGCCCAGCAGCTAGATAACCTTGTAGGCCTCTTGTTGCTCGAATGCTACAAGACCCGAATATGCATAGATTATAACCCGGGGGAGATTTTGGTCTCTTGTATTTTCAAAGCTGCGTGTCTACTGACTGTTTCCGGAGCTTATCCCCATGTATTCGGGACTCAGTCAAAAGATTATTTTAAATACATCAAAGAAATGAATTCCCGTTTGAATAACTTCATCTCGGCTCTGGGCAAGCGCGAGATAGGAGCCGAGAGAATAGCGCAGTGTCTTGCTGACATGCGGCTATTGATGGACAACTAAGTTAAATCTTGATTGTATTAAGTTCACTCATTATGTTTATGTGTCGGATGTTTGTGGCAGCATGGGTCACGACATGCCACGTTGGTGTCCTAATTTGCGACACCCAATACAGCCGCAAGGTGAAATGTGACACTAGGGTCATGTCTCAATACAGGGAGCCATGATAACCAACTGTGAAACTTACCCATGGGGTTCAACAAATCGCCTATAGCGCTCGAAATCCACCTCTCTACAGTGGATCGTTGCAACTTCACCGAACACTCTACTTTTGTCACCACCCTCAATCCCCCATGGTTCTAACGAAAGCAGCATTTGCGTTTTATCAGGTTTTCTCACATTCAGGAGTACAGGGGAGCAAGTTCGGTCTGTTTGATCAACTGTATCTATATACGGAGGCAGAGCACGTCTTTCTTCGTCTCTTACCGAGCGGACCGAGTTCATCGTAGAACTCCCCTCATTGTCTACTCTTGTAATATGGTAGCATCGGTATCTTTCGAATTCGACGTAGTCCGTATATAGACGTTTTTTTCGAGTGCTGTGTGCGCTAGGGCTTAGAATAGAGAACGCTGGACTTAGAACGGTGGCAATTGCATGGCCCTCTTCTTCGTCTTCTGCGGTATTCACGTGATCATTACGAAATTCGCCGTAACAGTGGTTTGATCGATGTTCCGCCAGTAACTTAGCCATTGTTAACCATAGACGATACTCTCCACTCTTGTCAAAAAGATTGAACCACGGTCGAGTCACGTCAGCTTCTAACTTTAGCAACCGCTTTAGAAAACACATCAGTGGAATTACCCACCACTCTAGATTCGCATACTCACATTTAAATCGCTCGCAACTAATATATTTGTCGACATCTATTGTCCACGGTGGAGGGTGCCTATCTGGCTTTAACACACCCATAAAAACATTCGAAAGAGTTTGACGATCCGCGTCCGTGAAATGACTCGAATATCGACGTTTTAGTGTTGTCAGAAGCTGAAGGGACCTGCTTAAAGCATTGCTGGTTCCTTCGTATTTACGCAGCGCCCTAGATCCTGCGTATTGCATAGCCAGAGCGTCGCCCATCGATTCGAACATGTTTTTGAAAAGCTCTAGCAAAGGTTCCAGTGTTCTATTAAATCCAAATTCTTCATTATTTATGGGAGTTGACTCAGTGAAACTCGTTATATTGCACTCCTCTTGCACTTCACGGTTTTGAACCTGGATACCAAGCATTTCCAGCTGCTTCTGGAAAATGAAAAGGCCCAGTTGCATGGTAACGACGCTTGTTCTATCTAGGCAGTCTAAGCAGCTAGTTCGCAAAACTCCAGTTTGGACGCTTAATATTGTCCCATGCCTCAAATGGAAATAACCAAGCTCTTTCGCTGAGTGTTCGATGAGTTGGGTAACCATATGATGTATATCTCCACGTTCCAGAGCACCTCGTATATTGCGGTGTATGTATTGTATTTGCAACGTCGACGGCAGTTCGGCATTTATGGACTTTACGATGCAGTCGTAACGTTCAGATAATTGTCCTTCATCCGTCATGGTGTCATCAGAGAGCAGATTGAGCATGATAAGTGGGACCCCGTATGATGTAAAAAGCTCCGCTACATGTTTTCTTGGTGCTGTATATGCAGGATCATTTTGTGGGTAGGTGAGTGGAGGTTTTTTCACGATAGTCTTCGTGGTGTCTTGTGCCCAAAAGGTGGGAGTAGACCCACGGACCTGTACAAATGAGTATATGGAGTCCGTGCACGTAACATCCTCAAGAATCTGTTCCGTTTCCACGTCGTTTGCCACATGCCCCGAGGCTGTGATTCCTCTTTTCCTGTAACGTGTTCCTGCGTAGAATCTCGAACGTCTGGCTATAAGGTGGATGGTGAGGCTCCGCCCGGAAAGGTTGACGGTGGTATGGGCGAAGTGACCATGTATAACTCGCAAACAAAAACCCTCAGCTCTTGTTCCGAAGTATTCACTAAGCTTTCTTGAGTGGACGAAGTTGTATTTGAACTTCTGAGTGACAACACCAGCGTCTAGAGGTATCCAGCCTGAGTCATCCTTGACACATTGCTTATAGGAGTAGTTAGCCTGTAGAGAGTTTGCGAGGTTATACGTATAGCTGAAATAAAAGTTGTTCAAAACGTCGAATTGATTAAACAAGCTACAGTAGTAGTTCTCGATATCGGTGTTAGGACATGGGTAATACAATGGTACCAGTTCCTTGCCTCTTATTGTGTAGACGTCATGTTGGCCCATAATACACCCATATCGTTCAACGTCGGTAATAACGATGAGGTAAGGTCCTTCGGTAAAACACACCATACCAAGGATCCCGAAACAGCTACATTGCCACTGACCAAAGTCGCCGGATTGGTATTTTTCTGACGTCAAATCTTCTGAATCGTCACTCGACAAAGGCTCTATGCTGTAATCTCTAGAGTTTTTGACAAATGTGATTACCCGTCTACCTGGTTCGACTATGGTAACCTTTAAATCGGTCTGAAAAACAGATCCACACCGTACCACTTCCTCAATATTCATGGTCTCAAACAAAATATAGGGTGGCAGATACTATATTCACTAGGTCATAATGCAATTTAGGACTACAATCTTTGGGTTTCTGTTTTCGTGCCCCAAGAATCGTTAGATCCTTATTTTCCTTGGACTATCAACAACCCGTCTACGACATTTTTTTCGTGCCATTTGGTCGCATCATAATTCCTGTATCACTCTACCAACACTGCGTACACCGACAAGAGGCTTTATCTGTAACCGAAGTTAGCGACGTATAGAGTTGACCGAGTACAGCTACGTTTACATCGACAAAGAACCTCCCGCTGCTCTGAAATTGATCAAACGTAGTGACGTATGGTATTACAACCCGGAAATATTATTTATAGTTCGTCCGATGCCTGACTTACTGTATCCTCGTCTTCCTGGTCATCGTCGTCCTCTTTCATTAGTGCTTTGCGCAGAACTCCTGGTATACATTTCCCTATGGTACGGAAACATTCGAAGTTAAGAGCGGTGTCTAAGGTGCAGAAAGTCGACAGCTGGTCGATGGTACATTCGGTGAAATAGTGGGCCCCTCTCTTGATTCTGTCGACTATTTCCTCTACACGGTTTGTTTATTACTAGTAATAACACACTTACCAAAAACCAAGTCGTTTTCTTGCTTTACGGGGTCTGCAGCTGGTACTAATGTACCCGCAACAAGCAACAGCAACGTTAGACAACGTAGAAGCTTTTTACATGGAGAAGCGGCATCCATCGCAATTTGTCATTTATTACACCTCCTCGTAATAATTATCCCCGATGTATAATCTGTTATGGCAGAAGTTTGGGCGATCGCCAACTTTGCCTTAATTCGATTGGCGTGACTTGTGTTGTCGCGTATTTCACGTGCTGATATTCGCGTATAGCATCACAAACTCAGACTTTAACACACCTCTATATAAAATTTTCGCTTTTTAGAAGACGATGGTTCTGTTTTGATTTAGTGTTGTATTGTCTACTTATTGGCCGACGTGGATTCCCACTGGCCCTGTAATCGTCAATTGTGGCACTTACGGACTTCTTATCAGCTTTAGTCTCCACGTGAATCGAAGTGTTAATAACACCATAACAATATTGGTTCATCTGATCTAATCATAGTATGTCTTTGACAGATACACCCTTTCACTGAGTGACTAGAAGCTCACATAACAGGAGACATCTCGTCGGATCCAGCGACTGATAAAAGCTGCTAGCACTATTAAAAGAGCGTATCACGTGTCGACAAGGTATTCGTGTGCCATGTGTATATATGAGGATATTTTGAAGAGTCCAATATTACTTAGCATCATAATACGAAGCAAACCCGGGGATTCCCGCAATACTAATCGGCATTCAAATGTTCTATCCGATTCCAGAGCTTCGGTGGATGCCTGGAAACCAATGAACGAATCTCATTATCGAGGAGACAGTCGATACACGAGGAACTTCGCGCTCTGTGAATGACGATTTTACCTCCTCAAGGTAGCCATTGTCACGTGCTGATTTGCTCTATGTTATTCCACTGACACACAGAGAAAATCGTTTGCAAGATAGGCTTACAGTAAGCACCGGGGTCAGTGTTTGTTATCCTGGTCGTTGATTACAACCCAACCGAACACTATTTGGTGTTGCTTACTGGTGTTGTTTGATGACTGTTGGTCAGGCTCCACGTCTAACGGTCATTCCTCCAGACCGGGGATCGTTCCCCCTTGACCACGAGGGTCTCTGCAAAGAAGTCAGTAATCGTTACCTAAAGTGTGTCCAACAACTTAAGGGGAACGCATTCGACTGTCGTGCTCTGGCGGCTGAATATATGAAATGTCGTATCGACAATAAGCTGTTGGCAGAAGAACCTCTAGTTAATTTGGGGTTCCGCGAGAGCGAAATTAACGCAGACGCCCGGTTACCTAAAACAGCAGTACCTGGAGACGTATTAGTGAGGCAACGTGAGGACAGAAAGGAGTCCCAGGGTTTCGTTGCAGGCCAAAGTGTAGTTGAGAATTATGCAAGGGAACAGTCAATCCTATCCAAGTTCTTATCAAAATTCTTGAATTGATACTTTGACTCTAAACTCTTGTAAGGACAATTAAGATAGAAATCACGAATTGTGTCTCACAATTCCGAGCTACTTTGATTGATACATTCATTTGTCTTTTCGCAATGGCAGAAAACACCGATTCGAATATCCCCGGCGAAGACTGGGCACCATGGACTGTGTATAACAGTTCAAATGTCTACGTATGCCGTAGTTTATCGCACCTATTGTATAGGCTGCATACAGCACCGAGTCAGAAGCATAAGTTTGTTCTTTCGACTCACATAAGGAACTTCGAGGATTCCTTTCGCTCATCTGAGGTTTGTTGAAGACGGGAATATTGTATTCATGCTATCGTAGGTTAACACCGCCAGGATCATCATGGCCCTTGATCCTGATTACCTAGCTCTAATGCTTCGATCATCAGTCTCCATTGCCAGTTGTGCACTGTCGATCATCACGTCACTGGTCTGCGATGATGCTTCTGCACGGCATCTGGTCACACTGCTGCCTCATATATGTTCATTTATGTCGTTCCTGATAGAGAGTGATGATAAAGTTGACCCTACAACTGAGGAACTGCTGCAGCGTTGTTCTTTCTCGGCGTCACACCTTAAGGCCAGGTTGATCTCAGACTGCCTTTCTATTCTTACCTCAATGGCACTATTACTGGGCAGAGACACGATTAATGCGAGTACTATGGACAGTATTGACCTTACAGAGGCGGTTGATGACCTCTCGCGGGACATGTTCGACGTTGCTATCGCCGATGACGGGGCATATAATGAGAACGCTGGTAAGTGTATCACTCTGTCGCTATCGTACATTACGATTATTACAGCTACCGAGAATTGCCATCTGTGCGAACTTATCGAACGTCGCGAATTCAAAGAAGCGGCAATGCTGGCTGAACAGCTGGAACGGGAGCTTGATGCGTTAGCTGCGGCTCACCTGGATGAGTCCATGGCACAGGCGGCAGAAGCTGCGGAGACACGTGAGGAAGCAGACCTTTGCATGGGACCTCTACTGCTTCGACTGGGTCAGTCGATTTTACAATCATTGTCGTCAGCTAAGGGCGACCACGCTGCCTCTGATATCGCAACTATATATCTGACATCGCTGAAGTGCACAATGGAACTTATACCCTCACCCCAAAGATCTACACTCCTGGGTGAATGTTTGTCATCTGATAATTTAGACGTGATGGTAATGCTCTTCGAACTCTGCACGACCTCAGAGTCGACGCTCAGCGGCGCCGAGGAACAGATTCGCATCTCGTCCGCGGCTGCAAAGCTCCTAGATCAAAGTCTACACAAATCTGGGATAGCTTTGGCAAGCTCGTTCCTTGCACAGATGTTGGAAAGGTACGGGCTTGCCGCACTTGGGTACGATGCCGAAAATAAGGATGGTGGTAGTGACCTTATGAAGCGCCTCTGCGCACTTGTTCGGCGCACTGAAATCGAGATACACCTGGGATTGTATGATTTCTTAAGGTGTGGGTCCTCTGTAGGTGGTGTTAGTGCATCATTTCTCCTCTTGGAGACCATTTTAGTAGGACTTGGTGAGCAAGAGTCGTTGTTACCATCATGCCATGTTAGTCATTTTACCTTTTCAATCATTGTTATTAGGACCTTTTCGCTACTATACATCGTACTATGAATACAGTATTCGAGTTTTTCGATGAACTGGCACCAGAAAATAAGGACAAGGCTGCCGACATGCTTACATGCTGCTCGCGGCTTATAGGCTGCTGGATGACCCTAGAGCCTTTGCATCTCAAGTCATTGGTAATTATTATTACTATGCACATTAACATTGATGCAGTATCTTCGCAAACTACCAAAGATGCTTTCGGTCATTTCACCAGATGATTTCAAGTGGCTTCTACCCACATTCGATTATATCGACGCTGTTGATCTCGATGCAGTGCCATCAATACTGTCGGCATGTTTGAATTGTCTGTCGCTTGCCGCAGCCGAGGTAATGGATGTTGGACATACGGCGACCAATGTTTGCAATGACAACAAAACCTTTTCTATGTGTTATGGCATGTTGGAACGTCTATTCCTAGAAGGCACTACTGACTGCGCTGCTATGTTAGCATCGGTTGATTTAGGAACATTCCGCTCATCAGCACCTCATGAGTTGCGTGGTTTCGATTATGGGAAGATAATCGAACGTGGTAACGTACACTTCTCCCCGAGACCGCCTCTTGAAGTCTGCATTCCTATACCGGTTGATATACACGCGGTTCCAGGCGCAACAGCAGGGGCGCAATGCGTTGTAGAGTTGATGCAGTCAGACCTGGTGGCTATGCTGTGCTGCTGCCATCCAAGGCTGCGCCGCTCTACGGAGTCTCATAAGGATACACCTATTGATTTGAAAGCAATACATGAGGCAATTGATGGTTCTCTTACAAGTTCCGCTGACTTGAGGTCGGAATGGTCGGATACGCTGTGTAAGGCATCTCTGGCTACCGCAGCTGTTTGTCTCTGTCGATTACACCAGAGCGACGTGCGAACGTTTATGGAAGGTTCAGCAGCCTTCATTGTGATGGTTAGTGTTTACTTTGTTAGTGTGACCTTTGTATTTAGGAGTGCGTTGCGGCATCTTTTGCGTACCTTATCCCACGAAGCCCTGCTGACTACTCCGCATCATTAGATGACAACACGACGCTTTGGTTCAGAATCGCTCTGTGTTGTACCGTGTTACTGCAACGACAACCGTTGTTTATCAACGTTTTTGCCTTTGTCTGTCGTAAGGTAGGATTCTACCATGTCATTTTCACTGGCACTTTAGGTACACCTTAAACCCGTGGACGCACACCCCGAGGCATTACAATGTCTTGTTGATGATGGATGGATCTCCGCAGATAGCGCTTCATCAGCGGAATTCGTGTGTTCGCTGGCGTCTGCCATACGCTGATTCTGTTCGTGGGGAAATACCGCGAATATTTGACCAAAATTTCAATGTAATATTTGCACAATATTATCCTGTACGATGACTCAGCTCATATAAAGCAGAGCTGCACGATGTCTACGGAATCTGCACCGCCGCCTATGGCAGGCGGAGATGAGCCAGAGAAGGCAGAATCTGCTTCTACAAAGGACGCTACTGATTGCTGTGTCGTGAGGTTACACAATGTACCGGCACAAATCGATGAAGAATCCTTAAAACAGGTCATGGGTCATTTCGGCCGAGTGAAGCGTTGCCAAGTTGTGCTTGGAGAGAGCACACATTCTGCCTGTGAAGCGTATGTCGTAGCTGAAGTTGTACAATTTGCTTAGGTATGTACTTTTCAAGCATCCCCGAGAGGCTGCCGCTGCTTTGAAGGCAAATGAAAAACTGGAATGCGGTGGATGTACGCTGAAGATCAGCTTATGGGAGGGAGACTTCCCATCTGAATCAGTGGCTGCCAGTAAACGCACGTTACCGGGTAATAGTAACGATGCGTGTTGGTTTTGTCTGTCTAATATCGCATGTGAGGACCATATGGTGGTCTACGTCTCGGAACAGGTGTGTCGAACAGTGTTGTAGTTTATTGGCCACAGAGCTACATAGCCATCGCAAAGGGACCTATCGCCCGTTACCACAGCTTGGTAACTCCAATTTATCATTATCCTAGTGCGGCGTCAGCATCTAGACATGTGCTGGAGGACATGCAGCGACTTGTTGATTCCCTTTTCGACCTCTGCCTGAAAAGTGGGATGGGCGGTATTGCCTTTGAACGCTACATGCCAATGCAAAACCCTAATGCTATGCACACCCAGATTCAAGTTGTGCCAGTGCCCCTAGATCGGGCGATGGATGCCTTCGCTTACGTGAACGATTCGGAGCATTTTGTGGGTTCGAAGGTGGAGGCTTTGGGCGAGCAGTACCCAACCTCACTTATGTGTCTGGAGGGACGTCTAGATGGATTAGAAAGATCATATTTTTATTTGCAGGCAGTTGGCAGAAACACGGGCGAACGAGGAGGGCTAGTCCATTCTCACTGCCTGTGGACGCTTGGTCACCGCGGTGGCGGCCGACGCATTCCCATAACTTTCGGACGTGAGCTCGTGCTAAATTTGCTACCAGATTCTGCTGCGGAACTCATGCCATGTATGTCGGCTGTGTCATCACCACCAGAAGGCTCTTGGAAGGAGATGGCACTGGATTGGCGTAATTGCATAACCAACAAGGAAACCGAATCACTCTTGGCACAGGAGCTGTCTAAATCTCTTATTGACATCTCGAACTAGAGTTAACAACATTAAGGTCACATCCATAATGGATTTGTTATCATAGCTGACTGGTTGTATCCGTCGTCTCTCGTGAAGAGCGTACGCAGTCAACACTGCAAATATAACACACTGAAGTTTAATATAAATATGTGTAATCCTATTAAAAAGTTTGAATAACGTAAAGTAGGGCCAACTTAGTTTGGAATCTTGTGTGTCGAATATACAACACGCTGGATACCTTTATACTTTAATGAGTTGCACATAAACTGTATGCGCATCATTTTCATGACTATTCGTCACATATTACCATAGGTACCTCATGACCTAGGAAGGAAACTATCGTATTACTAATCGCTATCGCATCTGCCGAACTCACCATGGACACCAATATCGTAAATTCGCGCAAAAAGCGCAGACCACATGGAAAACAAATCGCTAAACGTCGCTCTAAATGCCCATCTACACGAGTCAAGTTCTCTAAGGTGGCCTCTACGGTTGACAATGACGAGAGTGAGAATGAAGGATCAAGGGACGATGTCGCAATGGTATCAGACAACGAATCTAAAAGTGCCAGTTCTGATGAAGGTTCTGACGATGTGTCAGGAGCCGATATTGAGGTTGCAGATGAGCTTTCAGATCTATCCGAGTATGATATGGATGACGTGAGCGACGACGAATCTGATTCCGATTCGGAAAACCTACAGTTTTCAGATTCTGAAGACTCTGATTCTGAATTTGATGGCGATGTAGAAGCTGGATGTCGTATAGTATCGGCAGATTTGGCGGAAAAACTATTGAAAGAAGCCAGAAAACTAACTGATGGTGCTGTAAGACGGTTGGTAGCTGTCTACGGTTCTTTTATAAGGCGTGTAGCCCTGCAACGGTCATCCGTCTCCATAGATAAGGGATCTAAGTCGAAGGATGCTGACGCTTCAGCTAAAAAAAAGGGTGGGAAGCGTGGACGTGTCCGCAGTGATACAATGGCAAGCCGCGGCATGTCTACGAGGTTCCGTGAGACTCCTAACCGATACGCACCTTCGAATAATGATGTATACAGCTATATAGTGATAGAAGCGTTTTCTATCGTAGAAGAGTACTTGCGGCGTCACGAATTATCTTTTTCCAACACTGGCATTGTAGATGTAGCAACGCTTTTCCGCAAGTTCCTATCATCAGTGGTTGTGCAGCTTGGTTTTTGTTTCGAGGACTTAGATCTTTGTCGATGTGCGCTGAACACTTTAGGGGGCGATGTAATGATGCCCTGGATTGTTAGTCTGAAGACTTTCCAAAAAGAAGTTGTGAAAGTGGCATGTTCGCTGCTAACTCACCACAAGGAACGTGTAGTACGCATACACGCCCTCAAGATGCTGCAACGTTATCTGATGTGCGTGCGTGAAGAGAATTATCATCGCATCCATATCTCACAGACGCCGGCGGGTGTAATGAAGGTTGAGCGCATGTCGTCGCAACAAGTTCACGATTTCTGTAACAACAGCCTGAATTTCGTGCTGAGCCGAAGTTACAGGACATTGGTTTCTGCGTCTTGTATCGAGCGCACATTGAAGAACTTTGCACTATTCAAGCTAAGCCAAAACTGCTTGGCAGAGCTATTCAGCGAAGCTTCAGCAGCAAACCTCTACACATTCGCTTTCAAAAGTATACGTGATTTGGGGATAAATGTGCGCCGCGAATGGTTGGCGATTAATGACCAGAAGAAACGTAAGCGCAAACCTCAAAAAGCAGGAAGTAGTCACAGCATAGTTTTACCAGTGTATTCATGGGGATTTGTTGATGCTATAAACTTGTGGGTATCGGCTCTGGTGCGTTGTTCCGATAGATTGGAACCTTTGTCGTACCCTCTAGTTACTGTCATTTCGGCAGCCGTCAAGATCAAAATGCCTCAGATGGCATACATGCCTTTCGTGCTACACATGCTTACAGCACTTAATCAGCTAGCCGATGGGTTAGAACGTTTTGTACCACTTGGTTCGTATATTTTCAACCTTTTGGAACAGCTGCGCAACAAGGACATAAGCAAGATGCAGCGCAACGAGGCAAAACAATCACGAAAGCTCCTGGATAATACAGACGATATAATGGTACTCCTACGCCTGTCAAAGAAACAGAAAGATGCCAGTGAAACCTACCGGATGCTTTACAAGCATGTGGCACTTGTGTTAACAGATCATGTAGGTCTGGTGGCTTTACACCCAAGTTTCCCCGAGTTCACAGTTCCCATTACAGCATACCTGCGAAGGTACCTCAAGAGCCAAAGGGTTCGTTTATATATACAGACATACATAGTGTTCAGGTCGAGCCAGGATTCCGGAGCTCAGCAACAAAGCTTCTCTCACTTATGGACGAATCGGCAACAGTTGTGCTCGAGAAACGTTCATCTATTGACCTAGAACAACGGGGTGAGATGCGTCTTAAGCACTTCGCATCAGAAGCGAAACAAATTCCGGTCTATCGCTACAGAATGACACAGTTGGTGCGGTACCAGCATATTAACAAGGAAAAGGTCGAGGGCACGCTATCTGCAGCGGCGCTATAATTACGTATATTCTAACTGCAGCGACTGAAAGGTGTTCTCTATTGCGGTGAGAACCTTCCCTGTGCGTACTCTTTTGTAGAAGATAGGGCAGTCGCGGTTGTCGCAAATGACTTCGTTATGAAGACTCCCTTGGCAGCGCTGGCATTGTGACCACAGGTCGAAATAGTCGGCCTCCTTTTGTCGCCTTTCCTCAAGCTTCTGCAGCAGAACCTACAGCAATTTTAAATTCCCCAATAAATGCATTTCATTCACATAAGGCCGCACTAAGTGGACGTCCATACACCATATTTAGAACGATCACTCGTAAAAGCCAAGCGAACATACATAGACACCTACCTGCTGTCGTTTCTCGTTGGTACAGTGGTCACAGAACGGCGGCGTCTTGATAACCGTCTTGCACCCTAGACAGCGTTCTACTTTCTTCATGAACATAGATAGGGCGCTGTCTGATGACGAAGTCATGGTTACAAAGCGGGTATGTTCTCCGCAAAACAGGGACTCTGGATTTGGCATGATGACCTCAAAAATTCTCATGAGGGTAGTTTTAATAGCGTCGAGGTAATGCTGCGTGTCTACGGGGATGCTGTTCTCTACCACGTAGAGCGGCTCCTCAGCGCGATCAAACTGTGGCTGCCCTTTCGTACCCTTTACGATAAGATAACTCACACGGTCGCCCACCGAAGGCGCTTTGCCTGGATCACGATTTCGAAGCTTCTTTGCCAGTTCGACATGAGGCAGTCGAGCATCGTAATCGACCTTACCAAGCGATTTAGTAACGACGAGTAAACTAATGTCGATTTCATTACGAAGTAGCTCACTGATTTTCGTCTTGACAAATTCAATTGCTCCGTTGAGATCAAGGTCGATCAAAAGCATGTGTAAGATCTTTTCCATCATCTGTTGTACCAGCAGACAAAAGTCACGACGTACAGTTTCGATACCTTTGCAATCTATCTTCTCGTATGTTTCCGCGTTAGTGTAGTATAACCCTGCATAACGCTTCTTGGCAAGCAGCAGTAGCGGGAAATATACCTTCTCAAATAGCAAGGTTATGGGACTTACTGCCTCACTTGTTATTCTTGTGGCAGCCTCAACACCAAGCTCAATGGCACGCGAGATATCTTTGGTGCCAAAATTAATCATCACGGAATCTGTGTCACCGTAAACAACCTTTGCGTCGGCTGCGTAGCCGTTGGCGGTCGTGAAGTACCGCTCAATCTTTTCTTTCGTGTTCACAATCATAAAACGACCGAAGGAGGTGATAGCTGTAGCTACTTCTACGCATGGTAAAAATCCGCTGTTTGAAGCTCCAGTGTAACCGTACACAGAGTTTGTGGTAATCTTTAGGGCGAGCTGTCGTCCATCGAGGACACTGCGCATCATAGGGTCGCTACATGTTTTCATCTCCTGTTTCGTACGTTTACGAGCCTCCATTAACCTTTCCACGATCATCGGTAACATACCCTTACGTACATGTGCCTTGATGAAATGGAGACCGGGATGACCCGGTACCGATGTCAGATCCTCCGGAGGGTAATTAGGCACATCAAACGGGGGCACCAGTGTCGAATAACACAAATTATGGGCGATCATAATAGACGGATATAGCGATTGAAAATCAAGCACTGCAATGGGGTCACGGTGGTAACCCTTTTGAGGCTCTAGGACTGTTCCTCCCTCGTATGTGCCATCGGCAGCAGCGGCACGCTGCGCAGCGTTCACCACTGGCACTGCATAACCCATTGTTTTACATTGGCTGTAGATCTGCATAGTCACACGGATCTGCTGTCCTCGACTAATTAACATTTTGATTGGAGTCGAGGTCACACGTGCCATTTCGACGTAGTTGAAAATTAACAGCAATTTATCAATCAGAAGAAGAGGAAGAAGAGAATCCTTTAGACAATAGCTTGCAATACGACGCCGGTCAGCTGGTGATCCAAGTTGTAACTTGGACATTGTCGAATGGTGTACATCCTCCTTCTGCTGTTTCAGGAACTCGAACGAAACATAGTTTAGCGTATAAGATTTCAATTTATGATCACGACGTACAAGGTCGTAGACATCAAACAAAATGCGCCCTTCTATGTTTATGTCTTTGTTCTCGAAGGTACCCAATGTATTATTCGATTGGATGACATCTCGTACCTGGGTACGAACCCGTGCAATCCGTGGAAGTTGTGTAAATCCATCAAGTTGCAACGCATTTGCGCGATTGATAAGATATGGTATATCGAAGTTCACAATGTTGTAACCCGTCAAGAAGTCAGGGTCAGCTGATGTAAAAAATTGCTTCCATGCCAACAACAGCTCCTCTTCAGTGGCGAAAGAAAGGACATGGGCGCCATGCAAATTGTCACATTCATTCAATGTAAAAACGAATTTTTGTGCCAAATCCAGACTGTCACCATGCGTATGTAGTACGGAAGCGATCTGTATAACAGGGTCGTTTTTGGCGTTAGGGAAACCTGGCCCTGTGAATTTGACACACTCAATATCAAATGACAAAATCCTTATGGGACCAATAGACTGCCATTCGCCTTCCAATGGCATTGGGATGAGGTTCTCCACGTTTGTTGTCACCTCAATGCTGCAATGACTAGTCTTGTGACTTTCAACTTTATACGTGCCTTTAGGCAACCGCAACCAACAGCCACCTGTGATATTGCTATCGAGCAGAAACCTTAGCACATATGGCAGATTAGCCTCGCAAACTTGTCTTGGAAACGCAATCCTAGTGGCGCTGTTGCTATTGGAAGGATTCATAACTGGTAGCGCTATCCCGGACTCAATGTAGCTGCGGAGCGCTGAAACCATTCTAGGCAGCGAGGTGGTAACCTTGAGAAAGTCACGCTCGCCATTGGGCTTGTACATCAATAAGGGTGTGATCCTAACAATGCTGATGTCTACAACATAACGGCATGTTTTCTTGAATGCCGGTAACTCCATGAGATGCTTGTTGAAGAAGTCAATCAATAGCGGTATATGTTCCTTCTTGAAATTAAGTGGTTTTTCCACGTAGAAGTAGGGCAAAAAGTTCTGCACATTAATCAACACACTGTGTTGGTCACGTGTCACTCCGTACAGCCGAATTATTGGCACCTCAACTGTCTTCTGTTCAATTGGAGAGCCCTTGTTGTTAGCAACTTGGTCAGCTGTCACGAACTTAGTGTCACCTTCCACCTTCTCTAACCAGCTTGTATAGTCAGCATCGGTTTGGAATATCACAATGTCTTCAAGTGCATTCACGTCCACCATAGGACGTTCACAGCGCCTAAAGATCTCATCGCAATCTGTACCATCCATGGCACGCATACCCATAGAAGGCTCCTGGTACTGCGTACTGGTCTCCATCTCGATGAAAGGATGATGTTACAGTTGTTTTGCAGATGATTCAGCTTCCGGAAGCTGACCTCGGTAGTAGGTGTATTCCGTATCCGCAGTATTTAGTTGCAAATCAATCCCTAAGGGCTATCCAATACTTCTGCGATGTAACACACAGTTTAACCTTCTTCACATGAAAAGCGTAGGTGTGTCTGCTGATAAGCGAAGTAGAATAATATGGCCCATTCGCCAAGTTGTATACACGGTATATAACTATGAAGAATATGTAAAAAATCTTCACTAATGGTAGCAATGTTTCTACATTACAAACGTAGATTATGCGAACCGTGCCATTATGCAGTAATGACGAGGGTCCGCTGTAACCGAAATGATGTCGCTTTTTCGATATGCAGAAGGCAGCGTTACCCTTTTCATAAAGTCACACACATACAAGTAATAGATGTAAGAATTGTAATTCAACCAGAATGCACATGTGTAGCCCCTCTAGAGTCATCGAGCGAACGCGCCATGTGAACGAGACGACCACCGCCTTTGTGGTGTGCAGTTGTCTATCGGACCATACGCTAGCCTCTTTTTCCAAGTTTTTGACTTAAATATACATAGGCGCTAAGCTGTTACATTGGTCATTTGCTTAACTATGCAAGGTTGATATACTTACGCTTCACCAACATATGGACTTTATCCGCAAGGCCCTAGTGGGCGGTTGCCGGCTCGATGGACGCCAAATTGATGACCCGCCGCGTATAACAGTCGAGCCACTTGTATCTGCAGTCGCTCACGGTAGCTGCCGAGTCACGTTCGACGATACCGTGGTGGTAACGACGGTCACGGTATGTTGAATCAATACACGATATATGTATCGGCCTTCCATACGCCGATACAAACTAACATGAGTCTGTACACTGTGACAAAAAATATTGGGCACTTTACAAATCCTGTGTACCATTAGATGTACTTCATCATCAATTGTACTGTTTCAATATTATTCGTTACTCACCGAAGTAGGGTTCTTTTGCTTCGTAGTTGTGCATTTTATACATAAACCACCCAAGTATATGCGAATATATATATAGTTCGGCTTACACGCCTGATGCAATGCAGTTCACTGTTACCGCGCCGCTTAAGAATACTCCGGATGAGGGCAGCATCGAAATCACCGTTGGGTCATCCTTCACCCTAGAGGACACAGAAGTATCGCAGAAACGCGATGAAAGGATGGCATATGTGCTAGAGTTATTAGAGTTCCAGAGGCAAAGATTTGACCGGAGACTGCTCTGCATCCTACCGGGACAGTTCGTTTGGAATGTAAAACTACACAGCAGTATAGTTCAAAGAGGCGGCTCCGTTGCAGACGCCATTAGCGTCGCAATAATAGCAGCATTACGCACGGCGTCAATACCAAACCTACATGTTTTAATGAGAGACGAGTGGGCAGGCACCCGAAGTGGAAGCAATGTGAAAGTCAGACTCGCTGAGGGGTACAACCTAAACATACAAAATCTAGCACTACAGATACCAGTATGTGTCACGGTTGCTTGTGTTGCGGATACTCACGTCTGGGCAGTGACACAAGAGGAAGCGGAATGTGCTGATGGTTTCTTGACGGTTGCCGTTGCCCAGGACGGCAGCTGTGTCGGAGTGCGTGCCATAGGATCGTGCCTTCCGATGCCTATTATCGCAGGACTTGTCGAAAAATCGTGCAAAATAGGACTCTATCAGCATCAGCAAATAGCACGGGCATTTGAAATGACATCAGGGCATAAATAACGCAGTCCATAGAAAATACGTACTGACGCCTCTCAAAGCTAATCTTTGGGACGGTACAGAAATACTTTGTTTAATGAGTAGTGACTATCGCACAAGCGTTGCTATATCTCGCTTAAGTAGTACAGTGGGCTAGATTCTAGTACACGTTGTATGGACGCAAAATTGTTGCGGTAGTTGACCAGGGAATCCTTCATTGTGCCTATACGAGGTTTGATCGTCCTCATACGTTTGTACCGATCTTTCATAGCTGGGCGCACTGGCCTTGATTTCCTACCATCGCGGCGTATAGAGTGGCCTAACGTAGCTAGATGGTGCGGAAGTCGACCATCGGGCAGCTCGATATGCGGTACCAGGTCTGGGCACTTAATTGCCTCATTGACATAAGGAGGAAGTTTCAGCTTGATCCTCCACGCCTCATATGCTTGGCAGTGAGCACGAGCGGCGTAAAAAATTAAGTCCATTACCTTTGGTCCAGAAAGGCCCAAAGCCTCTGCTAACTCTGGCCCAGTCCAACTGCCATTTATAAACAAACGAAGATACGCCATAAACACGAAACGCGCAATACGATCATCTAATGCCTCTACAGCAACCATTCGTAGTGATCTGCGAAGAACACTGTCGCGTTTATACTCCAGCGACCAAGGTTTTAATGGCTGGCATTCCGGCGTTAGGTAATCCTCATATTTGTCGTAATCGAGCAGATGACCACCTACGAAACCTCGTCTACGTCTAAATCGACTAGGTTTGTCGGTATTTAGTACTAGTTTGGGACCAGAAGATTCACGAATCCTTGCGGAGTCCAGCGCATCCAAGATGCCCTCAAAAGGTACCTCCAAACGAGCCGACATCTCCTCATTTATCACACGCTTAGTTTCAGTCAATCTCTTCGCATAATCGGACGATCCCTCAGGAACATCAATATAAGCACGTTCAATCGCCATGATCCTCTGCGCGAAAGGATTGTCACGGTAAAGGTCATCTGGCAAAGGTATACCACGCTGAAAAGACATACGTACTTCTGAGGCGATACGGGCCCTTAGCAACAAGAGTTCACGATGCAGAATCCTAGCACGGCACGCCAAACGGTATTTACCGAAGGGTAAGTGATCTGGCAGTTTTGCTTTGAGATATTCGTGCTTCGCAGCAGCACAAGACACACCATATAGCTGACTGATAACCTTGTCCCCTTGAGATGACATTGTGTTTAGATGGATTGATGAGATACGGTGCCACAATACTTCCGAGGAAATTGGCTCTACATTGTACATGTGAGGGTCAATTAGCTCCAAATTGCCAGACCTGAATTTACGTTTTATTTGGTTCTCTGATTCAATCTTCAACAGAATTAGCTTGCCAATGGGAAGTGCAAATGCCTCGAAGTATCGCCTCGCGTGCCACCGAGAAACACGAATAGTCTCCTCCAATTGCCTAGGGTCGTCATGACCCAGAGTAAACGCCAGTTCAGACATGCTGGGAGTACGACCTAGTAATTCTTCTAGCACCTTTATCCAGCTACTTAAAAACACATCATCCTTAACCCACTTGAATAGTTGACAAACATGCTGGCGTATTGGCTTGGGAAGCGCTGATGATGTGCCGTGATACTCAATAACAGAGTCGCCTTGTTCCAATCGTGAACGCACCACAACATTACATAAGTGATTGCGTAGCGCAGAACGGTCAATTCGGAGTTCCTTTAACCGTGGCTTCGAAAGGGATTCCAGATCGAGACTATCAAAGTCCATAATTCCACACGGCGATGTAAGCTTGGTCTGAAAAACCCTTTCCAGAGTAGAGACCAAGGGTGGCTTTAGGTATTTGTCATAAACAGTCTTCAGGAACCCACGACGCAGCGTGAACATAGTTACAGGGATCTCGAGAGACGGTTGATCCAAATCGCTCACCTCAGTTTCCTCCAAGCTGACCTTGCTATCATGAGTGCCATCACTTTTCCTGATGCCGATTAAATTATCGAAAGATGCCACTGAGCTCGTGCCGTGCCCACTTTTATTTGCGGCAGCTACTTTCTCTTTGGTTGTTCTCCCCTTACCACTGTTTTGTGGTTGTTTAGTGATCGATACGACAAAAGATTCGAAACGGCTGTCGTATTCGGATGGAGGCGCTTCAGTAGTATCGTCTGGAAGCAATAGCGACGAATAATTTGATACACCTGCAGCACGTAGTATATCTGGGTTTAGCATACTAAAAATATTGGTTATACCACCCTTTTCTTCAAAGTCATCCGTTTGAAGTCTAGATAAGCGTTCAGCAGAGTCATCCGAAGGCACAGAATTGAGTCCACGTCCACTCGTTGAAATCATGTTATCTACCGTATCTATAATGGGTTTCTCCGTTAAGTCACTTTGGGACGCGTCAGATGGAAGTTCCCTACTTAGACACTCCGTCTGACATTCCGGAGGTGAAGCTTCGTACTCGGTTTGTGCTTTAACATCTGGGTTGCGTGTAGCCGGAAAGAAAACTGCAAATGTTGTTTTCTTGTTGTTAGTTGAGCGCAGTAATTTCAGCCTTTCATGCTTTGCCAACATCTGTGTGTGTCTTATTCTCGCCAATTCGCGTTTGGTCAGACGAACTTTGGGGCTCTCTGTATCATTCTCACTCCCTTCACCTTGTTCAACAAGTGTACGAGCATGAGCATCTGCATATGTTCCACCCTCATTTGGGGAACTCATTTCGAAAGGCCACTTAAGGCTATCATAACTGTCTGGGTTCTGATGTTCCAAACCACCAGCAGAGTCGCCTGAATCTTGGTCTGAGACAATGGGACAGTCAAAATCAACAACAGAAGGTTCAGGATCTGATGAGTTATCAACATGTGTAGCTGAAGAAGACATTTCTTCCACACATTTGGCTTGGTCTCTCTCCTCAGTATCGTCACCAATCTCGTATAAGTGGGTCAGGTTGGTGTTGACTGATCCAAGGAGTTGATGTAACGTCGATACTATATCAGATACCTTCCCTGTTTGCTGCTCAGAAAACATGCTCTGAATCATGTGCAAACGCCGGTTGGAAATCTTGCCAACCAGTTCGCCCATAGAGTCCGTAGCGAAAACTGAATCTTGGGATGAGTAAGGCGGTCCCGAGTCGATGTTGAGAGAGCGACCGTAGAGCGTCTCATTTTCGGATTGTAGCGGCAGTGAAAACCCTCCATCGGTAACTGACTCCTCGTTGAACACTGTTTGTTGAGCAGCAAGAGATTTGGGCCTAGGAGACATGGCATCTGTGTCAACAGGAGCCTCAAGGCGAGCAGCTGTGAGTGGCATTTCCGGTTCTCTTTGTTCATTTGTAACAGTAGCTACCTTGGAATTACCACCGCTTATATCTACTTTTGAATGCTGTTTTCGCTGCCGTAATAATTTAACAGATGACACTCGGCCCTGGCTTCTCCTAGGCACCATTGAACCTGCATTGTGTTTCACGTCAACACTTCCATTCCTGGAAAGCCTCTTAGAAAGTATGCCCTTGCGTCCAGGGCGTGGTTTTTTGTCGGATAGATTCCCATCAGGATGCGTGGTTGCCAAAGTACTATGATTGCGCCGGCTTCGGCCGGATGTAAGATTCCAGGCGTTATAAATCCCCTCTAGACCGCCACTTACCGTCTCTATACCGTCCCGTGTAGATAAACTAAAGGTGGAGGCTGTGATAAATCCAAGGACCGTCCTACGCCGACAAAAGGTATAGGAGATGTTGGCAAAGCCTACAGAAGCCCATACGCCACTAAAGAGATCGCATAGTGCATACCACGCAACAATCAAGAGAAGTCGCACAATAGGCATTTAAGATGCAGTTAATCTGCGATTAAGTTAGAGGCGCATAATGTGTGTTTGCGGCCGACGCCTGTGGAAGGCCAATGTCTACGCCTATTTATAGGCGGATATCATAAGTAATGATCATATATAGGTATCACGAAGCTAGTACTGCGATATAATTGATGCCGATTTTACACAGTGGGCGACAGCACGTTTATCTGTGGCTACGGGCTCTTGCAGATTCTGGCAGCATTTTGAAGAATAATACCGGCGACTTTTAAGTCACTTATTCTACACATGTGTTCCACAAATATTTAACCATCCATACGGGGTAGGAAGTGAGTCGCTTATGACTCTCCGACGAGCACAGCGATAGGTAACAAGGCAGCAAGATGGACGGGCCGGATTCCCCGATCACCCTCGACGATGTAAGTTCAGTCACAAGTAAAATGTGTCTCTAAATATGCTGGTTGACTGGAATGTGTTTTACGAGACAGTATTTCAACATCTGAGACCTTTCCCATTAGTCGAATGACAAAAACATTCTCCAACTTATGTAAAATGCCAATGAAGCGATTTATAAACATCTTAACATGATGATTGTATCCGCTGTATGAGGTGTGAATGGGTATAAGCGGGTGAAGTGTACTCTGCCCTGACAACAACTAACGTCGTTCATCTATTTTGATAGGTCTGCCGTTTCTACCATCACGATGCCACATTTCCAGCAAAGCTTGCGGAAATGCCACTGACAGACGATTCAGGAGGTCTTATGAAAATAGGTTGGGAACATTAGATGAAATAAACGTCACCTTACGTAGGCAATTTGCTAGATCAACAGCTTTCGGTTAGTCACCTTTCCAGACACGAAATGCTTCTATTCATTACAAATGGACCACACGGACGTACCATGTAGGCACAATTATTATGCTTTTGAGTAATTATGGTGCCAGAATTGACTACCTATATCGAGAACGTGTATTCGCGCCATACCGTACGGGGGAAGGGAAGTCCACAGGCCTTTATTACGTCTGCCCACGGAGACCGGGCACATCGGAGCGGCAGTATATCTCAAATTCAAGGTCATGGGTGCCTAGCGGACTGAATCAGGCTGTGCGTAACAAAATGCAAGAAGCTGTCAAAACTGTAGATGTAGTCACCACGGAGGACTCCATGCAGACCTTCTCGGTCTTTTTAATGGAAATCGCAAACCAGCCGTACAGTGCTCTCTCCATTAAAGACACACTACTTGCTCGACTAATACACAATCGAGCAAAATGCGTCATAGTACTATTCGACTACCGCTTCGCCAAGTCGAACGAACTGTTAACCCACATGGAGACAGTGGCAACAGTTGTAGAGAGTGGCCACCTGGATAAACTGCACTTGTTTGTGAGCTTCGACGAAGAGGCTGGTAGTGAAGAGAAGGTTAAGGAGGCGCTAGGTCACTTTGACGATGCACTACACGCGGCCTTTCACGGCAGGTATGTGGCGCCTGTAGCCGTGAGTATAATTTCGTAGGGAATACGAAAACGAACTTTTCAGTCTAAAGTTCCAACCACTCAAGGTTCCCAGCGATGCTAGATTGGTGGCGCATCTGCTGGGAGGCAATGAGAAACTTGTCGCCTCCTTTCTCAGTGAAATCAGAAAACACACTTTCGATTTCGACAACATGTTCCAAGACACGGATGATATTTCAGAATCAGATCGCGGAGTTGAAACGCTACGCGTTATTTTGGATGACGTTAGACACCGTAAACTGAATAGTTCGGTAGAAAAACTAGAACGCGACGTTGACCTCTTGTACAGCGTTTCAAGCAGGTATAGTCGACTTTGTATAATATATAATTACCTACAGGCATATGCGGGAGGACCGCAGCAAGGAGATTACAAATATTATCGCCTCGTGCCATGGTGAGGATAGATTTCTACAACCTCCATGGTAATTGCAGCATTGTTTCGTCACATCCAAAACTGCGCTGTACTCGTGATCATCACGGTCAGCGTGATCATACAACTCCTTTCGTTCATGCACCTCGATTCGGTATTTGAAAGGTAGTTATGCTGGCAGTTAAGAAACGATAACGTTGTCTTAGTGGTGAGCATACCAGCTCTACACTCAGATGGCTATGTAGCTTTGGAAAACGATGTAAGTTTAAGAGTGAGCAACCGAATATTAAAACGTATAGACACGGCATTACAATGGACCATGTTCTATGCTTCGTTAGCCGTAGGCTATGCCGCGGTGTATTTCCTGGGTCACATGTTTCGCTCGATTGAGAAACTGGATCCTGAAACATACGAAAATCACAAGGTGAGATAGCCTGTCACGAATAAAATAAGCCTTAGACGGCGATGCATCACATGGAAATGTTGAAAGGACGTTTGCGCCATCTCAAGAACTCACAAAAGAAACACGTGAAACAGGACCCAGTTGTGACCCATCGCAGTCGGCGTGACAAAAGCGTGCTATCTAGATAAGCGGCAAATGCCGCACATCGATGTAGCGACACATAAAATATAGATCTGAATCATTATACTTACACCCGGCGAGTAACAATTTTACCTACGCCTTTGGATACCGCCCACGCCGCCTCACTTATTCGCGTCCTATCCTGTTCTGGTCCCTGGAGGAACCGGTGTAGCGCAACACATTTCACACTAAAGATCACTTATCGGTTAAAATATTTTGGTCAACAAGACACTCACTTTTACACAACGTAAAGCAACAAAATGGTAGGTCGTGTTTGTGGTTGGTGAGATGTACGTTACAAAACACGGAACAAATGCGCCCAAAACCGCTCGTGGAGTGGAGTATGCATATTTAGCTACATGTACTATCTCTTTTCACGAGTTATATGCGCTTCGCTTAATGGGATGCAGACGGAAAGAACTCCTACCCAGTCAACCATGATCGGTGGCCAGCGTATGGCACCCAGGTGAGTCTCATAACTGATTTTTACACATCTTCGACAGGAAAAGAGCCCAGTCGGAAACTAATACCGCTGGAACCAGGACCAACTTGCCACCAAACTCTGGTTTCCAACATTACTACGGCTTTGCCACCTCATCGATCCAAATGTGAGTTCACGCTATAGATGCAACATGTTTTCTTAGGGGACCCCAAGCCGTTCTTCTTTTGGCCATTTGTTACATGGGAGCCGTCGTCGTGATGCATATCGTATCCCGCATTAAAATGTCGATATAATTATAAATACATTCGTAATTATAGCGACACTTGACATTAATTAGTCTATGTGGACCATATTTAGAGATTGTTGTTCTCACAATTTTTGTTCCCAAAGATTTAGGTATTTGTGTAGTCTTGGTGCCTAAATGGTTTTTGTGAGTATAGAGTATTAACCTACCAATTCCTCGAGTTGGTGGATCTCCTCGGTATTAAACCAAGTCAACCGTTCACCGTTGCTGAAAAAGTATTATCAATAGCGACAACGGCACATACCGATCGATGAAGCAGACAACTGGTTCCAATTTACCGTCGGCGTCACGTTTACCGCGAAAAACAAAAAACTTCTTTCCCGATGGCAACTGCATAAGCTTGCGTCACATAAAGTTGCCTAACGTCAGACATCGATCCCACAGATCATGTTCAGTAACATCGATACACATTGACATTTCCCGCTTACCTCAATCAGCCTAGAACGTTTAGAAGCCGGAGGCGGCCAATAACCGAAATGACGACGAACACCAAATATGCACAACAGTCGTGGTAATCCCTTAGCAAACAGCATGGAAGATGTAGCAGCACAGCAATGTTCAAACATCTCACACAGAACTTAATTCGAAAGACTTTGTACCATTAGAAACATGTAAGGTTGTACAAAGCACATCATAATAAACACAGAGATAGGATAGCGTTATCAAAATTCAACGGTGGAAGACGAAGGTACATACACATCCACAGGGAGTAGACACACTCACAACCCGCAATCACCAAATCGATACCTCAACACAATATACAAAAATGAATATTCAACTTTTATACAAAAGTAATTTCTCATGAACCCCAAAAATGTACACAAACTGCTAGGGAGTTTACATGGACGCGACAATGCTAAATATAGTGGATTAGATTTTCTCCAGGGGATACAATGTATAAAATATTCTGCTGTTAAACGGCAATTCTATTAAACTGATGTGGAAGGGATTGACTACCCGGGTGGTTCCTCTTTGGAATGCTGTTCGTCCTCGACGATCCATCTTCTGTCGCACTCAAATTCTATATAATTCTCCAGATGATTCTACTACGTCTCTAACATCGGTTTCAACAGCTATACCTGACGCAGAACTGGCGTCTTCTATACACAGTCCGCCAGTAGTGCGGAGACCAGGGGAAATCATCGATGTATCTACGCTAATTAAAGACCACTGGTCGTACCCAGGTTGGAATAGCTATCTATTTGTTATTATGTCACAGCTGTCGGATTCAATAGCATTCTAGAGCTGCCTCTCTACGTTTTCGAAGGTGAACAAAGTTTGCCAGAACCACGCAGATTCATTCAAGTTCCGAATGATATCTTTGGACTACCAATACGACCGGACATTTTACACCGGTGCTACACTTTTTATCGGAGAGCCAAGGCTGGGTATAGCGAGGACATGCAGCTTTACAAATGGGAATGGCCGGGAAGCACACGGAAATGGCGCAAACAGCAAAAGACGGGCAAGGCACGCATAGGATGGAAAAAGTCACCAGGGAAATATTTGGGTGTGTTCGCACACCCAGTAAGACCAGGAGATCAAAGAACTAACCTACAACGGAGAGGTGAGTTTGTATGACCGAATAATCATGTACCACAGTCCTGTGGATCGGGCTAAAGACCATGCTCTCCGCAAAGTTCGCACAATCGCAAATAAATTTGGTGGATTCGTTCCTCATGAAGTCTCACAAGACTAAATATGCGGTCACTAGCCTCAGAAGGATCTTAGGTATTATTCATAAGCGAAAATGTCCACCGTTAATACAGGCAATAACTGCAATTCAGCTCTTCTCGTTTTTTGCGGGAATTCGGATTCGAATGAAAATTTCCGGTGGGCTACAGCCAACATACCGGCAGTCAGAATAGAGACGGTGGAGGTGAGCGCCCTTTGACCTGTTCAGAGAGCTTTAGGGAGTGAATGTGTACAATCTGCTCAAGTATAGACAATTAGTCATAACTGAGATGGCGCTAGAAAAGCTTATTCACTTAATTGAGGATTATCCTCGCAAAATGGATTGGTTGCCAAAGTAAGATTATTGCGAAGGAATGGAAAGTACACTTCAGGTATGCAACACCGAACAACGCACCTGCACCAGTGCCGAAGAAGGTGGAAGGATGGAACAAAGTGTGGATAGAAAACAAAATCGCAAAAAAACTTGCCTCGCAGTCAAGGGTATGTTGTCGTTTTTGAATTTCAGATGTCGCAATAGGAACAATGGATGGAGGATGTAAAGAAATGGAAATGGTCATCTGACACCAAAGGACCATTGAAAGTACCTAGACATGACCCGTTGGAGGCATTTAGATTGACGCATATATCTAACGACACTACGCAAGATGCAAAGATTCGATTTCGTTATCTTTATGATTCCCTCCATGATCCGATGGAGACTCTTAACGTCGACCCCGACATTGGCAGCGTGGTACGTAGACAAAGCGAGGAATACGACAAATTCAGGTTGATGACAAGTTATTGTAAACATCGTACGTTATGATGGCTACACACGCATGCAAAATGACGGGGATAAACAATGCACTAATATGATGACAAATCTCAGCATTCGAATGACATCGTCCTCTGCCTTCCTCTGAGAGAATGAGGAGAGCATATGTTGAAGATTCATATAAATCTACATTTCGTGTATCAGATCCCGCCGACAATCAAAGTACGTTATGCATAATTGTCATGTGGATAAGGTGTCTTAAAGACACAGTGACCTCATATCTGGTTTCCATGGCTTATGCCACTGCAGCTTTTGAACACCCCGGCGCCCGCAGCAGGAGTGCTGCCAAATATGCGCGGAGCTGCCGAAATATATGGCAGGGAACTGGTAGCAGATGTGGAATGCACTCTTGAAGAAGGAGAAAAACTTGCCGTATTCACATGGGTCGGATGTACCGTGCAGGTGAAAGGAAGTGTTGAACAGGTACGTGGCAGTAATATCAGTATAGCTTAATATCATTCAGGAATATGAAGGAGAGGACCATTCCATGAAGGAATATCTAAATGTTGTGCATGTACTCAACGCAGAGCGCGAGTTGGCATCTGTTAAAAGGACCCAAGGTCCAAGGGTAGGTTATCTCAGTAGTCATTCCTCATTGCCCATAGGTCCTGATCACTGGAGCACCATCAAGCGGGAAATCAACTGTCGCTATGCTTATTTGTAATTATGCCGTACGTAGCGGGTGGACACCGGTTTTTGTTGAGGCTGACCCTAGGGCATCTGCCGACAAAAGGCAGATACAGTTTTACCCGGGGACCCTTGGAGCAACTGTAGTCAGCGGGGCCGTTGACGAACCTTCGAAGAACCCACTCGTTTATTTCTACGGCTACAACAACGCACAAGAGAACGAAAAACTCTACTCTCAAGTTAGTTACCGTGAGGAGTCGACACTAACGATCTTAGGTATCGCAAGCCATGGCTGCTGCAATAGACACCATGATGGAGCACTCCTCGATTCAGCAGCCGCACAGTAGACGATCAGATGAAGTCGGTGATATGGGAAGGTACATATCAGCGTCAGGTGAGTCTCCCAATAACATAATCATACGTCTCTAAGGGATGGTAATCAATGCGCCACACTCCGCCAACCGCGACCTCATAGTTAAACTTGCGGAAACATACGGAATCACACACGTCCTCGTTATAGATAGCCCTTCAGTCCACCAAGATTTGGTACGCACATTTGCGAACCTACGAGAACGTGGAAGGTCCGGCACGCAAGCCGCCGTTATGGGTGGAGACTTTGTAGCTACAAATGTCTTGGCTAACCTCGCGTTCCAGGACATACCGGAATCGCAGAAACAACTGCAAGAGGACGTGGATATAGTACAATCGGATATTGAACAGGGATCATCTGGCTCTAAAGAAACTCCGCCAAAGGAAGTGCTTGTGTTGGCCGTCAACAAGCTTGAGGGAGTGGTCCCGGTCGACCTCGGTAGGATCAAGTATCTCAATGACAAATGCTGGAAGCGTTATTTCGATCGTACAAGCTCTGGAGAAATGCATGTAATTCGTTTTCCCATGGAGACTGTGAAACTGGTGGTCTTAGAAACCTGCGTCGCACTCTCTAATGACGCCCTCCCTCATGATGAACTCGGACACGCCCAACTAGCCGAAATGTACACTGCACCGTGGAACGGAGACCCATTATCGCTCACCAATGCTGTGCTTGGCGTTCCTGCAACAGAAGATTCCAGGCTCATACCGTACTGCAATATACTTGGGTTCTTCTTGGTACGCTCCGTAGAGGTTAGTCCCTCATCATTCATATTATACGAAAACAGGACACTACAACGCAACCAGAGGAAGGATCAGATGAGCCGGAGTCTCCGCCAACATATGCTATCGAAGCTTTGTGCCCAGCGGTCTATTCTCCATCGTCACTCCCGGCATACCTCCTGGTGGCAGGAGGCACGCGAAGCATGCGATGGCAAACTGTATGATAATATTGGTTCGTAAATGCAGCTTTACATTGAGAAATCGATTCACAACCCATATCACAAAAAACAGTACCACTCAACCTTACCTATAGAGATAATGACCACCTAATATAATAGCGCCTATCGTACAATGGACAATAGACGTGGCATAATAATATGTACAACAATGAGCAAGCTAAGAGCCATCTCAACAATTCCAAGAACGTAACTTATTAATTTGGGTATCGTGTTAGTAAAGTATTGTAATGCCACTGCAAGTGGTACCGCAGAGTAAAAGGCCGATGAATAAAGGGACAGGTAGTACTCTAATGTTAAGCAGAGGTATAAGACCGAAACTTATGCAGAGTAAAATATTTAATACTAGGTCCGTGAGTGCAAGTTTATGTTGTTCTCACAATTTTTGTTCCCAAAGATTTAGGTATTTGTGTAGTCTTGGTGCCTAAATGGTTTTTGTGAGTATAGAGTATTAACCT